GCAGTGAGCTGGAAGGAGGTAAACTTGTTGGCTGTTTCCATTGAGGTCTGTCACTAATGGCCGGTGGCCAGGGATTATCCCTTGGCTACTGTGAGTCAGTGACTTCTGCATGGCTACTTTCATAGAAAACAAATGAAAATAGAACAAAAGAACTTCCTAGCTGTTCAATTTCCTATCTATACTTACTGCGTAAATCCTCTGTCGCACTAGTTATTTGTGGAACAGAGACCCGTACAGTAGTGTCCAGAGTGGGTTTTTAGCCTGGAGACCCTAAATAAGTATGTGATAATGACATTTCCACTAATAAATTATTTCGTAATCCTGACAATATTTTAATGTCTTTTTTTCATGAAATTCAGTGCCATAGAGAATACTCAGAGGCTTGCACTAAACTTACAAAATTGCAAAGCATAGGAGCAGAAGCTGGCAAGGTAATGAATTTTTTTATGGTCTTTTCTGCTTCAAAGTTGTCATTTTGTAAGACTAGTTTTAATGCCTATCCTCACAGTGTACCTGAGTTGTCAGTACAATGAAGAGGTTCTGTGTTCAAGTCCTCCTTTGACTACCATAACATTATGTTCTGGTTAATGTGAATTCAACTCCTTTTTATTACTAATAGCCTACATGCACTTCTTGCCTCTTTTTCTAACTTTATTGCTGTGATTTTTTTTAGCAAGAACATGTTCGAACTGTTTGTCACAATACCCACAATGACTATGTACTGCAGCTAAACAGAGTGAATAGCATGAACCAAGTGTTCTACTCTACAACACTTCCAGAAATGCTTGATGTAAGTGACAATAATATTATAACTTTAACTCTAGTACATACATGTAAGGTACATTATTCTCCTACCTAAGTAGTTCTGCCATACATTTACAACCTTCAAGAGCTACTTAACTGTTCAAAAATAGTTTCATTCGATTGATCATGTTTATAGTGTCCTTGCTGAATTTCAGACATTACTTCGAGTCGCTTACTCCCCTCAGTAACGTCTGAGTCAACCAGCCGATAATGCCGTCCAGTGATGTCACTGCTCCTTTGCTTTAATTCATGCAAAAGTAAGGCACAATTTCCAACTGGCAGGCAAAGAAGTATCGTCCACTCCACAAATGTGCACATGGTTCAGAATTGTTCATGTTTAACGTTCATACTGTCAAATGCATACAGAACTCTAAACGAGTCTGTCTGCCTCGTACCCAGGCGCATTCCAGCGTATTCAAGAGCGACTGGGATTTTGGTTCTGCGCGAGGTATCATGGGAAAGGCGAAGAGAAAAACGCTCTCTTTTTTTCTCGTCCACCCTTCCCAGCGTCCTTTGCGTCCACGCTAATTGTTACCGTGGTCCGCTGCGTGATACTCCTTGATGGCTAGTGCAGTCGCGTTTTCCGTTTTCCACACTTGAGATGCCTAGGAATGAGGCGGCGAATCTGTTGTAATTCAATAATCAAACTTGATCGCGATCACGCAATGAAATAAACTTGTAATAATTGCAAATTTGGGGAGTTCATTCGATGGGGATGGGGAAGGTGGTGGGTAGTGAGTGGTAGTGGGAAAGGGGTGCAAGACCTGATGGGCTTGTAATATCGAGAAATCAAAATCAAACACTTTTATCAATATGAATATCAGCAGCAGTCTTTATCAGTGTTATTGTTTGTCCTCCCACTTTACAATTCGTTGCTATTTCATTTTTCCTAAAAAATGCAAGAGCGTTCTGTACTTTTAACATTTACTTGGCTAAGCCTGTAAGTAAAGTACATGTAAGTAACAACAGGTCAAACACTGACTATGATCCTCAGGATATTCTTTTGCACTATAGGATGATCAATAAAATTGGCTAAAAATTGGGATACAGAAAATTAAAGTTATCTGAAGAGTTTAAGCGTCACGTGTATATCACTTTAAACCGTTGTTGTGTGACACTAGGCTAACACGACTCACCTACTTAGCACTGTTTTCAAAATACAACGCACCCGGAATTAGTGACATGAAAAGGTCAACGTTTCACCGTTCAACTTCTTGTATATTTTTCAAAAATGGTGAGAAACAAAAGCAAATACAACGCTGTAAATAGCTTTTAAAAACGAAAAGATGTAATTTGTAATAGAATCAAATATGGTCGATCTAAGCTGATCTTGCTTGAATCCATAAAAACAAATACAATGTGGAAAAACACATTGTTAACATCATATCTACATATCCGATTATCTTAGAATGGAAATTTTCATGTGATACAAAAACTTAATTGAAAACTGCAAGAAAAACTGTGAACAAACCTGTGGTAAACAGAAAATCGCCAATGTTTCATCTGTGAACGAGTGTCACAAAATAGATGCCAGCTCCTGTAGTACGGCGGCTTAGCTAGAGAATTATGCGTGTTTTGATACAAGCGCCAAACTTTGTATGGATATTTACATTCCCAGGCTAGACAATTTCTGATATAGTGCCAAGTTAAATTTTCTAATTCCAGCTAATTAGCAGCAAATGAAATTATCAGATCCGAGACCCCCCGCCAAGTACTTTGTCTTCCTTTCTTTGGTTAGATTTAATGCGCGTCTTATTTCAAAATACAGGTACAACAATACAGATGTTAAACTTGGATGTGAATTGTTATTTTCTTTTCTTCATTATATAAATGCAGACCTTTATTTGGAATTTATCTGCACATGCTTTGTGTCTTCTTTCTCTTGGTTCGGGTGGTAAGAGGTTGCGCTATCTCATTCTAACTGTGCATGCAAATACGTGTAGCTAGAAAAGAAACTGCTCAGTATTCCAGTTATAAAGAAGAGAAAACTGTCGGTTTAAAAAGAGGAAGTAAGAAATAGGTTGATTCTAAGACGCAACAAACAGGTCGCTTCTTCAAGCTATTAACTGGTTAAAATGTGTTATTATTTCATTCAAAATATTTCCCCAATTCTGATTGGCTAAAAGCACATGCATAATTCACCATAATCAGTTAGGGATGACCAAATTTGGAAGAATTTTGTGTTTAACGAGGAAATGACGCCAAAAATGCAGCCCGCTACAAGTTAAGGTACCGTTACCGAGAAGACCTGGTGACGAGGTTGAGTTGTTTTGGATGTGAAAAAGAAATGGCGGACCTTTCACTCGTTTCAAGAGTATGAACTACAGCTGAAACTAGGCGAAATAATAGCTAAAAACATGGCAAAAACAGCAAGAAGACAACTCGGAGGGCAACATCTGCTATTTGGAGAATATTTGCGGAGCTGGACAAACCTAAACGTACATTATCGATGATGAATTTAACATCGATGCATGTTTCAGCTATGTTTCAGCCATGTTTTTAAACTAGGAATAATTTTGAATAAATAATAAAGCAATTAATGAATTCGGCTTTCGTAGGATGTGAAGAATTAAGCAGATCTCGGAGGGTGTTATCCACCCTCCTCAGTGGCCTCTTGACTGGAGACCGCACGAATCTGGTGCTGGATACCTTTCTTTTGAACAAGAATTAACGTCATTTTATGAGGCGCGAGAATTGAGTTAAGCAGTTGACTGAAAATGTTTTGACGTCGGAAATGGAATTGCTTCCACTTTAGCAAGTCGTTTTCTATGTGGCGTAGATCTTGTCGAGATGCGTTCAACTAGATCAAACTGGATCTCATGATGCAAAGAAAAGTGCCTGTAGGAATCCATAGCAGCAAACGGACACCCTAGAGTATGTTTCTGTTCGCATGGAGAAGAAGCGGTCATGAAAATGATAGTTCATGTAGCTAGAGCGGATGCAATAGAAAATGATCACAAGTCAGTCATGATTCTAACTTTTTCCCTTTTTTCTCGCTCCCTTTTCCCCACTATCTTGGACCCTCCTGGAACAGGCTTACTTGGACTTGAAGGAATTTTGGTTGTCCTGTAGGACCAAAATAAACCCACAACATCCTAGCCACTTATCTCTTTGCAAAGGCTCTTGTCCCATGCATCTAAATCGAAGTTTCTCCCTGTCTTCCATGCCCTAACAGTGCGTGATACAACTTCCTTCTCCACTGGTCATGGAGTTGCCAAAATACTGAACATAAATTTTTGCCAATTTTTTACTCATTAAAAGGAAGTATTGTTGTAATGGAAACCATGAACTAAACTATAGTGGAGCCTCGATGTCTGAAGAACTTTTATACAACGAAGTCTTGGGTATAACGAACGATTTTGTTTCGCCCCAGGCCAGCAATAGTGAAATATATGAAAAAGAACCTCAATATAACGAATTCTCGTTATAGGGAACAAATTTTTGCCAGTCCGTTGGCCCTTCGCTATAACGAGGTTCCACTGTATGAGAGCCACCATACTTATTTTTGTTATTTACTACTGGGGATTCATTACTTTTTTAAGTATGTTATTCAAATATAACTTTTTCCTTTGTCTCTTACAGGACCTACAACGTGTTCAGGAAGATGTCTCTGAGTCATTGAAGATTGCTGTTAGTGATTTCTCCAAAATTGAGAAAGACAATGTAATGGTTTTTTTCAATACTATACACCTACTGTAAATACCTACATTGCCACCTCTTAAGTGAATAATTCCACCATGGCTGACACACAAGGAAACAGGCAAACTTCACTGAAAATGATATCAGTGTAAAAAAAAAAACAAGAGAGGGGGGGCATGGGGGAGGGAAACTTGCTGAAGAATTCCTCACACCTCGTTGACACGTTTAATAATATAGCCTCTTCCAGGTGTTAAGAAAGTAGAGAGAGGCGCAAAATGGTGTTTGTCCTCTCTCCCTAGCCCACCACTCCATTGTTTTTTTTCCTGCTCATTTTTCTTTGTACCATCCCCACTATGAGAACAGCTGGAACAACTATTGAAGCATTATGCTACATGAAAAGTGTTGAGAACTTTTTTGCATTCACCTCCAGACTGAGCCATTTACGTCTAGCGCTGTTTGCATTCTGTTGTTAAATGTGCTGAATAACTGTGTTGAAATTCTTCTCTGTAGATAGTTGAAAGTTTGCAAAGATTGAAGAGTATAGAACACGTGTTTCAGATGATGGATAGCAGAGTGGATATCTCAACTTTTGTTCAAGCAAATAACCCTGGAACGTATACACCACCAGTTAAAAGCTTTACCCAGGTAAAAAGGAAGGCGGGATTCGGGTGGGGTCCTGTCATTATTGGCGGGATCCCACCTTTCCCGCCCAGGGTCCAACCTGGGATCCGAGGCAGGATCCCGCCTCCCACCCGGGATCCTAGGTGGCATCCCGCCTCCCACCTGGGATCCAAGGTGGAATCCTGCCTCCCACCAGGGATCCAAGTGTGGAATTAGAAACGAGTGTACAGCAATCATAATGAACAAAACACAATTTAATGAAATTAACTGGTTCTTATACACAGTTGAAAAATAAGAGATCTGCAAAACTTTGATTATCTTCTTTGACAGACACTACTACTAGCACCCATTTAATTGTGTACTGTAGTAAATTTAAGGAATAATTTAATCGTGCTCCACCATATTTGGGAAAGTGCTGATAGTAAGCATGTTTTCTCGAAGGCTACTAACTACTATTACTTTTCTGTCTAGTTGAGACAGTGGTACACAAAATAGATATGGTGATCTTCTGGTCACTGCCATATATTGAACTCATCTGATGATGATGTGACTCCTGAGGCCAAAGATCCAATTTGCACTAATTTTGTCACAATAGCAACATGATGGGTTTTAATCAAAAGGAATTTTTGAATTTCTCCAAACTGAATTCTCCCACTTGCATCTGTATACTGGATAGTGTATTAATTTTTAAGTTTGCTAGTGCAGATTTTTGCACAACTGAAAAAGGAACCATTTATAAATGTTCTTCGGTATGTTTCCACTCTATCCCTTCAGCAAAAACTTCCAAGCCTCTGCTGGGTAGGAATCTGTTTGCTACGAACATCTCTTGTTTAATTGGCACTTCATTTTTAGAAGTACCAAGGACAAATGCTCGTGATTTATCACCAGGAGGAGTGGGTCTGTAGGAGAAAATGAGACTTGCTTAAAAGTCTCTTATAGTCTCGGACGGCAATAGGGTGTGATATTAAGTATACAAAAGATCACATGTATACATGTATATCATGTATGAAATACTTTCCAAAAAAGATGCTTGATATTGACTACTTACAAGGATCTTTCTCCTGAGGGCTGTTTTGCCAGAGATACCACAGTTCCTGAACTAACTGTTGTTTTCATCTTTGAAATAAGCATGGGAAAGTTACGATAAAAAGGACAGCTATGATCAGATCTCTGAAATGCTTCAATCGAATACTGATAAATTATTATCTAGTACATCTATTAACTTGCATAGAACTATTAGCAGATGAAGTAAAAATAACTAAGTTTGTATTACCTGGCTAGAAATGTGCTGATTTCCATAAATCATGGTCGCCAGAAAGCCATTAAGAGCTTCATATCCAAAGCATGAGTAGACCCAAAGTGGATCAAATAACTGAACAAAGAAGGTGAGGTGGCGAAGCAGATGGAAATTGTGGGTCTGACTCCCTTCTCCTGTACATAAAGATTAGAAATAATTGAGACAAGTGTATTCATAAAACCAATACTTGTAGTATGAACAAAGGATTTTCCATACATGGCTCTCTACATTAAATGCTGTGGCCTCTAGGAAAAGCTGAAGGGGGCCCAAGGCTTTATACTAGTTAAATCTAGGCTGCTTTTAGCATTTGTTTTAGTGGAGCAACTTTGAGTAACAAAATGGTCAAGAAGTTAACAGATTGACTTACCACAGAGTTCAGGCATAAACTTACAAAAGTTGTCCAGGAGCTCATCTGCTAGTTTAAGCTGATCCATGGTGATCCTGTCTCTCACAAGAATAGCTTCAGCTGTCACCAACATGGTGTAGTGGAGGAAGTGTTGACTTGGAAGGACACCTTTTAACACTGGCCCAGAGTAGTGAAGAAGCCAATTTCTGTATTTAGTTGCTTTACAAAAAGAACATAACTATGATGATTAACACTACTACAGGTCTTTAATTTTCTCTTAATGACTTAATGATGATAGTCCCTTTCCATAGTCCCTTTGGCCAAGCCTATCAATCAGTACCTTGCAAATACTTAAACCTATCCAATGCGTGTTCTATGGTCCTGTTACTCGGTTTACTGTGACTGTTCCATTACTTGAATAACATCGATGAACCAAACAAGGTTGCAACAAGCATACCAAAAAAGTTACAATGATGTTGAATAATTCTTTTTGCTCGGTCATTTAATTATTATTATTTAGTTTTTAAGCACTGACGTATTTACCTTTCCATGTTCCATGGTCTGAAGACTTCTAGGACACCAGGTGATAACGTCAGGAACTTTGATGCTGCGCAATCTCTTGCTTAACCCAGCAATCTGAGACATACTAAGAAAAGAGACCAATTTCCTTCGCAGGATGTACTTGAAAAAGCTGATTAAGGCAATGTGTATAATCTTTTTTCCATGTCATTTCAAAATTCAAAACAAAAAATCCCATACAACTGCATGTCTTGTACATGTACCTTTGATCTTAAGAAGAATTCAGTTCCCCTGTTTTCTGTATTCAGCGCTGCCAAAGATGCATCAGTGACTTTGACACTCCAAGACATGCTGAGTGCATCCAGTCTACCACAAAATTCTTTACCAAGTCAAATGGTTTAAAGAGCAGGAATACAGATGCCCCTTTTATTCCATTTACCTGTATGATTACCAACACAAAAACAAAATGTAAGGAGTCACCTCTCAAAGATAATAACTCACTGAATGAACATGTCTCATTTATTATGCAAGCTTTGTAGTTTTGTATCAACCTAAAAAAAGACTCTTTCAAGAAGACATTGTAAGCAGTGAAATTTTCATAACAACTTTCGCACATGCATGATAGCTCATGACCGCTCAAGGTCTGAATGGCCAAGGAGTAATTTACAATTTTTTTCCAAGGAGCCTGCACAGGGTCTTATTAGGAATAAACTGGGTGATCAAAAGTTACCGGCTTTCCGCTATGAATGACTTTGCGAACTGATTCGACCACAGACTTGTGTGTCCTCAGTACCATGTTGGTAGTATAGGGCCAGATTCTGTTTAATCACCACTGCCCACTGTCTTCACTTCATCCTCACAGACTGAGCAGCCCATTTCTCCATTAAACTGCTTCATATTAGACAAGAGTGACTTTGCAGGGAGATCAGCTGATAACAACAGCAGAGTTTGCTCGTATGAGTTTTTCTTTACCATTAGGAGTCACAACAGTGAGACCTGCAAAAGTTATATAATGTGAGACAATAATGTCAAGTGATGTGACTGTCACAACCTCTTGGCTCATCACTCAAATGTTGTTTCAGCTTGACACTTTCAGTGTTTTGTGAATGTAGTAGCTCTTGTACGGGATTTTTTATTGACATACATTTTAACATCATAGTTGTTTAATGCAATAACACCAAAGCAAAAACGATAAATTTACTTCAACTATAAGGCTAGCCCAATCAATTTAGAAACACAAATTTCCCTCCGAATATAAGCCCCTCCAAAAATAAGTCCCTCAAAAAGGGTCTTTGAAAAATATAAGCCCCGGGGCTTATTTTCGGAATTTTACGGTATATACAAGCTTGCAACTGTAACATATGTGACATACAAAGAAGGTAATTGACAAAAAATTCAGCACTATGGTACTGTCTAAGGGTGCCTTCTTTGAAATAAAGATTACACGTACATTTTAAATAATAATAATATGTTTATGTAATAAAATAATGTTAACTATTGTTCTGACCACTGCATTATACTTATCTAAGCCTTGGAGGAAGTTCATTAATTACAAGAAAAATGGGCCAGAAATTTTGCCTGTTTGAGGACTTAAACGGTGAAACACCATCATTATTAAAGGAGAAGGACAGATTGAATGGATTATCTTTGCTGCCACCCGGATGCATTAGTTTGCGATACTCTTGTCCACTATACATGTCGCGGATGTCATCATCAGCGTAAAAGTTGTTTTCAAGTCTGTACCCTAGAAGCCTGACAAACTCTGAGTCTTTCTGGTAAAAGAAACAAGAAGAACATTAAGAACAACAGAAGGGAAGCTTGAAAGCTTGAACATCAGGTGCAGCACAATAAAAGGGTTAAATTGCAGAAATTGCAGAAATTTCAGTCTCATGTGGAAGTATAAACAGTAAAATAGCTCAAATAAGGTAAAATATTTGAAATTTCATTTTGCGAAAGTCGCATCTACAAGAAATGGCAAACTTCGGCGATTATCCGGGAGATTTCAGACTCTAATCTGGAGACCGGGAGAAATGATTCAAAATCTGGAGTCTCCCGGATTATCCGGGAGAGTTGACAGCCCTGGCATGCATCACCAGACGGTGAGGTATAAACAATTGAAAACAATCAAAATTTTCACTTGATAGCATTTAACCCTGGGAAATTAAACTTTATTTATAAAAATGATACTGACCTAGATTTCCACACATTTGCTTATTTTTAGAAACAGCCATCATTAGAGACCCCAAGTTTGGGATCAAGTTGGATAGGCAGTGCTTTGAAAACATTGTCAAACACTATTCTTCTGCTCCAGCTTTTGCACTAAACCTTTTGGATGCTCTTGTACCAAAAGAGGTTCAGCGCATTTCAAACATAAAGGGATCAAATGGAAAAACTCCCCTAAATCCATCAATCCTTGCTGCAATTGAAGGTAACAACCCTGCCTAAACCATTTCACTCTCAAGTATGTTGTAGCTAAGACACTCCACACAGTCAGCTCAATTGCAGTCTGAAAGTCAGAACTTAACATTGGCTCATTTGCTATACTGTAGCTTTAGGGATCAAACTTAAAGTGGATTTGTTTAAAAAAAAAACAGAGCCGTCTGCAGATGAAATTAAAGAAAATATTCATTTTAAAAATTCTATTACAAAATGTGGTCAATTTTTACTACAATCGTTTTTGGACCTCATTTGATTTTGGCAGTTTGTTAATAAATGTACAGAATTATGAAGATGGCATTAGCTAATTGCCACATAATTTTAATTCTTGTCTTCCAGGACAGCTAAGAAGGCACGCAGTGTAAGTGGACAGAAGAAGAGGTGGAAGAAAAGTGGAGCGGTAAAGCTGGAATTTCAGCAGAAAATAGCGGATAAGTGTAGAAATCTAAATAAAAGCAACAAAATCTACTGTTGATGACTATATTTTTATATCTTCTAGTTATAATGATTATGTATTTTGTAATGATCAAGTGAAGTTGTAACAAGATTCAAGTCTATATACTAGCAATAAATGCCAAACCGTTTTAAATATTTGTATTCTGGTTGATGGCTGAAAATTGTAGGAACCTTTTTGATGGGAAAAAAATTGTGAGTAAGGTAGCTATAGGACCCCATGTGTGATATTTTCCACCTTCCCTCTTTAGTTTAGACATGTTCCAAAGCTGGAGCTGGGATTTGTGGGTTATTCAAAAACTCAATAAATGGAATCCTGTTTGGGTCACAAACAAGTGACCCCAAGTGAGATTGCAGGATCCCACTTGGGATCTCAGCTGGTACAAATTTTGGGATCCCAGGTGGGATTGGCGGGATCCCACACGGACAAATGAAGGTTGCTAGGTGGGATTGGCGGGATTTTGCGTGGAACGAAGCTGGGTTCCCGGGTGGGATTGGCGGGATCCTACCTGGGATTAGAGGCCGAATCCCATGCGGGATTGACGGGATTTTGCCTAGAATGTAGCAGGGATCCCGGGTGGGATTGGCGGGATCCCACCTGGGATTCAAGGCGGGATCCCATGCCGGATGTTCCAAAATCGCGGTCGGGATCCCAGATGGAATTGGCGGGATCCCGCCTGACTTTTTTCTCTGGGTTAGCAAACCAGAAGAGAGTCGATCATTGGTATGTACATGTAGTTGGTGGTTCCTTCTTTTAAGTTGACTGAAAAGCATGGTGTAGATCTCGAAAACTGTGGCTTATAAACCGTGGGCTTGAACATCTTTGCATGGGGTTTTAGGAGGGCTTATAAACAGAGGGGCTTAGATCTGAGGTGGCTTATAACTGGAATAGAATAAGCACCTCGTGACATGCTACCGTGGTGCTGATCAAAATGTCATAATACATCGAATAGGCCATTTGCACGAAGGCGTCATTTTGCTACTACGACCAGTATCCTTCAGGGTACTGCTTTCTTGTGCAAGTTAAGACTTTTGTTATTTAAACCTCACTGGGATTAACTGGGACTACCAAATTTAAATATGAAAGGAATAACGAAATGAATTCTGGTCTTAGTAGTAAAAGACGTCATCGTGCAAATGCCCAATTCATTTCAATACCAGCTAGAGGGGGGTTTATGTATGGGGAGGAGGGGGGAGGGGGGCTTATAACCAGATTTTTTGTCCAACCCGGAATTCCGTTATCAGTTAACACTCGTACATTACAAATTTATTAATAATTACTCTTTTGATTTTCTTCAAACAATAGGATGCTACTTCCCTATAGAAAACTAGAAATTCAACATTTTAATATTTGCAGATGTCCCCTTAAGTTGCATTTTATCCCTGATACTGCGGTTTGAAAACAGGTTGGGTTCTTTTAGAGAAAAAGTGAAAAGAGTGCCTTGTGAAATAGTTAGAAAGCAAAGAAGTGGAGGGGTATACGGTTTTCTGATGGACTTCCTAATTTCTCCCATCCCCGCCTCCTTATAACAATTAAACAGTCCCTGTGAAGGCAAATGTAAGCCTTGTAACATTAGGGAGGTTTATCGACAATAATTCCTTATTTCACATTTTATGGAGAATGTAAACACAAGACAACGATTTTCCTTTTTTTTCCTGAACTGAGCTTCTGTCTGAGAATTCAACTCCAGAAAAAAAACAATATTTAACAAATTAAACGAAGTGGAACAAGACGGTGAAGTTTAAAACAGCGTGAATGGTCTTTTTAAGCGAGGTCAGTTTCATCGCCGTCACTAGTACTGTCGTGGATGCTTAAGCTCCCAAATATTACATGTAGCTTGTGAGAGATGTTGTTTTCACGGATTTTGGTTCTCATTTTACAGAATTTAGGGGAGAACAAGCTGTTTTTGGTGGATGCAACGGAACCTGTTCTTAAAAGAAAGTACATCGCTCTTCAGAAAAAGGTATTAGTACTTGATATTCCTGGCCGCTTGCAATTTGCTGAATAGTGACCAAACTACTTGCAGGTAAAAAGCATAGGTCACAAATGTAGGTTACTGCTTTATTGATTAATAACTGAGGTAATTAAGCAGTTTCCCCTTACGCTTAAACTCTGTTTCGGATTGTGATTACCGCTAGGAGACATTTTTAGTGTTATTTATTTACCTTAGCATGGTAACCTCTACTGTAGACATTTTTCTTTTTTTTGAACAATTTGGTGAGCGCGTAAAATCGAGCGTGGAGGTCGAGAAAGAGCGGCACACCATTGCGCTTGCGGTCAATAAATCTCCCGCGGTTTGTATTTTGATACCCTCACTCTGAAAATAGGGTCTGTTCATAGGCTATGCTTTTGTGGACAAAATAAAAAAAAACAGGAGAGGCGTGACCTTTTAAGCGAGGGCTTGCTGCGAAATACGCCCATTCTCCACTATCTGAACGCCGCGAACAGGCCATTCAGGCTATTTTATTAAGAGTTTCAATCATTGTCATTTTCTGCTTCAGTTACGAGACTTTGACAAGTCGATAAAAAAGGATCAAGAGGAGGTCAAATCATTGAGACAAGAACAGGAAAGGTAAGGATACATTAGCTGATGCTCTGTAAGATTTGGACAGGGTATATCAGCAGTTCTATATAAATAATTTTATTGCCTGCGTGTTATGTGCCAGGTCTTTTGTGTTTTTTTTTGGTTTTTGATCGTGTGGCCGAAATGTATTAAACCTACTGGTAATCAATTTGACTGAAAAAAAAGAAACTTCAAAGACCAAAATTGTACAGCTCGTTAATAGACGCAATATTATTCAAATACAAACAAATTTAAGCTTGATCGTACATCCTCATCCTCGCGGATCTTGCGTGACAGGAGGTGGTCTTCCTTCGTCTTCCTGGACATAGAGTGACTTTTGCCCATAACGTGTTTGGGCGCTGCAGATCGATGACTTGCACCAAATTTTGGTTTTATTGAGCTTAATGCCCAGTTTGCCTTTTTCATCAGTGTACTGCAGTGCGCCATAATAATCTCTGAATTTTGTTTTCTATTATGACTTATTTTCTATCATGTCTGTTGACTTGGCCTCTGTCATTGGTTGCACATACTTGTTCCAAAAACCCGAAGAAAGCAGCGTCCAAACCAAACACAATTTTCAAGCTTAAAATTATTCTGCCAAGCTAATCCATGTCATTTGTAGTACCAGCGGGGAGCAAAATCTAGTTGGTCTTGATGCCTAACACAAAATGTCTTCTCCAGGAAGCATGTACCCCGGAGTTCTTCCGCGTAACTCCACCAACGCGTTACAGTAGTCAGTGAATAGTTATTTTGTTGAAGAGATCTATTAAGGTAATGAGCAAAAACTAATAAATACTTCTTATTGTGGTTTTACCGGTTGCTTCATTTTTTTAGTTACTCACGAAATCCGTCCTATGGAAAATCTGGAGAAGTTGAACAAGATTTACTGAGGCAAAGAAACGATCTTAGAGTGAACGAATGGTTTTGCTGTGTCGCTAAAGAACAGGTAGGCAGGAGAGAAGCTCTTTTTGTTTTCAGGGCTCAAACTCATTTGTTTTGTTCCTACTTTAGCAAAGTTTTGCGTTTACTTTGATATCCTTTAGGAGTGAAATAAGTAAATTTACTGTCTCGCAAATTTTTTGCCCTATTTTTGAGGGCCTTTTGAAAAGGTTTTTCATCATCTTCAAACGAAGAAGCTAAAGAAGCGGTTCATAAACTGTGAATTTACGATGTTGGTAAACTAGAGATGTTGTGACAAACTATACAGCCGGTATAAAGGAACGTATTGGATGATGAAGATAAACCTGGATTACAAACGACAAACGTGAAAAATTACAATCGTTCGTTCTCTGAAGAAGTAAATACTGAGGGGGAGATTATACTTACTACCTTGTGTTTTTTTTTTTGGATACAAAACCTGGATGTTATCAGCTATCTTAAGATTTCTCGGAAATGTTGCTTTTGGACCTTTTTTTTATGACACTTTTATGTTTGTTGTAGACTAAATTGTTTACTCGAGATGTGCTCGACAGACTGAACGTCACAGAGGATGATCCTCAAGATGAAACAATCAGTGATGATGAGAGTTCTGTAACAGGCACAGTTGACAAAAGACTGAGCGTTCATGTCAAGGGAAAGAAAATAAAGAAAGCTGGACAGCATGAGTTCGAGGACCACACTTTTAAGAAACTGACAAAATGCTTCTACTGCAATGGTTTTATAATGATAGGTAAGTAAACCAGCGGTCAATTTAATAAAACTGGTGTAATTTACAAGTCAGCCATTGTTTTAGAGTCTGAAAACAATAGCTACACTTGTAAAAGTTTTATTCAAGAAAGAATGATAGAAGAGAGAGGGAATCCTCGGGCGTTGGCAGGAATATGTGAATTTCACTACAGTTATTGTTAGAGGTTGTAATTAAGCGGAAGTGTACTTCCTGGGACGTTCGCAAACTTGACTGTTTGAAACGTCATCAAGTCCACGCGCGACTACCTCAAAGAAAAAAATGAAAAATAGAGGAGCTCTCGCGCGAGCAAAGTACGCGCCAGCGGAGCACCATGGGTAAGAAAATTTGGTAAACTATACATCCGAGAAAATTTGGTAGTGACGTCAGCGTACTCCGTCCGTCCGTACACTCTTTGGGGGTGATAGAAGGGAATCAGGTGTTAGCCCGTAGGGGGAGAGTATGTTATAAATCGTGCGATGGACTGTGCTTCACCGGCGAAAAAGGTCTGATTGGTCGTCGCGCGACCACGTGAAAAATGCAGGGTCACTAGAAAGAACGGCCTTTGTTCACCGGTGAGGGTAAAAGGCGGAATGAGTTTGCGGAATGGCATGTGGCATGGCTTGCGGAATGACATAATTATGCAGAATGTAAAATATGGAAACTGGCGCAAAGAAATAAATTAAACTGAAAGGCATGCGCGCGTCATTGCCGCGCCTTTTTTGGCGCCAATTTGAGTGAGCAACTGCTTCACTGGTTCACGCATTTAGGCATTTATCTAAAACATACCTGAGAATTGGCTAGGGTTCCTGAAGGCAGCCTCCAAACGAAAACATTAAAGTCCGGTAAATATAGTGAGGCGTGACCAAAATAACTTAGTCTCCTCGATTGTAAAGTAACAAGACGAAATATCTTCTTTTTCCGTTATCCTTAGCGAATTACCATCGTTAAAATCCTTATTTTTCGATAGAAGGGAGTACCAGAATACTTAATTGTGCGGTTGATTTTTTGCTTCTTCAAAATACTGTCGGCACCGAAAATGTTACTCCTTCGATCCCCGGGGGGGGTACTTTAGGAATTTCTGGGTGGGGATGTGCCGCTGGGACCCTGGAACCCTTAACCTATACCAGAGCTAGTTCAGCTGAATTTTGCTACCCTATACTTGAGTAAACTCCCAAATCCCCCCTATCCTAGAGTACCTGTTTCCCTAGTCTAGATAAAATCTTCAACCAACTGATTAGTTTCCTGAAAAATAATAATCTATTCTAGACCCAAACGCTCTGATTTATATACCCTATCCTAGAGTAAACTGCTTGAAAACCATACCCTTCACAGCGGCACATACCTATATAGCCCATATTTGGCAGTGCCCCCCCGGGCTTCGATCAAGAATTACGTTGCGTTACTTCCGTCTCTTCAAACGTACAATGTGACACGTGTAGTCACGGAACAGACTGTCACGCAGAGTCGCAGACAGGTAAAGTTCAGTGTTTCAAAATGGCTAAAATTAACCCAGTTTCACCTTTTTACCCCATTGTTTGATTGAAAAAAGCAATTTTGCAAAGGAAAAACCTACAAGACGTACGAAAAACGAGCCTTTAGGCTGTAAATATCTATTTATGTGCGTTTCGAAATTGGAAGTGTTTACACAATACAGACAATTACCGCCAGCCTACCATGAAAATTCCTGAACTTCGATGGTGTCTTACAGAGATTTCCTTCACTTACCCAAGCCAATTCCCAGGTATGTTTTAAATGAATGTCTAAATGTGTGATTTAAATAGCAAGAAGAGAATATGGAGTTATACCACATGTTAAATATTGCCGTCGAAAATGAGTAACGAACTTAAATTTTGTCCCTCATTTTTAAAATTATTTCAGTACGACCAGCTTCCCTATTGTCCAGAAAAAATCTTCTAGTGGAAGGAAAGAATTTTTCTGTTCGTGGAAAGTGTCCAAATTTCTCCATTCAGCTTCGTTTGCGAATGCGAGGAAAGTTGATGTTAGCGAATTTCAGGTTGAAAATTAATGCAGTCTGAGACGGACTTCGACATCGAAAACCGATGTTCTATTCATGTTTCTCACCAATGAAAGGCTTTCGGCGGGAACAATCTACGTTAGGTTTCTTATAAACCTAAAAGCTATCTATGAACAAAAATGAAAGAACTTGATTTTTCAACTCTTGCCACGAAATTAACATTTTGGTCGATTTCTCAAGCTCGCAACTGAGGAAACAAAATACAAGATTCGATTCATCTCTGAATATTATCAATTATGTCACGATCACGTAACCCACAGTGTCATAAAGAAACACTTCTCACACGGTTTGGAATACAAATATAGGTAACAAGAAACTGTTAAGTTAATCGTACAAACATCTTTAGCTGAAAAAATTAATTAAAGTAGAAGGGAGCGTGACCTTCGAAAACATCTTTTCTTCAATAGACGAAGAACCTTTTCTGCTGTGCGGACAAGGCTGGTCGACAATGAGCCTTCGTGGTTTTTTGATTGTCATCGTATGTTAAGCCCGCAACATTAAAACAGAGGCTGCGTTTGCAAATTGATTAGCGCCAAAAAAGGGCGCTCTTTTCAGTTTAATTTATTTCTTTGAAAACGATCTGCGTATATTAAATTCCGCATAATTATGTCATTCCGCAAGCCATGCCACATGCCATTCCGCAAACTCATTCCGCCTTTTACCCTCACCGTTTGTTCACAGCTCAATGCAGCAGATAAATAAGAGACCATGGGTCCTTTGAAAATGCTTAGACACCTGGTAGTTATTTTATTATTATTATTATTATTATTACTATTTTTTTCTAAAAAAACTTGAACATGAGCTAAATGAACTTTTATGTACACTTAAAAGTGTCTGCATTCAGTCTTTTCATTGAGAACGGGTGCAATTTTAATATCAAAACTTTAAAGCCGTCTTTGACCGAGCAAGGTTTTTTTTCTTTTTTCTTTTCAATGGTTACTGTGCTTGATCTGAATAAGATAATGAAATTTATAAAATTAGGGGAATACTATATTTAAAAGAAGAGAACTTTGATTCAAGTGTTAGTTGGAAAAAATACTGATTATATTTTTATAGTACATAGAGGTTAAAAAAGTGATGCATTTAGTCTTAAGTGCTACAAAGGTGTAAAAACCCAAATCTTTCCATTAATAATTTTATTGACACTGTCAGGGGCATATGCTTTCCTTGAGTACACATTTCTTCGGCAAAAAAATCTTATTTGTATGGCTGCACTTTGTTTAGTTTTGTTTGATTCAGGATCAATCAATCTTTTCTGAAGAGAATTGAAAAGTAAAGTATGTTAACATGTCAGATTCTTCCCACTGCCTTAGCAAACAACTAAGAGGAAACTGAGCTTCATAATAAAAAACAGATTAAAGTGAAAACTACTTCACGGTGAAACAACAACCCCTCCAAATTTATATCACATTAAATTCATGCAAAATGGAGATGTGATGAGAAGTTTATAGGAATAGAAACAAACAATAATAACAATGAAACTATAATGTTTGAATGAGATCTGTGAGTGTTCTCTCATAATTCTGACAGAGGATCAAAATTGGATCATGCCCATTCTACACAACTGCATACATCAAGATGATCCAACTAAAATTTCATTAAGACTCAAAGTTTACTCCAAACTTTAAACTCCTGATTATTTTTTTTCTTTGAAAGAACTTTTGAATACTTAGTAGCATGTTAACTCTGTCATTCATTCAGAACTTTGCTCCAAAAAAATTTAAGGCAAAAACAATGGACAGAAAAACAAAAGCATTCACAGGAAAATTACCCTGTTCATCTCCTTCCAGGATCCACTTCTCAAGCAAAGAAGCCCCCCCCCGCCACAGAAAGCCTTGAGTGCAAAAATTTGGTACTAAAAAATTGTACACGGGGAAATCATATCCGTAAGTGCAGTTCCTAACGCGGAAAGTAACAAGGACCTCGTTGTTGATAATCTAAATTTATGAGCAAAATAATCTAAACTTCCATCCTTGAATTATACCATTGCAAGCCTAAATGTACAGCAGCTGTACACTTTGTAAACAGAATGTTTTTTACAAATCAAATGTTGCTGGACCTATCGAACTGTGGCTCCAAGACGGTATTAGCGTTTTTATGAAAACACTCTCACATTTTCTCATTCGACAGTTAGGATAAAACTCAAATTTCTGTAACATACAAAGCTGTACTAATGTACAACAACAATGAAATGTGGATCGATGGACAAAACCACGTTTCGAACTACGTACTTTAGCTTTCGATCCACCAGCTACAAGACAATTTACACACCAAGACAATGGCTAAGAGTAATTCTTTACCTTCTCTATAATTTCCCTTTGTACCGAGTGACACGAGATTAAGTTGAACCAAGCGTAAGCGTATTTTTCTGCCATAAACAGTGTAAAGATGCGGAGATTAAGCATCTAAATATAGTTTTTCAGCAACAAAGTTCTCTCTAAGTCATATTTACAAAACAAAGCCCAAAAATGTCTGTCCCTCTACTTTTTTTGTTGAATCCGTTATAAGAAACTTGATCTAAACAACAAAAACATTTTGGATAGCATTCAGGAAAAAACTTTTTACCTCACAAATGTCGCGGTGTCCATCCGCGGATACTTTCTGTAACTCGCTCTTCATCCTCTAGCCTCAACTCCGTCATCAACTGTCTTAATGCACCTTTTCCCCATCTTCTTTGTAGCCAGTCCCGTTCCCAAACTTCCCTTTCCCTTCGTCTCTCAATTTTTTTTTTTACACAAAACGCCAAAAACCATGGCCGACACGATCCTGACGTCGGCCATTTTCGCAACATTGCTTGCGATATTTTAGGATGTCGTAAGTGAAAACCGTGCGCGTTTGGATTGTCGAAAGTCATGACACATGCAAGTCCCGCATGATAGTTGTAAGCAAAAGTCGTACCGTCTAAATCGGCCTAAATGTTAAGAGGTCCGTTAAGATGATTGACGGCAGCGAAAAACGCAATCGTCAGTTGGCTTTTGAATTTCAGAATTCGCATGTTTGTGAAAAGCGAATACGCATTTGTGACCGTAGTGCTCAGTTTCTAGTAAACTGTTTCGAAAAAATTGTTATGGCAACAAACAGTAGTGGATTTAATTCAACCTACATGTTTGCCTGTAAGTTAAGAGCGACGGGAGAGAGAAAGAAGCGGAAAGGCATAGAGCAAGAATTAACAGGCGAAGAGGATTCATGTGGAAAATTTATGCAGCATCCGAGACTTTTTTCCTGAGAGCTGAAGCTGACAGAGTTTTGTGTCATCTTGTAATGTTTTTACCTGTCTTTTTGCTCTGGATCTACAAAATTAAATACAGCTGATATCAACATTCTTTTGTTATTCTTGGCTGGCTTGTTTATTGGGTTGTGGTTGAGAAATGCGCCGCTCGACAAAAAGAAATCGGAAATCATCGTTTTCAAAAATAAGCTACTCTTAGTTAAGCTTACTTCACCTTGCTGGACTATGCGGAAAGTCTTAATTACTTGATGGGTTTCCGAGCTGCATCTCGACCGGTAAGCTTGAGTAATTATATTGCATTTGATGTTTTTTTTCTGGTTTCATGTTTATGCCATCATTTTACGCACGTTTGTAAGATTAGAGACAATTTATCTGACCTGGTAAATTAGTAAAGAACGTAAAAAGTCTTTAGACATTTTCTGACCGTGACAAGAAAGAAAACGCTCTGAAAAATAGGTTGGTTATCCTATTGTTTGTAAAAAGAAAGCTTTGAACGATGTTCTTGCCTGGAGTTCACCTTGACAAATAGCAAACACGGCGAAGGTGGCTTAAAACTTACCTAGTGGCCATACGTACGGGACCCGGACATCGACTTGTATTTGCTATTCACACTTAAATGTGAATGGCTTAAATGTGCAAGGTTTTATTCGTGATTCAGGATATTCAGAGACACTTTTCTCTCAACACTCTTCGTAAATAAAAAATTGTAGTCCTTTTAAATGTTTCGTTGAATTATATTTCTTGTCTTGATTGTTTGTCAAGGTATCGATCTCTTCCTTATCGCTTTGCTTGTTGTAATTTTCAGTCGTCATCGCATGCAGGAGTACTTAAAATGCCGCGTGTATCAAATGAATATGGTGTTTTAGAAGCAAAATGCGAACGAAAATGATTCTGATACCTCTTCCTCATTAGCAGCGTTCATTCAAATACTCGATAGCTCGCACTGTAAGTTTTGGCGCTTGGCAAAATTTGGAATTGGCTGGTTGGACGGTTGATTTTGTAAACTGAATTAAAATATATTTTTTTCGAAAGCTTTTGCTCAAAGCCCATTATCACCCTGCGTTCTACATAATGGCAGATTTTTTATAATTTGTTGTGCAAGGGAAGCGCGTGCTTCGATCGTTCTGAATATTGAATGAGTGCAATTTGGCTTGTAGGATAATTCTGTAAAAAACTACAGAATCATAATTAAAATAGGGAAAAAATGACATTAAATTCTGTCCGCGGTCTGAAAACAAACAACGCCTGATAGTTCTGTTTACCTTAGAGATGGTGTAAAAAGGCTGTTTTACGCGCTACCAGACTTGTAGCGAACGACGCACAAAAAAGTACGGCCCGATTTTTTATTTTGGCCTTTCCTTTAGACAGAGAGATAACACCAATAAACTATACCGAGTAAATTGGCTGCCATCGGGGGCTATCGTGTCTTTACGGCCTTTATAGCATAAAATTATAAAATAAAGGTGGTTTTGGTTGGGCACAGAGAATTTTTTTTCCACGCGTAATCTACTGTCGCTAAAGGGGATTTCTATTTATTAGGTGTACAAATAAGACTATTAATTCGAGGTAACATTTTACATGTTGCTTCATTCTCGCACTGATTGCAAATTATTTTTTCTCTTAAAGTCCCACCCTTAAACGTCATATGGATCTCCCCAGTTTGATTTAAATCATAAATTTATTAACTAGAGCTACGCTTTTAGCCCTGGCTAAATGTATATATTATTGTAGTGGCGACTGTTGAATTCTCTCTTGACAACACTGAAAAAAGGTTTGCGTACCTCTCCGGAAACCAACTTAAGATTAATTCAAGCGTTTACTTGGTCTATAAGTTACTTTGGTGAAATTCACGTATCCCGTATCTCTCTTGTTTTATTAATTGACCTCAGGTAGATAAATAGTTTTAGCACCAAAGTCTCTAACATTCTTTAGAGTGATTTTACTTGAATCGTGAAACAGATACTAACAAATAGTGCAAAATGGCGAGAACTAAACAAAAGAAGACAATAGAATTAGTGCATAATAGTTCAAGTAAAATCACTCTATTATTCTTCACAGTCCACTCAGGCTAATCTCGTACCGAGATATCAGTTTCGTCCAATCAAAAAAGATCTTTTGAACGGTGCACTGTCAGGTCCAAAAAACATATAACAAAGGAGTCTGAAAAAATTGCAACCAGGAGGCTCTTACTCTTTTTATTTTTCTCCACTCCAACGGACGCTCCAACCCTAATGACAATCTTATGTCTTTAATACTAACGCTCAGAACAAAGAATTATTTAACGAATAATAAATTTGTTATTTCCACACACCCGCTAAATTTTGCATATTGCTGGGCTGATGTGGCAGGTATTATGAAGAGAAAATTCAGTCTGCAAGAAAGCATGGAACCTATCTTGATATGTAGTGGTTCTGAACCCTGCACCATGTTTTTGTTTCACTAATAGGGTTAAGAGGACAAGGTGTTTGGTGCAAAGCCTGTAAAATGAGTGTTCATCGTAAGTGTCGGGATAATGTACCTTACTGCCGCGGCGAAATAGTAAGTATTCCTTGTAATGTCATAAATAGAGTATAGAAGTTAAGTAATTGGATTTGGGTGGAGTAATCGGAAAGAACAAGATGAAAACTGCTTATTTGCCAAAATTCAGCTGGGTAGAGCAAAACCAACGCGGACGACTTCATACGAATCCTTCCAAAACTGGCGTGGATCCTACCCTTTACGATCCATGTAGATTTTAGAAGGATTTATATGGAGTCATCAGGACAAAAGGTTGCTTATATCTCACCGCCATTTTGCTCTAACAAGCTAAATTTTGGCAGATGGACAGTTTTCTTCTTGTTCTCTCTAAATACCTTGGTCAATCCCATAATTTCACAAATTCAATTTTTTTGTGACGTACTTTTGTGCCCTATTAAAACCAAATCCACAGTCAGCTAATCATAGCAGTTACAGCCAATCAGAATTCAAAGGAACGTCAAGTACACGTGACTGACGTCAAGCAAGGTCACATGTGAGAGCAGGTCTCAATTGCTTGAATTTTTTTCAGCCAACAACCTCAGCTTTAGGCTTTTAAAAGGGGAAAGAGGAATAAAAAAAGCAATATTGGGAAGAATCGCCCAAGGAAGTTCTGGTTAAATACCATAATATATAGATTTAGCCAGGGCTGAAAGCGAAGCTCCCATTAATAAATTTATATTTTATATCAAACAATAAACTTGTAATCCACAAATCAGTTAACTTAAGGGCACATTCATGTGACTTTTGAGGGAAAAGATAAGTTATTTTAGAGTGAAACTTCTTACATCGAGTTGATAGCCTAAATATACATGTACGTACACCCAAAAAATAGCAAACATCTTCTATCACATTCAAGAGCCATAATGGCTCTTGATCACAGTAAATTAGGCCTCGAAAATAAATTCTTGGAAAACAAATCAGGCCGCATTTTTTTGCGTTCGACAGGTTTACTTTACAAATTCTTGCCAACAAATCTGAGGGTGTGTAAACCAACCTTTTACACTTTTTATACATCACATCTGAGGTGAAACAGTACTTTTTATCATACAGACCTCGGACAGAATACGGCATTTCACAATTTTTAAATGTTCAGGACTATCAATCGTGGGCTTTTAGCGAAACCGTTCAAAAAATTTCCAAAATCACCCATACGCCCAGCCGGTTCTCATTTTTAGTGCGAGCTGTCAGTGTTGTCGAGTGTTTGAATGAACTTTAATGGAGATAAGCTTCAACATAATAACGAATTTATTATCATTATTTTTTGTTATTTAATGGTTCCAGTTATAACGATGTGTAATCTTATAAAGCGTTTGATACGCGCGACATTTCTAAGTACTCCTGCAAGCGATGTTCATGAACGATGAAAACAAACACCACGGACAAGCGATTCAAATTGCAAGAGAGACTACTAACAATCAATAAAAGAAATACAATTCGGTAAAGCATTTACAGAGACAACAATTTTCATTCACGAAGACAAGTATTAAAGTGTCTCTAAAAATCCTGAGTCTTTAAGCTTAAAGCTTAAGCTTAAGTTTATTTTGTTTTACTTTCAGCCGGCCGTCCGGTGTTTGTTTTTTCTTCAAAGATGAACTCCTCGAAGCAAGAAAATCACTCAAAGTTTTCTTTCTACAGCCAAATTTATAACTAAATATTCTTCGGAACGTTTTTTTTTTCTATATACCCTAAGAAAATATATCTGAAGGCCTTTTAAAGTTCTGTAAGCTTATATCAAACCTGATACTAGATCAGATCATTGACTCAAATCTTTAACAAACGTGCAAAAACTTGCCGCATAAACTGTGCTCGACTTCATGAAATTAGATATAACAAAAACAAACATCAAATACAATAATTACTCAGGCTTACCATTCGAGATTCAGGTTCAGCTGAAAGATATCAAGGAAGGCCATAGTTGCTTGAGACTTTTAAACCCTCTCACGCATTGAGCAAGGTGAAAGACGAAAACGATGCCATCCGAAATCGGATTACCCAATTTTGACAAGCGACGCATTTCTCAACCAAAAACCCAATAAACAAACCAGCCATGGATAACAGAAGACTCTTGATAGCAGCTATATTTCATTTTGTACATCCAGTGGAAAAAGACAGTTAAAAACATCACAAGTTGACACAAAACTCTGTCAGCTTTAGCTGTCAAAGTAAGCAACTTTCAAGATGCTGTTCAGCATGAACTCACCTGTCAAATTTTGACCAATCAGAGTACAAAAATTGGGCGTAGAGCGTGACCAACGCGTGACCATGGTAAGAAAAGGTCTTCCCCGCCTTTATTTTTAAAAAAGTGGCTGAATTTTCGCGTCCGAGGTCAGTTTGAAATCAAAATCTTGACAGTGCGGGGCCATAGTGACATAAACACGATATATTTCATATGAATCATTGGAAAAAATAGACTTGAGCCTGCGATCATTTGAAACTGGTAATTTGTCAGTGGATAACTTCAAAAAAGTACTCGACCGCGATGGGTCGACACTTGAGCCCGCGCTACGGTCAGGTGATACTGGTCAGCGGATATCCTGTTTTGACAGCTGTCAATTGATCACAACATTGATGTGCTATTAGGTTTCTATTGGGCTACCAAACTAGCTAGAAAGTGTGAGAGTAAACATTGGTTTCCCTGTGGTGCGGACGGACGGTCGGGCGTACGGTCACGTGATTACCAAATTTTCTCGGATGGGTAGATTACCACATTTCCTTAGCTATGGGGCTCTGTCCACGCGCGCGCTTCGCGCGCGGGTCGAGCTCCGCTAATATTCTGAGGATCTACAAACAAACAATCCTCCTAGTGATTGATTATGGATGTATCGTATGGCATGAATGTAATAAGTCCCTATCAGATAAACTCGAATGCAATTCAATTCAATTCAATTCTTTATTCACACTATATAAGATATTTACATAAGTGTACGTAGTAGGAAAATAAAGTAGCTGACAAATAATAGTTAACTAAAAGACATTATAAGTTAATTTGTGTACGGTGTCCAAAGTAGCAAGAGCTTTCTTGTTGGACACCGTCATGTTGAAATAATTGGCAGCAGTAAAGAGAGGAATAAAATCTCAAATAATATCAGTGATAGAACATATAAGCAAGGTCAGATTTGGTTGGTTAGAAGACAGGACTTCCATTCTTTCTTAAACTTATGATATGGCAGACACTTGAGACCAGGTGGTACAGTCTCCCAGATTTTTGGAGCGAATGACTTCAAAACCAAGCCATGAGGGTTATTCAGAGGGCCTACAGAACCACCTGCACACAATATATGAGAAACACTCTAGGGCTGTTAACACTTAAATGGCTTTTTTTTTTCACTGATAGCAAAACAAAATTTCGAATTTCTTGTGTTTTGATTTAAAAAATAGCCTATTATATCACACATTTTGTTAAAGTTATGATTAACTGATGACAGAACTTCGTGTCGTCCAATTCGGTCTGTAATCATGCATACTCGTGATTAAACAAATCGGACTCCCGCTTTTGTTGATCACTCGTATAATTACAGACCGAATTGGACTCCACTCACTCCTGTTACCATTACTTATTATTATTACATTGCCCCTTGGATAGAGCCTCATATAAAATCTGACGTTCACATTATCTCTTGTTCTTTGCACGAACTGCACGTGCAATGACCGGTTTAGAAAAATAGAATTCAGAGTAAGTATAGGAGGCTTGCACTAGAACCTGTGGCTTTATCTCTGATTAAAGAGATCTTCCAACTCACTTCTCTCGTTGCTGAACTCCTGAACATATAAAACCACAAAGTTAGTAAAGTATACTTTGGCCAACGTTGCACGTTTCCGCGCAAATACGCTCAGTATGCAAATTTTCGGCTAACTGACCCCCCTTGCACATGCAAATCAGGCACGAAAGGTAATGCAAATGTAAGGTTTACATGACGTACTACCCAAACGACAATTTTGATAATATTATGGTATTTTCGTAAGGGCCTATTCAGCCAATCACAGTTAAATAATAAGGTCTGGGATGTTGTTTCTCTTAGCCAGTTGGAAAGGGCCAGTCACTTCGAATACAACACGCGGACGAGGATGACTCCGACGAAAACTCTTTTAGTGATGATGAAGATGTTCCAGTCCCACCCCCTCGCAGGAGAGCTTTGGGTCCAACAGTATCATTACCTGCTTTCAGGTCTAATGCTTTTTCTGGTGAGAGCCAAAAAAATTACTTGCCTGTTCTTCATCGAGCGAGTGGAGTGGTGTGTAAGAGAATTCAGAGTAATTACTTTGACCAATCACGATACGCGTTGAGGTTCACATGAACCAATCAGGACTCGGCTGACGCCAAGCACGGGAAACGCAAGTGAACAAATCGAGATTCGTTGTGGTTGTAATTCTGATCGGTTAAGAAAGTGTCGCGAGATTTTTTAGCCAATCAGAAAGCTGAAAAATATATAGCCAAAGTTACCAGTAGCTGGTTTGGACACTCATTAGACCTCTTTAGCGTGGGTCATGTGCTGTTCTAATGGAAATTTGTGTTTTGTGTTTTCATAAATTATGCGCACTTGTTAACTCAAGCCCGTTTTCTGATTAGACCATTAGGTATCATGTGTCTCATAACCGATGCACTTTATAACCCCCGCGGGCGAAAAAAAAAACTCGCGCGTGATCATGTCGTGTACATCGAAACCGCGGAAAATCTACGTGCCAGTCGCGCGGAGCAAAAAATGTTTCATGTTTATTATTTTTGTTTTTGTGTTGGGGAGTATAACAAAACGCTTAAAAGGGCTATCGGAAACTGCTTTTCATACTATTGCTATGTAGCTTTCTGGGACCGAGTGTTCAAAGCTCGACATTAAGCTGAGCGGAAATGTTTTTCGATGAAGAGATTTCCAGTGTTGCATTTTTTTAACCTACTAAGGTCTCTCTGCGTTCTTTTGAAAAGTTTCCAACTTTTCCTTTTTTGTGCCTTTAGATACAGCGGAGTCCAAGGGTTCTTCCACAGCAAATGTAAGTTCATTTCTTGCGAGGCACGGGTAGCGCATCACTTAAGCTTCCCTCAAAAATAATGTCCTCAATTTTATGGGTTCGAATGCCAAGGTCAGCCAAAAACAGTTGATACTCGTGCTTTTTGTAAACGAATGCGTTCTTTTGATATCTGTTTGATTTGAAACTAATAAGCAAGTAGGTGCTTTTTTTCTTTTTAGAATTACTGTGTTGCTCTTTATGATTTTGGTGGAGAAAAAGACGAAGATCTTAAACTATGGTAAGCAAAGTTTGTATTTGATGGTTTGTCTTTCAATTTTAAAGAGCCGAACGGCATGGACAGTAATCCAAGAGAGCCAATCAAATTCATCAATTCTGGCCAGTTGCTCTAATGTACAAGATGCTGTTCAAAGTGGACTTGTATCGACTCTCTATTTGAAGGGTTTATCAACACAGTACCTGAGTTTATATCCATACATGTACCTTCGATTTGACACTGGGTGACACTTAATTAAGGTACTTAAGTTTTGTCCAGTCTTCTCCAAATTCTTGGTACGTCTGTGATTAAAATTCAAAATGTATGTAAGTAGTTTCATGTACTTTTAATAGCCGCTGGGTTAATCTTTATTGTTAAGGGCGGCAGTGCAAACAAAACAGCTTTCTGGGTCCGGTAATTACCGGGACTTTGCCGCAACTGGCGCCTGGTGGGTGACTGGTCTTAAAATAACTGAGGAAGACGTTCCTGCTTTTGTCCTGCAGATGGGTATATTTTCACTGTGGAGATGCAGAGCCTACCGTTCCCCCTTTTCTCTGACATTACTATTTCTCGGTCGGATTCTTGGCAAATGTCCAGCCGGCCCTGGGCTATCGAACAGCAGTTTTGTCGCGCCCTAAGATGACCTCGAAAAATGACCATCCCAATTCCTCTCATGTCTTCCTTTGCGCCAGGGGTCAGGGGTCCCTTGGGAACATCACGTTCTCTGAATTGGGAAAACAAACATACAAGCGAAAAGGTCTATTGGCATTTATAGCACATAGAAAGTATAGGGCTGTATACATCAGTTACATTGATCGGTGTTAAATGAAAGCTTTATTTTTCGTCTTCAGTGCTGGAGAAAAAGTAAAAGTTATCAATAGTACTGATGAACACTGGTGGGAGGTACGCATTGTTTTTTTTTGCTATCAATCGAGTTAACAAATTTGTAAACATTGTTGTTGTTGAATTGTCTGGTACATGATCAACAGCAAGATAAAGTAGTGGTTTAAGGCTTGTTTTCACTAGCGACGGAGTCGGAGTCGTAATCAGAAGCGTAAAACTTTACGATCTGGTGAAAACAGCGTTCTGATTCCGCTTACGACTCCAACGTTTACGATCAAGTGAAAGTCGCAAGCAGAAGCAAAGGAACTAAACCAATCACAAAGCATGAGAACGTGCATTGTGATTGGTTTATCCTTCCGCTTCTGCTTCCGACTCCGATAATGTGGTTTTCACTAGATCATAAGCTGATTGTAAGCGACGGAGTCGTAAGCGGAGTAGGAAAAAATGGTCATAAGCGCTCTTACGACTCCAATTACGACGCGGACTCCGACTCTGTCGCTAGTGAAAACATAAAACTGTTTTGCGTAGTTATTTATCGATAGAACAGTGACCTGTTCCTCTGATGTGTGACTCGTCACGAGCAGTTTGTTACCATATACAATTTTGGGTCCGAAAAGTTTACTGAAAATAAACTGCTATCCACCGACCAAGGTTAGGTTGGGATAAGTGTCATTTTCTATACCCGTAGACCTGGGCTCTAAAATCCATACACGTTTTCAGGCCTGGCGTAGGCAGACATTATGTTATCATTTCTTAGAACGCCAACAGTAAGGTTTCTTAAAATCCATTTCGAATTCGCATATTACTCTTTCTTTCTTATTCATTTGGAATTGAAACGACACATACGTCCATGCACTCCCGAATTCCCTCGAAAACCATACGCGAATTCAGACCAAAATAGGCAAAGTCTATGCCCATTTTCAAACCAAAACAGCACAAAAACCATACTCTTTGGTGCGGCACATACTTTTAAGGCAAATATAAGAGAGTACCTTCCCCCCCTTGGGGATTTCTCTTGACGAAATTACTTGGGAAGACCGGAATTTACAGCAAATGGTCCGCATTAGTGGCTGTCAGCCTTCCAGTCGTTCTTTCGCTTGTGGTTTGTCAGTAGAGGTTAACTAATCGAAAAGGGTGAAGCAGCTATTATTAACACTTTTGAATTTAAAACCAAAGTTGTCTGTTTTTTCTTATTTTTATAGGGCAGCAGTAAAGGAAAGACGGGATTCTTTCCAGCTTCGTATGTACAGGTATTACGTCAATAGCTAATAAAAGTAGTTACAAAAGAAATAATACTGATCCATCTATGCAGAGCTGCAAATAACGGTTGGTCACCGGACGGAATCTCTAACTAAGGCCTCGTCCTCACATATTCAGATACTTTCAAAAATGGACATTTTAAAAACCTATTTACCGTTTTCAAAAATATAAACGTCCACACGTGGTGTATTTGAATCGTTTTCGCTGTTCACACGAAAACGCTAAAACGATGGAAATACGCTAGCATTCCATACGCTGTATGATCGAAAGCATCCGTTTTCGTCCGTCCACTCATAAAAGCGAAGCTAGCGTTTTCAACAATCTCCACTCTAAGGGCCCTTTTTGAAAACCTGCGTTTTTGGTGCTCGAAAACGACCTTTACGTGTAGACGGACGCCCCACTTGTTTCCCCGCGAAATGACTTCTGAGAAACCGTAACAAACGACTTCAGAAATTCCATACTGTTGACGTTTCACTTCCAGATCTGGGTAGTGCTTCTGATTGTTTGAAACAAATTTCTCTGGTGACACGACCAATCAGAAGAACTACCCAGATCTGGGTAGCAACGCCCCATCAGTATGGAATTTCTGCAGTCGTTTTGCGGGGAAACCAGTGGTGGCATCGCGAAATGTCGGCCTGTTTTCTCTGGCTGTAAAAAATCACCAGTTCAGTTTGGCCTAAGTTGTGTTCTTGCGTTCTTCTATTGTCGTAGAATCTGGAATTCAGTGTCATTATTGTTCATCCTCTTCACCCCCTTTCTTTCAGGTTATCTCACCAGACGATGTCATTCTTCGGTGTCTGTACGATTTCGCAGGGAAAGAAGAAGATAAACTTACGATTCAAGCCGAGCAGGTCAGTACTTTCTTTTTGCACGAGGAATGATCATCTTTTCCAGTTTAAATTTGTTAAATGTAATTTAACCACCACAGGCTTAGCGGTCAAGTGGTTCATAAGCTTCGGGGTCAAGCGGTTCACTAGCTTAGCGGTCAAGCGGTTCACCAGCGTAGCAGTCAAGCGGTTCACAAGCGTAGCGGTCAAGCGGTCCATGAGCTTGGCGGGCATCCGGCGGTCAATACCATAAGTGCAGGCTCACATGGTACGTGGTAGCTTTGTACACTGCTAGGATCTGCGAGTTCTTCATCGAGCGTTTGTGCAGTGGTCTGTGGAGCGGTTCATTTAGCGTCTTTTCGTCTTTTATAGTGATTTTTGGAGCAGCAGTCCTACAGCGTGTTTTTTCTTGTATCCTTTTTCTTTCAATTATTTTTCAAGGCGTGCACGTCGTCACGTTCTTTAAGGATGCGAACCACAAACAACAGCTTGTCTACAATGTCTTCTGCAGTTACCGCGTCGTCGCGTTCTCGTAGTGGTTCTACACCAGCTCCCAGGTAATACCCCAACTTCACCGCGAAGTCAACCCTTTCTCTGCCGGACAACAACTCTTTAGCACAGGCAATTTGAAGAGCTCTCGCGGAATCGCTCCCTACGTTGCTATCGTCCCTTCGAGATTCAAGCGGTGGGAACACAAACATGGCCGCGACGTCTGGTCCTCTCTCCTGGACTTCGACTTCTACTCAGTCTACGGCATCCTCCAGCTCCGGTACCCCCGGCCCTACCTCCCAGTCTTCAGGTACGCTTGTTGTGCCCTCGTTTATTTCAACTTACAGCTCATTTGGTGGTTCTTCGATTGTCTCTACTCTCCCCGCCACGTCCTCCGCCAACTTGCCTGTATTGGTTGGGGGCTCTTGTGGTGGCGCGACCGGATCTGAGTCCTCAACGTTTCCAAACGTCAACAAAGCACTTGTGGTGGGTCCTGGCTATGCTCCTGTCCCGTATAAGCTTGTTTCTAAAATTACAGCAGGGCTTTTTGTAGACTTGGCTGACCTACTTCCAGACAATATCCGAGCTCAAGAAATCGAACCCCAAGCGTTTTTAGAGGGAAAACCGGTGGTATTAGGGTCTAAGAAACGGGTCATCGAAATAGCAGATATCGTCACCTGGATAGAAGCCTTCACAATCTTTTCTATGATTCTTTGCCACACTTTCCCCTCTCGCTGGAAAGATTTAAATCAGTACAAGTTACTCATTATTCAGACAGCAAGGCGCTTTTTTGACAAATCGTGGCTCCACTACGACATCGCCTTCAGAAAAGAAGCCGCAGCCTCAGGTTCAACCGACTGGTCTCTCATGCACCCAGACCTCTACAATTTTCTCACTAGATCTCCGGTTACCACTTCAGCTGCTTCAGGCTCCTCAACTTCCTCTGCCCTGTCACTAACAGAGCTTCTGGCGTCTTTAGGCAATCCCCGGTCTAGCCAGTATTGCCACTCCTGGAATGATACACTGTCGCTGGCCCTTTGGCCGCGGCCGGTCTCGTCACTCCTGTGAAACGTGCCACGGGGACCACCCTCGCATCCACTGCCCTCACCGCTCCGCACGGAGAGAACCGTCCCGCTCCCCTTCTGAGTCAAAAGGGGGTCACCGCCGTTGCTAGGCCACTTCTAGCCAATTCAGGTGTAAATAGTTTTGTTTCTGTTCACGTTGGTTCTCATAGTATCTTTTCAGCGTTAGAGTTGCGTTCTCCTTTTGTTTTACCTTCTCAGCAGCAGGGTCTGCCAAGTTCCGGTTATTCGTTGTGTTCTCCAGCCGTTAGTCCTTTAAGACCAGTTTCTCAGCTTACTCCCATTAATGTGGATAGGTTCCAGTATGAACTCCGTCACCATCCTAACCCAGACAAAGTTGCATACGTGGTTCAAGGCCTTCGCGATGGTTTTCACCTAGGCTTCAATTACAGTACTTCCTTGAAGTCAGCAACGAGGAATATGGCTTCAGCACTCCTAAACCCTCAGGTCATCGACAATTGCTTGCAATTGGACGTTGAGACAGGCAGGGTGGCGGGCCCCTTCTCCCAGCCCCCTCCCTATCCTCCATGTGATTGGTTTCGGCGTCTTCCCCAAACGCCACCAACCTGTGAAATGGCGTCCTATCCTGGACCTGTCTAGCCCTGCTGGCCACAGTGTCAACGACGGAATTGCGGGGGAGGATTATTCTCTGCAGTACATGAAGGTAGATGACATTGCGGGCATAATGCCGCTTGGGCGGGGCTCCCTTATGGCGAAATTTAATGTGCAAAATGCGTACCGTATTATGCCAGTCCATACAGAAGATCGCCACTTGCTGGATATCAAATGGCGTGATGCCTTTTATGTCGATATGGTCCTGCCTTTCGGTGTCAGGTCAGCTCCATATATCTTCAGATGTATAACAGATTTAGTGGAGTGGGTGCCCAAGCGAAACTACGATGTCACCTTCCTGATGCATTACCTTGATGACTTCCACCCTCTTGGCCCTCTCTGGCTCCTCTGTCTGTCAACACAATCTGGACAGGTCTATTGACTGTTTTTCCAAGCTTGGCATCCCCCTCCATCCAGACAAACCAGAAGGGCCGTCGACGTGCCAAACCATCCTGGGCATTGAACTGGACTCTCTTAATCTACAGGCACGCCTTCCTCAAGACAAATTTGATAGGATAACTGCCTTGTTGGAGGATTGGTCACAGAATTGTTGCTGTAAACGCAAGGTACTGGAGTCTCTAATAGGTCACCTTCAGCTTGCCTACAAAGTCGTACCCCAAGGTCGCTCTTTCTTGTGCCGAATGATCAACCTGCTATGTGCTTTTCGACGCGATGACCACCCGATTCGTCTCAATCAGGAGTTCTTTCTTGACCTAGCCTGGTGACAAGAGTTTTTGCAATCTTGGAATGGTTGCAGCTTCCTTCAGTACCCCAAGTGGGCTCCACTCCCCGACTTCGAGGTTTCTTCAGATGCCTCCGGGGCTCTTGGTTACGGAGCATTCTTCCAGGGTCACTGGTTTTCAGGTGCATGGCTTCCAACACAGGTCTCTCAGTCTATCGAGTACAAGGAACGTTTCCCTATCGTCGTGGCAGTCTGGGGTCCCCGATGGGCCTTTAAATGGGTCCACCTCCGATAAGATAACCGCTCAGTGGTGGAAATTCTGCGGTCTGGCACTTCAAGAGCCCCTACCATCATGTCCTTGGTTCGCTATCTGTCCCTGTTGGCAGGTCGTCACTCCTCCTCTTTCACTGCCTCGCCAGTTAAAGGGACGTCTAACCCTATCGCTGACTTCCTGTCTCGCTTTAAGTTTCAGCGCTTTCGCCGGCCAGCCCCTCATGCAGACTCCATTCCAACCCAGATTCTGCAGCAGCTCCTCTCGGACTTGGAACTTCGCTGTCAGATAAATGCCACTTCTACTTGACTCAGGGTCTTTCCCCTTCTACTAGGAAAGTTAATGCTTCTGCCCAACGCTTCTTGGATTTCTGTGCTCAGGACAATGGTCTATCTCCTTTGGGATCATCCTCGGAGACCCAGGGGCAGTCAGTCGGGCTGGGTTAAAATTTTCAAGCATGAGCGGAAGAGCCCCTGGGTACCGACTCGCACCGGACCATTTCCAAACGGTCGAGAGAATGCTGGTTCCTGATTGGGCACAAAAAATGCTTTGTATTATTGTACCCAATCGGCGAACAGTTTCTCCAGAGTTCTTTTCCTGAGTTCGTACACGACGGCTATTATCCAGCCACAGTTGCCCAGTTCGTTCACCAAGCTTTCCTAACCAGAAACGAAGGAACTACCGATGAGTCGAAAAACGTTTCGGATGCTATGAGTAGGAGCAATTCAATTTGCACTGAGAAAATTCTGTTTCTGACGGATCACAATGTATCGTAAATAATAGGAAGTTTAAGATGAAGCGGCGACGAGAAAGTAAAAAAAGCAATAGCTTGACAAGGCAAAACAACAACTTTGTACGTGCATCGCGCTTTTTTGTATATTTCTTTGCCGTCACTGCACGACTACCACTAGGCCATTCCCGATTGCGCTCGTAAAATCCCAAAAAAGTGCTGGCAAAAATGGCTAAAAAGTGCTCAAAATCTCAAAATAGTGCTCAAAAAGTGCTAAAAGTTGTGAACAGTTACCTCTAAGCTTTTCGTAGATATGTCAATTTTTACTGAACTAATTAACAATCTATTTTGTGTAGTGTTATTCCACAGGTTGTTACGAAAGGTTGATAGAATATAGAACAATAATATTTTTAAAAAACTAAAGCCCGTTACGAATTGTAAATAAATTCAGCAGTACTAACGCAAAGCCTAGGCATCAGATGATTTAGAAATTTGAGATGACAGACGCATGATGCATCAGCCAATCAGACACTTCTGTTGTCACGCTCAGTAAGGATAAGTCCACGTGCCTTTCTATGACAACGGTCTTTTATTCTTGACAACATCCTTAGTTATTCAAATTTATGACCTGGAACACGATTCTCGTTGCGAGCGACACAGTTTTTTTTTTTTTTTTCAAAATTTGCTCCAAATGTGAAATATTGCTCAAATGTTGCCCAAAGTGCGAAAAAGTGCTTCAGGGTGCCCAAATTGCAAAATAGTGCTCCAAACTCAAAAAAGTGCTCAAAAGTTGCTCAGCGCAATCGGGAAAGGCCTAACTACCACGTAAAAATGCCTAATTTCACGTTTTGTGAAGGACGTAAACAAGCAAGCAAATTTTCTTTCTCTTTATGAACTTGGATATGGTTGATAGAAATTCATCTCCAGAAGAGTTCGCTTGCGTTTGACAAAGTAAGTGATGATGATGATGAACTTTATTCATGTGTCGATGTATTTAGCTGACGCTAATTGGGGACACAACATAAAGATAAAATAAATCATGAATAATATGATAAACAAAAGATAAGAAATAAAAAGCTATAAAAAAGGTATAGTATAATTTTATATATATTATATATACATTTACAATATTCTAAAATAATCAAAACAATTCTAGGAACACGGGCACAACTTACGAGGTACAAATTACGCACGGGGAGCAATTGTTGCCATTTATCAGTTCAGTAAGATCCTTACATCTAATATGAAACTTAAACCTAGATAGGCTGCTCGTTTCAGTGATGTTTTTATCTAGCTTGTTCCATAAAAAGGGTCCAAGATATCTAAGAGAGTGTTTACCATACAATACAGAATTAAATCTAGGAATATCAAAATGTGGTTTCTAAAATTATATTTACAAGACTTAGTACTGAAAATGTCACAAATGAAATCAGGAACTAGCCTATATTTAACCTTGTACATGAGTATAACTATGTCTTGTAATCTCCTATTAAGAAGGCTTGGTAGTTTAGCACGATCTAATAAGTTCATATACGTTTCTGAATGTGAGTTATAAACTATCCTTAGTGCCCGCTCTTGAATTCTTTCAACCTTTCTTGTATCCGACGCCTTACAGAAATGCCATGTGAGATGACAATAGGTGAGATATGGCATGATAGCAGTTTTATAAAGTAATAGTTTAGTCTCTGTAGTAATTAAGTTTCTTAACCTGGCAAGAATGCCCTCCCTTTGACTGGCCTTTTTGCATAATTCGCTAATATGTTGGCTAAAAATTAGATTCTCGTCGAAGTTCACACCCAGTAGCTTGATATTATCTGTTGCCTTAATCGCTTGATCATGATCACCGATCTTGTTGTTAATCTGTTCAGTTTCATTAGATTGTTTAATCCCTATGGCGTTAAGTTTTTCTGGGTTGGACAGTAAATAGTTGTCCTTATACCATTTAAGGGCAGAGTTTCCTTGCTTTTCCATATTAGTACACATAATGGACATATCGCTGCCAACTATATACATCTGATGGTCATCAGCATACATATTTATATTTGCAATCTCATTTATGTGATACGATAGATCAATTTGGTACAAGTTCCACAGTGTTGGACCAGGTCACTGGTAGCTTTGCCAACTTTCACCCTGTTGAGCCGGTCTTTAAAATATGAACGCATTAATTGCAATGATTTGTCATTAAAACCGTAAGCGCCAAGTTTGGCCACAGTTAATGAGGGAAGAACTGAGTCAAAGGCCTTAGACATGTCCATCGATAACAAAAGTGCTTTCTGTTTGTTATCCAAGGCTAGTCTCCAATCTTCCACCAAGCCAGTTAATGCAGTCTCACAGCTGTGTTTTTTTTTCTATAAGCTGTCATTTTAGAGTACATGATATGATCGTAGCTTGCCGTTATCTGTTTACATAGTAGTAGAATCACGATAGAGACTGAAAAAAATGTGAGTTCACTCTTCATGCGACGTTTCCGTGGTAGTCAGCTGTCGTGGCATATTAAACTCCCTAAGCGTGAATACCTGTTGTAAGCTCAAGCTTGTATTTTTGGAAAAGCGTCTTTAGTTTTCGTGTTTTGGTTTTCTTTACATTAGGCTGTTAAGTAAGACTTAAGAACTGCTAAGTTTTACTTAACCAAAAATGCGCGTGTGAAGGCCTAAGCAAAATCTCCAGTAACTTTAAAGTTGAAACGTTTCAAGAAAGTTTCAAGTGACTTGAAAACCATCCTTAAAACCGACTTAGCGAAGTTGCGGTTTCCAAGCTTTGAGAAAGGCGAAGCATGTCAATCAATCTTAATTACGTTACGTAGGAAAACATGAAGTAACAAAGATACGTTGTGTGTGAAGCTTTCTTTTACTTGAAGAATTTAAAATTTACTTGTCTTGAAATACTTCTTAGCTTATTTAGGCGCTAGTGCAAAGACTACCAGTATTTTGAAATGTAGCGTTTATATCAAACTGAAAGATTCCTGACTGCGTTAATTCATTTCTCTGGTGCATGAGCCAGACAGGCCGTGATCGAGTCAATAGCCGTCGTGTACGAACTCACGAAAAGAACTCAGGAGATGCTGTTCGCCGATTGGGCACAACAATGCAAAGCATTTTTTGTGCCCAATCAGGAGCCAGCATTCGTTTGACCGTTTGGGAATGGTCCGGTGAGTCGGTACCCAGGGGCTTTTCCGCCTGTGCTTGAAAGCTTTTGTCCCACCTTTTCCCCCGGCCCGACTGACCGCCCCTGGGTCTCCGAGGATGCTTTGGGATCAGCTCTTCCAGCCAGTGAAGACGAGCTCATCCGTTTCTGCTGTCATCTTGCTGATACTCTCCACCATTCATCCATAAAGGTTTACCTTTCAGCAATCCGGTCTCTTCACTTTGAAGAGGGTCTTCCTTCTCCGCTGGTTGGTTGCCTTCGGTTACAGCGTGTGTTGCTGGGTATCAAACGTCACGAAGGCTCAAATAGGCGTCAGCACCAACCCATCACAATCGAGCTGATGCACATTATCTTCCAGTCCTTGAACTTCTCTGACTACAACCATACCATGCTTTGGGCTGCCTGCTGTCTCGGGTTTTTTGGTTTCTTACGTGCTGTTGAGTTCACTGTCAACTACCCCTTCAATTCTGACATCCACCTTGCTGTCAGCGACGTCCAAGCAGATTCCCTAGTCAATCCAGGCTGCTTCAGGATTCATATTAAGTGCTCTAAGACGGACCCCTTTCGCCAAGGTTGCTATATCTACATCTATATCTATATCTATATCTATTGTACGCGCCCTTACCCAGTATCTACACGTCCGTGGCTCAACTCCTGACCCACTCTTCCTTCCCTCTCATGGCACCCCTCTACGTCGCAATGGCTGACATCCAGTATTCAATCTATCTTCTCCGCTTCTGGGGTCCCTGGTTGCTACACCAGTCATACCTTTCGCAGCAGTACAGCTACTTCAGCAGCCTCTTGTGGCTTACCAGATCACCTCATCAAGACACTTGGCAGATTGTCCAGCGATGCGTATCAGATCTATATCAACACTCCCGTCAGTACTATCGTGGGAGTAGCAAGCCTTCTCACTTGACAGGTATTTCTTGTGTATCTTTCTTTTTTCCTAGTTGTCTTTGTAGGGTGCCTCGGGACTTTGGTAGTTCGGGGCCAGGGCTTCCCCCAGCCCTGAGCCCCTCTTTCCCTCTCCGATCTGGCTGCGTCAGCTCGGAGAGTCCCTTCGGCTTGGAATGGGGGCTCATGGCTGGGTTGCGGGGATTTTCCATCCTTGGAGGCAGTATTCCATCTAGGGGCTGGCTGGCCACAGTGGAAGCCCCTGGGTATCCCAGGCACCCACCTTCCACTTAAGCGAGGCAGTTGGTTAAATTTGGTTAAATGTAATTTAACTAAGTTAACCACCACGAGCTTAGCGGTCAAGCGGTCCACACGCTCAGCGGTCTACAAGTTCAGCGGTCAAGCGGTCCACAAGCTTAGCGATCAAGCGCCCCATGTGCATAGCGGGCATCCAGCGGTCAATACCATAAGTGCAGGGTCACATGGTACGTGGTAGCTTTGTACACTGCTAGAATCTGCGAGTTCTTCATCGGGCGTTTGTGCAGTGGTCTGTGGAGCGATTCATTTAGCGTCTTCCCCCCCTCCCATCCCTATTCTTCTTCCTTCCACTGTTTCATCAGTGTGACGGGTGTCTGGAATAGGGGCCCATGACTGCGTTGCGGGGACTTGCCAGCCATGGGGTAATATTCTAGCTAGGGGCTGGCTGGCCACAGTGGAAGCCCCTGGGTATGCCAGGCACCCACCTTCCACTTAAGCGAGGCATTTGGTTAACCATGTAATAGTATATATGTACCCGCTTGCGTACGTTCTCGTATGAAGCTAAAACAAGTATGCCGATTGTGCTTGGCAACGTTTTAGCAACATTTGGCGTTTGGAGCAACTTTTTGCGGTTCTAGCAAACAAGAGCAAGTTTTGCTTTTCTGAGCCATTTTTGAACAAAATATAGGTCTAGAGCACATATTAAGCATGAAAAAATCAACGATTTCATAGAAAACTTCACTGTATGCAATTTTCTTGAATGTGTTAATTATAGACGTTCGAGATACTGATTGGTATGAGATATTACATGGTTTTTTGAGACAATGAAGGTTTGTGTTCCCATTTAAGTCTTAGTTTTTGTTTTTCCCTTGAATTGGGTGTCATTTTTCAGGTCTGGGCCTTAAATAGGGAATCAACTTTCGTTTGTCTCATCCTTAAATAGGGCCAGGGTTTAAGACCCTGGGCGCACTTCTTCCCCGAAAAAGGCCGCCTGTGACACAATGTCGGCGGTATTGGGGTGCGAACTGTGGACCGCAAAAAGTAATACCAAAATGAAGGTACTTTAATTCAAGCCCCAAGAAAAAAGATTAATTATTGTTTTTTTTACATAAGTTTGTTGTCGTTTGCTATTTCAGATCATCGTTCAGGTCAGAAATGAAGGCAATGGTTGGATCGTCGGCCAAAGGGGTTCCGTGGAAGGAGCCTTCCCAGCGTCATACGTCGAAGTACTTAGCAATAATGGTCCAGATTAGATAGAGGGTAATAAATAATCATCCAGAAAGGTGCAAGGTGTGCCTAAAATGGGGGACACTTGGAATACAGAAGATACCCTGCGCAGCTGGAGGTTTCGTTTGGCGAGCGCACAAATGAGGGCAAATTCGCGAAGGTGCGCGCGAACGGGCGGTGGGGCTGCGAGCACCCCCATTGTCGACGCGGCTTCACTGCTTGTCCGCGCTCTGTTCCGTTTCCCCTCTCCAGCAAAGCTGCCGGCTACGCAGGCAGATAAGGACCCAAACAATGCCCTTGACCCTAATAACAGTGAGGTGCAGCTTATAGAGACTATCATTAATACTGAGAGGTGTAAGGTATAGCTCACCCAATATATCTATCTCCCTTAAATAGTGAAATAACGTTTTGGGAATTATTTTTTCACGGGCTAAATAACTAGTTTTACAACATGAAAACCTTATGTATCAAAGTCAAGACTCTGATTCCAAATATTACCCAGTTACCTTTAAAAGGTTTGATCAGTGAACTGATGAACTCTTCTAATTACTTTATCAATATACAATTCATAAAATATATTTCAGCTTGTTTTGATGTTCGTGACAAATTATTATCAAAGTAACGTAATTGCCCTGTGTTGTAATTTTGATTCCTAAACATAGCTTTTGCAATACTGTATGTGTTTGTATGGTCATGCAAATAAAGCTCGTTGTTGTTGTTGTGGCTTTGTATCTCCGGATGTTTGTTACAAGAGCCAATAAGGTTGAAGGTACTATGAGTTGATGCTTACGAACCAATGAGAACCAATGAGAACTATTAATTGCTAAAGGTCGGACAAAGGCACTTTGAGACCGCCAATTTGATTCTTCACAATTTTTTCGTCTTCTATTACGGCTACAGGCGTTTAGAAGCATTACATTAAATATCTTCATGATTCAGACGTTGTGTACAGTGATGCAGCTGTTTAAGGGTTCATATCTTAGTGTGGATGCTGCTTCCAGACATTTCTGACCGAATTCGGCTATCGCGAACGGTACAACGCACGTATTTAGTTTGTTTATTAACAACACCCTGCTCTGCTAAAACCAGACGCGTGCCTCCCTCTCAAGAAAACATTTCACTTGTTTTAGTAAACCCTGTAACTCGATCCGGCATACTCTATCGGATCGGAGGATTGAGAGAGAGAAGCTATGAACCCCAGTGGGGGTACTCTAGATTTCAAGTGACAAGGATGATCGAAGGATTTTTTGGGGGTTTTGAACATAAGGTAAAAAGTCAGCTGGGCTATGAACATAAGGTAAAAAGTCCGTTTCACTCTGAGATTCAAACGTTTGAGATGCACAACTAATAAATAAAAAACAAGGGGAAAATGCGCACTCAAAACAAAGATACTTGAACTATAAATATGATACATGTTATATACAGTCGACTCCCGATAACTCGAACCTTCAAGGGAAATCGAAAAAAGTTCGAGTTATCGGGAGCTCGAAGAAAATAGCTGGAAGTAAGGTAAAAAACAGTTTTGTTAAGTGGAAATTGACAGATACTTTTAGATTATAAATCAGAACGTAGAGTAAGAAAACATTGCCTAAACAGAGCATGCGTTTTACTGTTTTGAGAAGTAAAGCTGTTTCACGCTGGATCTGTGACAAACAACATCAGCCTTCACTAGTAAACTGTGTCTAAAACACGTCAATGGGACTTCAAAATCCAATGTTTCGGAGGCCAGTACAGTTTTTTCCCTACATTTTAAGCACTCAAAACATGGTTCGCGTTATGGAGGGTAAAATTGCAGTAAATGTATGAAGGAAAGCTAGAGGAAATCGATTTTGGTTCGAGTTAGCGCGAGGTTCGAGTTATCGGGAGTCAACCGTATGATTCAAACATAAATCAATGGGTCAGGTCTGGAAAATAAATAAGTACATTCCCCGTGGTTGTCTACGGAAGGGAATTGCCATTAAAAAAAGATTGACTTCATAGGGGGTAGACTGTCCAAAGTCCCCCATTTTCCCATAAAATCCTCTGGATCAAGCACCTACCCTTTACAGGTGGCCATCTTGGTTTCAGATGTACTGAGGATGTGAATCAATCTACTTAGGGAAAAGGGGAAGGTTTAAAAGGAGGCTAGAAAATGTTTTTTTTTTTTTTTACCTCCCTCCTCCCACCGTTATAAGCCTCTAGGCCTGCACTTGGTCTTGACGATTTTATGGAGAGGAACACTAGTGATGACCCAGTACTATATTACATTGTAGCTTGCAAAAAAGAACAGAAAATAAAACTGAAAGAAAACAAGTGAGAATCTCAGCAGGTTGGAGGCAAAGCATTAAGCTATTTACAAGCATGTCAGAGGAACTTAACTCAGGGTTACCCTCCCAAGGGGTACTCCCACATGAAAATGACGGAGGTGCTATTTGTCTCTCTTAAGAGTAGAAAGTGCAGATTTTGGACTTTTTTGGAGTTTTCAGGGTGGAGAGCCAATCCTATAATCCATTAAGTTATCATTCAGGTTTGTGCGTAAAGAAATATGCCACCATAGTTATGGAAGTCACTATCCTGAGGATGGGGTGGGCGGGGAGTGGAGGGCTACCAAAAATAACTCCTGCTTGTGGCCTGAGCGAGATTTGTAACTGGGACGACAGAGTTGAAATCCAGCGCCCGGCTTAAGTCACTTGGTCATGCTGCCCCGGGGGTGGGGGGGACTACTCCCATATGAAAGGGGTGGGGATGCTCGTCGTCTCGCTTAGGGATGTAAATTTCGGATAATTGTTGGTCTTACTTAGGCTGTTCTGGACAAAACGTCATTAATGATGATAACAATTTAGCCACAGAGGTATCTCTTTTAGGGTTGCACACAAAGACATATAAAAAATTATACTTTCGATTCGTTTTATTTACTTGATTTATGTAATCAAAGTTTTTTTAGGGGTCAAAAAAGGTTGGGCCACGCTCAGATTGGTCTCGTTTAGGGGTATAATTCAACATTTTCGACAAGCATCCCTGCCCCATTCATATGGGAGTTCCCACGGCATGCTGCATCCATACACACAGGACTGTAGCCAAGCACATGTATCGTGCATGGTTGCCACGGAAACTTGGATCAACTCTAACTACTGCTTAACAATTATTCCTCAAGCCTGAATGGGCTCTGAGTCAATTGTGCATGGTTGCCACGGAAACTTGGATTAACTGTAACTACTGCGTAACAATTATTCCTCGAGCCTGAGGCAACAAGCTTTTCCCCGATCGATGGTTTCCATACGTCTTTATAAACATGATATCCACGCACAGCTGATGCGAAAGCGAACGTTACGCGTGGTTACTAAGCAATCGTTTTGTAGCATTCTCCAGCGCTTTATTTTCGTTCCATCGTTCCAATTTCAACTGTGGGTTCCAAGTTGTCTTTCGGAAATGGGAAATTGATTAAAAGAACCTTTTAAAAGGTATTTTCAAATTAACTTATTTAAAAAGCAAATAAGACATTAAATTTCATCAAGTTTATTTTGAACATTTTGATGCGCGAACAAAAACCTTTTTCACAAAAGCGCATTTTTTTTTTTTTTTTTCAAAATCATGCTTGAAAGCTGCGGCTTATGGGCTATAACACGAGTTTTTAGCCTATTGTTTTAGTAAATTCAACAAGTTCAAGGTCAAAAATATCGAGACAAAACAACTTAAAGCAAGACTTTCATTGAAAAATAGACCACTAGTGGGTTGGAGCTTTTACGCAGCAAAAGTTCAATTTCTTATGGTCAATTTCTTATGGTCACTACAGAATTTAATAATAATAATATTTATTGATTTGTATTGCGCAAATATCAATCCAGGGAAAGAAATTTTCATCTGTGCATAACATTGACTCAACAAAATCCTAAAATCCTATTACATGTTCCAAAAGTCTTATTTACAGATCGTTCCTGAAAATTAGTAAAAATAACAATTTAAAAATAAAGATTACTCCTTAAAATCCTATATACAAATTAATAAAGAGAATAAAAACAATAAATTAGCTGTGAAACGCCTTCTGAAATAAATGAGTTTAAGAGCCTTCTTGAAAGCATTAACTGAAGATATATTTCTAATAAAAAGGGGAAGATCGTTCCATAATTTAGGGGCAGCCATATAAAAAGATCGATCACCAAGCGTTGAAAGAGACTTGCATGGTGGAATGTTAAGAAGTTTGCCGTTATTTGATCTAAGATAGTACCTACCCCTGGTGTCTTTCGGTGATAAAAGAATTTACAAAGCTTAGGGCAAGCATAGGAGATAGTGGTGGATGGATTTCATCTGTTGTCCTTCACAAAAATAATACTGACTGTCTGTTGTTCTGTTAGTTTTTTCACTACGAAAATCTTTCAAATACCTGCATTTTAGTGCCCAAAAATGCTGTTTATGTGTCAAAAGAAGGCTAAAACAGTGAAACAGACTCTGTTTTCAAAAATATCTAGATACACGTTGATAGTTGAAAATTATTGAAAATTGAAAATTATTTTACCAATGTTAAGACTGTCCCTATTAATGGCTTTGTCAACCAAAATTAAACTTGTTTACACTTGGTCTTGACCTGAAAAAAAAAGGCATTTAGATAGTATATTTTATGTTTTCCTTCCACATTTTAAGACAATAATAGCTTCCAAGTCACATAGGTGCAATGCAAAACTCATGTAATGTAATAATAATGATGGTGTTTTAGAATGGGGATGTTTTTACCAATATTTGTTTGCTTGCGATTTTACATCAAGTGCACTGCCATGGCTTCAACAACTTCAAAGAAATCCTGGCGAAGTTCTTCAGATTCCTCCAAAGCTTTGTCCTTATTGGCCACAACGACTTCAATCTGAGCAGTGGTTTTCAAGCACACTGTGATAACATGAGGAAGTCTATGGAGAAAAAAAATGTTAGCAATGCTATACCTGGGGTACCTACTGTCCCAGCAGCAAAAAATAATGGGCTGGGCAAGTTCCTCTGTCTCTATCTAAGATTATGAAACAGACAGAGGGTTGTGATGAGCCAAAGGAGGGAGAGGAAGATAAGATAAGTCAACATACCATTTTGATATTAAAACACGCTGACTTTGTCTCAGAATGGTGGAAATTGTGTTTCCGAGGACTTGAATTTTCAAAATTTTTAGGGGGATGATGCCCCCAGACCCCCCTTTCATCGAACCCCCTCTGCTAAAAACCTAGATCTGCCCCAGGTTTTAGACATAGGCTGAGAAAATAGCTAACATTTTGCAACACCACCAACAGTTTCCCTGTGAAATGATGTCTAAGGAGTGAGCACTGAAATTCCACACTGATGACTTGTCACTGGGAAACATTACAACTTCATGCCGATTTAAGTGTGTATTTCGGAAATGGGTATAACCGCTGGATTTTGTACCCTGAAGGCTCAGTTTATTCCTCCGGACTTTCCCTTCGAGAGTGTTCGTTTTTACTCGGTTCAAAGAAGGTGAGATTTTATGGCGGAAGACTCAGAAGCGAATTCAAAGGAATTGAACAATGGCTTAATTAAGCTGCCCAGGGCCACGAAGTTTTAAAGGTATCCTTTTGTTCTAAATGTGTCAATAAAACTGCAGAGAATTATCGCACATATCGCCGTAGAAGTTTATGGATTTAAGTCTTTCGCAAAACTTTTTCGACTTGGGTACGTATTTTACAAAAAGGAGAGTTTTGAGAGCTTCAAAAAGAGATCTTGAACGAGAAATTTCGACCACTGTGGACCAAGATTGGATTTTTTTTCTTGCCGAGGTTTCAAAGTACAAAGCAAGCCACTGAAGCATTTTTTCTCGCCTATCGCTTAATAAAATCCGGCCGGCCGAGAGTTATCCATTCATTCAATCATAACAGTTATTCATTTCTCCAGAGCAATCAAACTATACAAACGTTTCTATGAAATTATTTCGAGGAATTATGAATTCCGCAAGTTTTGATCTGTCGATTACAGTTTTAGATATTTCCTGTCTCACTCGATTAGCTCTGCGAATCAAGTTGTCATGCAAATCGGTGAACTGACAATACGCGGTTATTTCGGGCCCTGCAGTCTTGTAACTGAAATGCAAGGTTTTTTTCAACAAAAAAACTGAAAGGCAAGCGAAAACGTCCAAAAAAGTGAAATTACACGCTGATAAATCTGTGTCATCCCATTAAATGCATTTACCGCTTGCGTTGTTTACATTTTGAAGAGAGTTGTTCGCTCTTGATTGCAGAGCGTAGGTTTTGATAATACTGAATGAATACCTTCCACAGCAATTCTTTAAACGCCAAATTATTTTCAAGGCAAGGGAGTATTTGATAAAAAAAATACCATAGGAGAACAGGTATTTATAAGCTTTAATCAACTTCAAATTTATCAGGCTTGTTTCGTTTGTAATACGGTGCGTGACCAAAAATACGTTATGCAACCAGAGTTGTCCGCCACACTTAAAAGACTTGTAAGCGTTCCCACAGACCGCAGCAAATTTAACAGGCAAGTCCGAGTATTTTAATGGATAAATTTAATACTCATCAGGTAACAATGGGGATTAAAAAGTCAATCAAGCAACAAAATTCGAAACAAAAGAGACATATCGCACCTAAATTAAAGGAATTCCGCTCGTGGATTCTTCGGAAGGTAATCGACAATGGCAAGAACAATAGCCTGAATATATCAGTCCGGAATATCCCTAAATTTAAGGACAGGGCCAACTGGTCACGCGACACTTTTCAACCAATGAGAAGGCGCGCTTGTGTTTATCAACAAACAAATCAAAACATCGCCACAGTGATCAAAAATTTTCAAAACAGCGGACGGAGTCGGACAGAATCAGTCACCGAGGCTCTCAGGCATATTTTTAAGACTTTTCATGACGCATACACAATTTTTTTTAGTGGACAGCGTATCGGGAAGCCACACTGGAAGTTTCTTGTGAAATATTCAGCACATTTTGCAGCTTATTTCTTCTTTTAAACAACGCGATGTATGGGCGAGATTTTGGTCGGTTTTCAAGGTAGGTGAACAAGTATCTATTATTTTTTCGATTCACAGATTTTTTTAGGAAGTTCTAGATATTTTTCCTCGATTGTCATATCGATTAACTTTTATCATGTTGAATGTGGGGATGGTAGACAACCAAGAATTTTGGTAGACAATTTTTGAATTCTGAGGGCCAAAACAAGTACGTTTTCCATTCCCGGGCTTCTCACGGAGCCGTGTTATTACTTTTTTTCGCATGAGTACGAGCCTTTGCCTTTTTTTTCAAGGCCAAAACAACTTTATTAGTCTTATGGATATTCACGTCCAACATCTCGCCTCACTTTGCCAAATTTGTGGGGATGAAATTGAAGATCGTAAGCGCAAAGTAGATACTAACCACTTTGTTTCTGAAATTCAACAAATCTGGAAAGATTTAATGTTGCTGCATGGATTCTCCAAATGTTCCTCTACCGTTAAAAAACAATCAAAGAAAGAAGGCAGATTTCCTGTGTAAATGATGCATTTCGCTACTCATTGAACATGCACTGATTATCTGGGATAAAATTAAAACATTGCAGGTACTACAGCAAGCAAGGAAAGCCGACCAGATGCGTGAAGTCAACACGAAACAACACCAAAAAACAAACAAGAAAAATTAATAAATTTGATCCGAACTACTTTTAATTCTTGTTATGATGACTGGTTCTTTGATTCTTGTCCTGTAGAAGTTAATAGGTAGTACCAATCCTGTTTTGTACGATCTCAAAAAATTTTCACACTCTCTTTTCAAGCCACGCCAGTGAAGCCACGACCTCTGCGATCGGTCTGGAATCAGTTCGAACACCCCAATGATTCGTTGCAATGAATAATGCTCTTATTCTCTTACATGAAATGTTTTCTTTGAAATATTAAATGTGAAACCTAGACGAGTACTGTAAGCTCATCTTTAATTCTGTCCGCCGACTCCGTCCGTTGTTTTGAAAATTTTTGATCACTGGGGCGATGTTTTGATTTGTTTGTTGATAAACACAAGCGCGTCTTCTCATTGGTTGAAAAGTGCCGCGTGACCAGCTGGCCCTGTCCTTAAATTTAGGGATATTCCGGACTGTATATGAATACTTGATAACCCCAAAATTTGGGGTACACTCTTAAATCGGCGTGAAGTTGTAATGATGACACTTCACCAAAATGGAATTTCTGTGCATCATCTTCAGACATCATTAATTTTTTCCAGGGAAATGATATTGGTGGTGTCGTCAAAATGTTGGCTGTTTTCTCAGGTTATTTTAGAGAGTACATGAAATTTATCTTACCATGAAACCAATGAGTAATAAGGTCAGCGCAACATGATCAGAGAAGGTGCCATTGTTTTCTGGAATTCTAACCAAGTTGTCAGCAAGAAGAGGATAAATGAAGAAGAAAAATCCAACCAAATGGGACCAGATGTTGATAGATTCAGTGGACAACACAAACGGACTGAAAGAAAGACAAAAACAAATTTTTCAAAATTACTATAATCGCTAAGACTCTAGCTAGTTTTGTTGTCTACAACAGTTACATGTATTAACACATATGCTGGGAATCTGAACTGTGATGTAAGGTTAATTAGTCTAGCACAGAGATGGTATTATTTTCCGGAATCTGGTCTGCAAATTTCAGCTAAAAAAATAAAGTGGTATTTGACCAAGTGTGGCCGTATTACTGTGTTATGAAAGTTTTAACACTCTGCACTGGTGCTGTGTAACAAAGATTGACAACTAACTAGGGTTAAACTTGCCCTCGGGCTGTGATGCTGAGTCTCTGTATCAGTTCCACACAATGAAAAGATGAATTTTCAAACCTGTTCCAGGCAAACTTTGCTCAAGGTGACGTACACTTGACCATGAATAGTAAGGTTTATAGGGGAAAATTAGAGTCATACAACCTGCTTAGTGGCACATTTCATTAAGCCCTGGTGGTGGTGATAGGTGGGGACTCAAACATTTTTGTCTTTAATAATCCACAGTCCAGTTTCTGCACAAATCTACTGGTCCCACTGCGGACACTTCGAGCTTTCCGAACAAAAAAGTGGCAAATGCTCGTGGAGGGGATACAAACATATTTTTTCAGATTGTAGGGATAATTTTTGTTATAAAAATTAATCAATCATAAGTCCTTGACGACCTTACCTTTTAAAACATAACCTGATGGATTAGAAGGGTCTGTATCCAGATGTTACGTAAGGATTGCCTCGAAGGAAATATGGTATGTCGTGGTAATTGTACAGTCTCACAGTTTTCGATTCAATATGTGATTCCAAAAATGAACTTGCATCGACTGTAAAACCTCTCTCGCCCAAGTCCATCGCAATACTTCACAAATCATGCATGTTGTGTCACACTAGTAGCTCCAAAGGTCAATCGAACATCTTCCGCTACGGGAATTTAATCAAATTGTCAGATTAAAATGATTTTAGGGCCATAAAAAGATATGTCCTCAACCAAAAATACAGAAAACGCTATATTTACAGTACTTTGTTGTCAGGCGACTTTTCCATTTTCCCGTCATTGTTTTCGAACCTATTTTTTTGCCAAATTTGGTCATGATGTCCAAATTTATATGAGAGACTGAGCGGAAATAGAACGATTTGCGGGTTCTGTTTGGAAATCACATCGGAAGCGGACGCTCATTTGAAATACGCTGGTCGTAAGAGTTAGGAAAGTTGGCGAAGTTTAGCCCGTTGTTCACACCGTCGAAAATGACCACGGTTAGAGAGGGATACCTGAGGGACTTACCTCATCCAAATCTAAACGACGTTCTCAAATCCAACACACACAGCGCTATTAAACTTCTAAAAACAGGTAGGTTTCTGCACTTTGTCAGCTGTAAAAAGTGAACATTGAACACTACTAGTTGCAGGCTAGTTAGCGTGTAAATTTTAGCTTGTAATAAGCTTACTTGATCTGAAGCTTTATGCAAATGTGGTGAATAGTTATGTTGTTTACTTCTTTGCTCAAGCAAGACTATAGATTAGATTTTGAAATAAATAAAGGCAGTTGGTTAAAATAATGATATTTAGGTTTCTGGATTTTCACGTAAAATATTCAGCTAGCGTGGATGTGAAATGAAAACAGTTTCTATTCTATAGTTGGGCTTAGGTTTTTTATAGCAAATGATACTTTTATCGACACATGAAATAAATAGCATGTACTTGTATTTAACGGGTGCAGTATAAATTACTATTTATGGTGACTAAATTGAAGCATACGATATACGTGATTTTTAATGACAGGACATTTCAATCTGATATTGACCTTTTAGCTTGCACCTATATCAAGCCTGTATCCCTTAGTATTCCCACCAAATACCTCTGTTAATATCACGTAGGATGCATGTTAATAAAGACTGAGGTGTAGTAAAGAAATCTCAAATAAATCAATCTCAAGTAAATTTTAAAAATCTCAAATTAAGAAATCTCAAATAAATTAAAGAAATCTCAAATATTGTATAATATTTATACATCGATGATTTATAATTTTGTATCACTAATTTTAGATAAAGGAGGTTAATATTGTCTAGTCCTTGGCTGACAAGCCAGTCTGTGACAAACTTGTGATCCTCTCCTGTAACATGTATATAATTATATACAATGTATCCTCCATGTTTGTGAACCATGAGCATGGCAGAGGCTTGTGATAGCTCCGAGATAGGCAAACACCTATCCCCAGTACTAACGTGTCATGCAATTGCCTAAGGGAATGGGCACAGTTGGATTTGAAGGACTCACTGGACGAAGTATAAAAGTTTAGTTATTGGTAACAGTACATGTATGAATACAATGTATGTAGTAATTAACAAAACTGTGTTAGAAGAGGAACAATATTGTAACTCTGCTCTGTAATTTTTTACGTAGAATACTGGTATCTGTATGTAGCGCCGCAAAAATAAGAGTGTAAAAACACAAACTAGACCCTGAAATGGGTTGAACTGCAAAACCACCAGAGTACAAACAGACCTTCTGAAAACTGTAGATTAAGGATTGGGTTCTCCAAAAGCGAACCAAGAAGGTTTAAAGTATAGATCAAGACTAATTTTTTCAAAATGGGCCTTTGTTAATGTGCATACAGTTGTGTATGCACAGAGTTAGTGTATGTAAAGATTAGTAGCTTCCTAAATGTTATTGTCAGTTTTCCTGACATTTTTCTCCCTCAGTCTGGATCTGTACATGCTTGTTGATTTATTACCAACTAGCAGCCTTGCGAAGACATGAGGCTGCAAGGCTTCAGCCTAATAGAGCCATGCGCGATTGTTCCAGGCGCAGAAAGAAATCTTGAATCGATGTAACAATAGTAACGTATTGTAAGGTAACAAAGAAAAAAGAACAAACAAACAAAGAAGTGCGTTGCATTTGCCTCCCCCGTTCATTGACCCGACGGCTACAAGTACACTGTACCGATGAGCCCCAATAAGGGCGAAACAGCTGTGCACATGTGTGAGGTACTGGCCAGGCCATAGGTTGGTGTACATGTGCTCCTTTCACCCCTGCTCTAAGTTTGCACTGTTGCAATCAGTTGAAGTTAAAGACATTTCTAAACAAAGTGAACAGCATGCGCATATGGGTAAAATCTTTGCTTGTTGGCACTTATTATTAGCAATAACTATAACTAGTTTAAGTAATTAATTTGTATGGTGGCTTCTTTGTCTGTTCTAGTTGGTGAATTTGCTCACAAAGTTGCAACTCTGAAAGAGCAGTTAGGAAATCAGCTTCTCTCTGTTGTAGAGTCATTCAGAAAGAAGAATACAGAGATGAAGAGAGACAGGTAAACACAAACAAAAGATACAAGACAGTAATATGGTATAATCCTGGTAACCTTTTACTGGTTCAGTCACTTGCCATAATATCTGCCATTTAAATGTTGGATTAACAATGGGACTATTGCTAATTATAAATTAAATGGAAGATAGATGCCTGAAACATCACAAGCCTAGTATGCACATTTGGTAGGCCAACTCCCAGGTAGAGGCTGCTCCAGTGTCTGGCAATTTCTGGTAATAAGATAAGAGTTCCCATACAGCAAGCATCATACTGATAATAAAGTAGAAAAGAGAAGGAAGAGATAGAGGGAAATGAAAAGATTTTACCAAAGTGCTATATAATTAGTATACATGCTCAGTTTTCCGGCTAAAATGGAATGCTAGAACCTGCACATTCCTTTTTTCCTTTTTACCCTGTTCACTGTAACGGCAGACATGCTTTGCTGTTAACTCCTTTAAATTGCATTACCTTCATTATTTACATGAAGCAATTATTGGATTGAAGTGAGTATGATATGGAGATGGAGATGGAGAAGGGATGTTTACTCGGCCAGTTTTTCTTCATAGCAGTTGTCATTTGTCGAGTGGTTCTTAAGTCTGTTCTTGCTATGTTTCTGAGACAATAGTGTGCATTTATATATTTATTTATTGATTTTATTGATTATTTGTGAAATCTTCCACCATTTTCTCCAGCTCTTTCTTTTTTTTGTTTTTTTTTTTTTTTTTGTTTTTTTTTTTTTATAATAATTTTTTTATTTATTTACACACAAGCACTACTTACAAAATGTTACTTAACACAAGTTACAGTGCTTACACTACTTACAACACCGTACTCATTACTTTTTTTTACATAGAAAGAAGAAAAGAAAGTTACAATTACAATTATTGACGACTAATAACTTAAACTAAAGTGATTACTAACATAATTTACAATACTAACACTATAAACACAGTGGCAACAGAAAAGTATAAGAGGATTATATATAGATTAAGTATAAGTGTTTTTCTTTTTATTTAGAAGAATAAGTAAAGAGAACTGAACGGCCTAGACTGTAATAATAATAATACTAATAATAATAAAAGCGTTACGATGTGCACAATATCGCCCATTTTTTATAAAAGTCACTTAAAGTTCTATTTTTGGTACAAATATATTTTTCTGTTTCAATTTAATATTAATCCTTAACTTAAACCCTGCAATAATTGGACGAGTTTGTGATCTTCTGCAATCCCATATATATAGTTTGGCTATTAGTAGAAAGTAGTTCAGTAAAAGGGCATTTACGGCTATTATACCTAATAGCACATCCTGTAGACTAAGGTTGATCAATTCATTTGACAACGAGTAATAATATAATTCAAAATCCTTCCAGAAAAGTTTTGCATATACACAGTCAAAAAGAAGGTGGATAAGGGTTTCCGGTTTATACATACAAAAGGAGCATTTATCATCGGTAATATATCCTATTTTATATAACTTAGTGTTAGTATATAATATGGAGTTAAGGACCTTGTACTGAAAGGCCTTAACATAGAATTCAGAACATATGATGTGCGGTAAAAGAAATGCTTTTTCTAGCTGATCTTCCGTCAGATTAAAATCCCGTTTTAAAGCTGAGGTATTTTTAGAAAGCTGTGCCTTTTTACTTATGAGCAATGAATAATAATCTTTTGATTTCTTCTTTAAAATATCAAAGTCGTTATTCTTAATTATCACGGAGGGTGGCATTGTTAAAAAGGTGTGATCAGATGTTCTAGGATTAGCTTTTAAGTGGGACGGTACAGCATATCTGAGACCTGCCCATACTAAGAAATTGGTTTTTCAATCTTTCTTATAATGATACTATGTGACTCTGCAATACTTAAATCAAATCGAAGATCGGAAACCAGAAGAAAACCATTGTCGAAAAATGTTTTGTAAAAAATTGGCTTATTATTTATCCTAATGTCTTTATTATTCCAAATAATATTATACCGCATTTTATCTGTAGAAAAGTCATCACGAAAATCAGCCCACCATTGAAGCAGCTCGGAGTAAAAAGGTGATTTGATTAGAACGTCTTTTACATCGTAGTTACAATGAAATAGAAAGAGGCCCCGAAACTTTTAAGTTGATAACGCAAGTAATTCTTCCATGTGCTGTCGTTTTCGCTGAAGATTCTCTTTAGCCAGGCAAGTCTTAAAGATTTGACCATCGTTTCTAGGTCAATCATTTTCAAGCCACTTTTTGGTAGTCATTTATTGTTGACAAACGTGTGACCTTGTCAACACCTCTCCATAGGAATTTAAATATCAATCTGTTCAATTCTTGAACCGCCCACTTTGGAATTGTTAATAATGATGCCACGTAAACAAATTTTGGAACAATCAACGATTTGATAACAGTAACCTTTCCATAAAGGGAAAGACCTCGCAGAACCATATGTGTACCAATTTTTTCACGCTGTCTAGTCTTTCTATAAAATTTTTCTCGTGTAGTAATTTTTGATCATAGGTGTAATAGACTCCGAGAGCTTTAATTGGTTCATTTGGCCATTTAATACCAAAAGGTTTTGATTTATTTTCCTTTAATGATCCGATCCACATTGCTTCAGTTTTTGAGGGATTAACGGCTAAACCTGAAATCCTCTTAAAATCGTCTAACAACCTGAAAAGGGTTTGGGCTGAGTCGATGTCTGACAGAACCACAGTTGTGTCATCTGCGTATTGAAGTAATTTTGTTTCCTTCTTGTCAATAGTAATACCTTTTATCATTGGATTTTGTCTTATTGCGATAGCCAAGGTTTCAACAGCTACTACAAAGAGATAAGGAGAAAGAGGATCACCTTGCCTAACTCCTCGTTCGACTGTAAAGTAATCAGAGATTATGCCATTGTTGATAACACAGCTTTGTATATTTTTGTAAAAAAAGAAGAAACCCATCTAATAAAGCTCTGGCCAAAATTAAAAGATTCTAGACAACTTTGTAAAAAGCTGCGTTCTAAACTATCGAAAGCCTTCTGAAAATCGATAAAGATCAACAAACCAGGAATGTTTTCTTCAACAGTGAAGTTCATTATGTCAAAAATCGATCGTACTGTTTCGCCGATATAGCGGTCTTTTATAAATCCAGTTTGATTGTAATGGATGATGCTTGGTAGAACATTTTGTATTCTGGCAGCTATAACTTTAGCCATAATTTTCGCATCCACATTTACCAAAGATATCGGCCTCCAGTTTTCCAGAAAGGATCGATCTTTTCCTTTCTTTTCGATGAGCGTAATTACTGCTTGCTTTTGAGAGCGCGACATTTCACCTTTTTGAAGCATTCGTTAGCACAGAGAATGAAAGGCTCACAAAGTAAAGGCCAAAATTTTTATAGAATTCGATGGGAATTCCATCGTTCCCTGGAGTTTTATTGTTTTGGAAACTATCCAAGATAAGTGCGCATTCTTCTGGAGTAATTTCACCTTCACAAGACATTTTTTTGTTCTTCTGACAGTTTAGGAATGTTTAAATCTTTTAAAAAGGATTTAATTTCGTGCAAATTTTCATTATTCATGTTCTTACCGAGTACAATTCTTGATAAAAACGTTGTTGTTCGGACAAGATCTTTGACGGATCCGTGGTAGACGAGCCGTTGATATTTAATTTTCTCATATGTTTTTGACATGATTTCTTTTTCTAGGTTTAAAAAGTATTTGGTGCTTTTTTTTCGCCATGCTCGTGCCAGCGGGCTCGCGCTCGAATAATTATTCCTTTAACCTTTTCTTCATAAAACAATTCGAGCATATCTTTAGCACAGTTAAGAAGATTTGCATTCAAAATACTAGGATCTGTTTCGAAAGCACACTTTGCATTAGCGAGTTGTTCTTGGAGTTCCTTTTCTCTTTCACTTCTTTCTCGAGCTTTTCTTTTGGAATACTGTATAGTGTGCGCTCTTATGTTGTATTTTAACCAGTCCCAAATACTTGACAGTTCGAAAGGTCCTTACGACCTTCAGCTAACCAGATAGGTATCCTCTCCGTGATGCCATTAACGTAGTCTTCATCATCTAAAAGGGAGCAATTCATTTTCCAGATACCTGGACCTTTGATGTCATCAGATTTGTATACAAGTTCAATAGTAATAGCTGCATGGTCTGTTCTAATTGCCGGGATTATATCTGCTGCTTTAACTAGATCATGTAAAGAATTTGAGATCAGCCAATAGTCTAAACGACAAAAGATCGTGAGGCAAATTTTGACTCCATGTAAAGCTCTTTTTCTGAGGATTCTTAACTCTCCATATATCGGCGAGATCAAACTCTTCTAGTAGGTTGCTAATGGTTGATACAACAGATTTTCTTGGACTCAATTGGCCTCCTTTCTTATCCATAAGTGGATTAAGAGGGCAGTTGAAATCCCCTCCCATAATAATGTTTTCTTCTTCATCAAAATTATTATTTCGCAAAATCAGAAGTAGATTGTTGAAAAAAGCTCACAATATTCGAATCTTTATTCGGAGCGTAGATGTTGATTAGAACATACATTTTGTCATTAAATTCTGCTTTTATTATAACATATTGTCCTGAGGGGTCCAACACTTTTGAGTGAATTGTGCAATCAACATCCTTTTTAACAAGAATTGCCACCCAGCGTGAATTGGAGGTCCGTGGGCCATAATAATGTCACTCCCCCATTCATTTCTCCAACACGTCTCTGAGTCCATTTTTGAGTGGGTTTCTTGTAAGAAGATGAAATCTGCTTTTTGCTTTTCGACACCAAGTAAATATCGTTCTCCTTTTCTTAAAATTTCCAATGCCCCTTACATTTAAGGAAACTAATTTGCACGTGCTAGCATAGCACATTTCAGTAGTAGTAAAATACCAGTAAAACTGTGATTGCAGCAGAAAACATGAGATATGATTAAAGAGCGCTCCGCTTGTTTTTGCAATATTTAGATAAGAATAGACCGTTCCTCAAATTAGAGGAAATTAACGAAAAAATTTCATCAGTACATATATATTAGAATAATAGATTCTATTGCCTTTTATGTACACTACACAAAAATGGAACAAGAGGGAAAAACACGATAATACACCTACCTCGTGTTCCAGATTAATATCCATCTACTAACAACCTAGATCCTACACAGAAGAAAGCTCCTCCAAAAAAAAAAAAAAAAAAAACATATAATCAAAATAAAAGGTGTCCATGGAGCAAAAATCTAACAAAAGGATGATGATCTTATCTGATGTTGTTTTGATACAAAAAAGAGCGAATAATTAAAAATCATACATAATATTGAGAAGAAAAGAAACTTATAACCGCCAGAAAATATTGTAATCGCTGTTCGGCAAACTAATGAATAAAGCTCAAACTCAAAGGATTCTTTTAGAGTCAGAATTTAATATATTTACCATCGATGTAAAGTTTGTCTGGTTCAGACTTGCTAAAGTTGGCCCGTCTACCTTCTTTTCTTGCCTGTTTTAATTTCTCCATCTGCGCTTTCCTCAGTTGATGTAGTTCCTTTGGAATGTCCTCAAACATTTTGAAGTTTGTGCCCTTTAGCTTTCGCCCTTGTTTGAAGACACGCTCCTTGTCTGAAAATCGTAGAAACCGAGCGATAATCGTCGTGCGGCCGTCGTTACCAGTATCATCTTTTGGCTTGCCTAGCCTGTGGACCCTCTGAATTCAATATGTTCGGCGTTCTCAACTCCAAGCGTATTTTTATAAAGTTCACAAGAACGCCTTTGGTATCTTCGTTTGCAGTTTTCCCTTCTTCAGCGTTTTGGGAAACTTCTGGAATTCCTTCGAATTTTAGATTTTCGCGTCGGCTATAGGCCTCTAAATACAGGATTTTCTTTCGGCATTCACCTAGTTCCTTCTTACGCTCGTCGAGAGTTGATTGAAGTCGGTCGAGTTCGCTGTCGACAAATTGGGAGTTGGTTTCCATATGTGTAAATTTTCCTTCGAGCTTTTCCTGTTTATCTTTGACTGATATGACATCTACTTCCACGGAAGTAATCTTGCTTTGCAGCTTTTTAACAGTTAAGCTTATTTTCTCCAGCTCTGATTACCAAACAGCTAAGCCGTCCCTCTTTCATCAATATTAATTTATAATTGCATCAATATTATCCTTGTATTGATATGAGTAGATATAGATCTTCCAAATTAAGTCATCAATAGCTGGGTATGAAGAATTAGCTGGGGGTTTTCAGCCATTCAGAAATGGAGAAATATACTTTCAATGAAAAATATTATTTTTATGAAATATTTATTTTTAGCATCTGGTTATAAAAGTTATAATGGTGTGCTAAATGCACTTTTCTGTTGTATGTCTTGTTGACTATTTCTCAAGAGAATATCCATATGATTGTATATTTTTTCACAGAAATGCTTTAAGCAGTGCTTTCAGTTGCTGGGAAGCACTTCTTGGGGAGTATGAAAAACAGGCTCAGGTACTTGTAGACTGTACAAAAGGCAGGTACAAAAGTCGGACCGGATCAACTCGGACCGCCAGTCCGGGTCGGATCGACTCGGACCAACTCGGATTGAATAAAAAAATAAAAATAAAATAAAATTGGACTCGGATCAACTCGGATCATAAAAAAAAAACAACTCGGATTATATAAAAAAAAAAAAAAATCAGTCGGTATCACTTAACTTTCACCCGCCATTTTGTTTTTTTCTCACGAACTCGTGGTTGCGTAAATTAATTTTATTTTTATTTTTATTAATTTTAATGATACACTAGTGAGCAGTACACATACACTTCCAGTGAACATTTTCAACTTGGAAGGAGGAGAAATCATGCTTGCCCGGGACAACGAAAATTTTTGTACCCCGGGCGAGAATTGAACTCATGACCCTCTGAATACTACATGTTTATCGGACGTTCTAACCACTGAACCAGAGGGTCGCGAGTTTGATTCTCACCCGGGGCATGGAAATTTCCTTTGTCCCGGGCGAGCATGGTTTCTCCTCCTTCCAAGTTGAAAATGTTCACTGGAAATGTATGTATGCTGCTCACTAGTGTATCATTAAAATTAAGTTTCAGAAGTCCTGCAGAAAAAAAAAAACAGGAATGAGAACACTCTTCAGTAACTATCTAAATGCGATTAACTGACCAGGGTTTTGATGCTTTTCTCATAAATAATTCAGTACACTTATTAATCAAAAATTATGCACATAACTTATGATCACGCCCACCTCAACTTCTTTGCTTTGTGACAAAAAGCTGCAATAAAATAAAAAAATAAGCAAATATATATTCTAGGCGACTGAAACTATCATTTTCTCAGAAGGAAGCAAATTCATTGAGAAACATGGTCGAGATTTTACCTTCCTCGAGGTCATCCATATCTGTGAAGCAGAGCGCATCGTGTAACGCAACCACAACCATGAGTTTATAACATGATCCGAAAGGAACTGGCACTAGTAAAACAAAATGGCGCCTGAAAGTCACGGAGAAAAAAAAAGGATGATCTGGCCTTTTTTACCCTACAACTGGGTTAAACTTTCAGTTTTGCTGATTTAATTTAATTTTTTTGATTGCTCCGAGTTTATCCGAGTCCAATTTTATTCGATCCGAGTTGGTCCAAGTCGATCTGAGTTGATCCGACCTGGACTGGCGGTCCAAGTTGATTCGGTCCGACCTTTGTACCTGCCTCTGTACAAAGGCATTATTTTTTAATGTGTCATGTGTTTTTAAGGTTAAATGCGGTTATACAGTGATGTGCAAGTACAAGAAGGAATGTTTGATGAAGATATTGAAAAGTGCATTTTGTAACTTTCAAGAGCTGCCATTTGGTTACTGAAAAACATTTTCCCATTTATGATCTTGCCTGAAACCAGCAGTATTTTTACTCTTGTTTGTATGCACTAAAACCTTTTCCAAACATGTGTACATTAATCTTTATGTTTAACTTCTTTGTTCTAAAAGATGGCATTTGAAGTCCCTCAGAGTGAGTGCAGAAACTCATAAGGGGTTGTGAGTTTCTAGCAAGTGACAATAATCTGCTTTTATACCACACAATTACAAGTGAACAGTGCTTTTCTTGCACACTGATTGGATAGCTTAGAGATGATTATTCAAGTACTATTCTCCTCTACTTTGTTGAATTATTGTTTATTATTAAAAACCTTCCCTGCTTTGTGTGTTTTATCTATTCAGGACATGTTAAAAGTATCATCCAGTCTTGCAAGACAGGTCAACACAGCAGTTTTTGAGGAGGTTATAAAAAAGAAATCAGTCACAAAAAAGGTATAGAAAAACTTGTAATTCTGTGTTTTCTGTACTAGCTGTGATTACATGTTTATACAGCCGGTATGGTTTAAATAACTGGTCTGCAGTATTTATGTGAAGCATAGCACAAATTATGAGCATTGACTTTTTTTGCTATTTTGCAGATTTTTTCATTTAGAGAGAGTGGTGAAAATCAGATTGAGAAGGCTGATGATGTACTTCAAAAGGTTGAACAAATATTGAATGATTTTTAATTACAGGCTGGGATGGTGCAATTTATGGGTGATGTAGTAGTAGTTTTAAAACATGCTTGTGGCCCTTAAGTTAATAAATAAAGGACAGAAATAACTATTCTTAAAATAATCATTTATACTAAAAATCACACTGAGCTGGAAGAAGGTACAATGTAAACTTTACTTCCTGGTTGTTTCGATTCAGGTCTGTCACTAATGGCCAGTGGCCAGGGATTACCCCTTGGCTACTGTGAGTCAGTGACTTGTGCATGGCTACTTTCATAGGAAATAAATGAAAATATATAGAACGAAAGAACTTCCTAGCTGTCCAATTTCCTATCTACTAACTGCATAAATCCTCTGTCGCACTATTATTTGTGGAACGGAGCATTTGTAGCCGGGCTAACAAGAACCCAGCTACAGTAGTGTCCAGGGTGGGATTTCAGCCGGGACACCCTAAACAAATAGGTGATGATTACGTTTCCACCAATTAATTATTTCGTAATCCTGACAATATTTTAATTTCTTTGTTCATGAAATTCAGTGCCATAAAGAATACTCAGAAGCTTGCACTAAACTTGCAAAATTGCAAAGCACAGGAGCAGAAGCTGGCAAGGTAAACGAATTTTTAATGGTCTTCTTCTACTTAAAAGTTGTCATGTTTTAAGATTACTTTTAATGCCAATCCTCACAGTGTAGCTGAGTTGTCAGTACAATCTAGAGGTTCTGTGTTCCAGTCCTCCTTTGACCACCATAACATTATGTTCTGGTTTAAATGTGAATTCGAGTCCTTTTTATTACTAAAAGCCTACATGCGCTTCTTGCCTCTTTTTCTAACTTTATTGCTGTTATTTTTTGTAGCAAGAACATGTTCAAACTCTTTGTCGCAATACCCACAATGCCTATGTACTGCAGCTAAATACAGTGAATAGCATGAACCGAGTGTTCTACTCTACGACACTCCCAGAAATGCTTGATGTAAGCGACAATAATATAAATTATTATAACTTTAACTCTAGTACATACATGTAAGGTACATTATTCTCCTACCCAAGTAGTTCTTCCATACATTTGTACCTTCAAGAGCTCCTTAACTGTTCGAAAATAGTTTCATTCGATTGATTGTGTTGATAGTGTTGTGGCTGAATTTCAGACATTACTTCGAGTTGCTTACTCCCTCTGTAAGTAACGTCTGGTCAACCAGCTGTTAATGTCTTCCAGTGATGTCATTACTCCTTTGCTTTAATTCATGCGAAAAGTAAGACACAATTTCCAACTGGCAGACAAAGAAATATCCTCCAGAAATGCGCAAATGGTTCAGAATTGCTCTACTCTTAAATCGTAATTCATGTTTAATGTTCGAACTGTCAACTGCATACAGTACTCTGAATGAATCTGTTGTAATTCAATAATCAAACTTGATCGCGGTCACGCAATGAAAGAAATTAACTTACACACACAGGACACTTCAAAACCACAACAATTGCTTTAGAATTGAAAATGAGCTTTTTAGTCCTTAATGAAGAAGGAAAAAAAAGACAAGAAATAAAAGAAAGAAAAAGTATTAAACAGAATCATTACAGTTGACAGTGGAAATGACAGGAAGCTCTAATGATTTTTATTATAAATCTCTCCAAAATCAATCACTGATGCCTTGCATGATCAAAATCACCGCAAGCCTGAAACCACAAAGCAGATCTAAATGAAAAATTTACTGGTCGTGACTCTATGCACTGATTTTTTATTCATAGTTCAATTTAACAAGTCATAGTTGCTGGTTATGGTAAAGATAATAATTATGCATAATTATGCAAATGTTTGGACAATCAACCAATTAAAATCACTACCCAAACGTCACTGGAGGGCATTAATGGCTGGTCAGTTCAGAGGTTACTGAGGGAGTAAGCAACTTGAAGTAATGCCTGAAATTCAGGCTAGTAATATTATTAGTGTCATGATACTCACTTTAATTAAAAGTCTGTAATGCTATAATTATGTATAATTGTTACGATGAAGCCCCAGCATGGAATAAAAAGAACGAATGTATATTCTTAGCAATAACAAAGAAAAAGGAATACAGTTAATCATGGGGTTCCCTTTTATCAAGGGTGGGGGCTCATAACATTAATTCTATGTATCTTAGGTCTTTTAAAATTAATGTAGTAGTTTACATAAATTATCACATTTCATTTTTTGGGGGGTGGGGGAGGGTCATTACTACTGGGGATTCAATACTCTTTAAGGTACAGTATTCAAATAATTATAACTTTTTCCTTTGTCTCTTACAGGACCTACAACTTGTTCAGGAAGATGTCTCTGAGTCATTAAAGATTGCTGTTAGTGATTTCTCCAAAATTGAGAAAGACAATGTAATAATTTTTTTAATACTTAATACACCCACTGTAAATGCCTACATTGCCATCTCTTGAGTGAATAATTCCACCATGGCTGACCCAACCCTGTAACTGTAACCCAGCCATGATGCCTCACACAAGGACACAGGCAACCTTCACTGAAAATAATATCAGTGTAAAAAAAAAACAAACAAACAAGAGAGGGGAGGCATGGGGGAGGGAGCTTGCTGAAGAATTCCTCACACTTCGTTGACACATTAGCCTCTTGCAGGTGTTCAGAAATTAGAGAGAGGTGCAAAATGGTGTTTGTCTTCTCTCCCTAGCCCATCACTCTATCGTGTTCTTCCTGCTTATTATTTTATTTTGTACCATCCCCACCATCAGAACACTGGGAACAACTATTGAAACATTGTGCTACATTCACCTCCAGACTGAGCCATTTACGGCATGCACTGTTTGCAGTCTGTTGTTAAACATGTTGAATAACTTTGTTGAAATTCTTCTCTGCAGATAGTTGAAAGTGTGCAAAGATTGGAGAGTATAGAACACATGTTTCAGATGATGGATAGCAGAGTGGATATCTCAACTTTTGTTCAAGCAAATAACCCTGGGATGTATACACCACCAGTTAAAAGCTTTAGCAAACCAGAGGAGAGTCAATCATTGGTATGTACATGTAGTTTGTGTTTCCTTCTTTTAAGTTGACTGAAAAGCATGGTGTAGATCTCGAAAACTGTGGCTTATAAACCCTGGGCTTGAACATCTTTGCTGGGGTTTTAGGAGGGCTTATAAACAGAGGGGCTTAGATCTGAAGGGGTTTAATAATAACTGCAATAGAATAAGTGCCTCGAAACATGCTACCGCGGTGCTGATCAAAATACATTTATTGGTTTTAATTAAGCATCAAAACGTCATGATACATCAAATTCAGTTCAATACCAGCTAGAGGATGGTGTGGGGAGGGGGGATTTTTTGTTTACTGGCAGATTTTTGTTTACTGGTAGATGGGCTCATTACCATGAAGGGGCAGTTTACAGTAGTTAGGTTCCTGGGAAACTGCCCACCTACCCCTCCCCTAAGCTCACATTAACACTCACTTCTCACTTAGGGCAAAATGATCTCTTAGGGGAGGGGTAGGTGGGCAGTTTCCCAGAAACCTAACTTGATCTGTTTACTTTTGTTAGAAGCTCCCTTTGCCTACCCGGAATTCCGTTAACAGTTAACACTCCTACATTACAAATTTATTATTATTGCTCTTTTGATTTGCTTCAAACAGTACGATGCTCTTTCTGTAGAAAACTAGAAATTCAACGTTTTAATATTTGCAGATGTCCCCTTAAGTTGTATTTTATCCCTGATACTGTGGTTTGAAAACAGATGGGGTCTTTCAGAGAAAAAGTGAAAAGAGTGCCATGTGAAATAGGAAGGAAAAGAAGTGGAGGGGGATACGGTTTTCTGATGAACTTCCCAATTCCCCCCATCCCCACTACCATAGAACAATTAAACAGTCCCTTTAGCTGTGAAGGCAAATGTAAAGCTTATAATATTAGGAAGGTTAATCAACGACAACGGCGACGCGACGACACCGAAAATGGCAAAAAAGTGATTGGTTTATAGAGTAATTTTCAATTGAGTGTCGAAAGAAATCCGGGATTGCATTGGTTTTGCTTTACTGTGCTCTGTGAGTGGTCTAGAAAACTGGTTACATGCGTTTACTTCGATTTCTCATTGGCTCCCTCTGATGTTTTCGTTTGTTCTAATTGGCCGTTGTGATTACTTTGGTTTTGGTTTTACGACACTCAATCGAAAACGAAACAACAACATTTGTTTTCCATCGTTGCGAGACTACAACATGAAAAATCTTTATTTAAACACAAGACAAATGACCATTTTCCTTTTTTTCTTGAACTCAGCTTCTGCCTGAGAATTCAACTTCAGAAAAAAGAACAATATTTAACAAATTAAACGAAATGGAACAAGAGCGGTAAAGTTTAAAACAGCGTGAACGGTATTTTTAAGCGAGGTCAGTTTCATCGCCGTCACTGTCATGGTTGCTTAAGTGCCCAGGTAATAGCTTGTGGGAGATGTTTTTTTTCATGGATTTTGGTTCTCATTTTACAGAATTTAGTAGAGAACAAGCTGTTTTTGGTGGATGTCACAGAACCTGTTCTTAAGAGAAAGTACATTGCTCTTCAAAAAAAGGTATTAGTACTTGATATTCCTGGCCCCTTGCAATTTGCTGAATAGTGACCAAACTACATGCAGCCATAAAGCACAGGTCACAAATGCAGGTTACTGCTTTATTGATAAATAACTAAAATAAGCAGTTTCCCAGGCTAGGAGACATTTTTAGTGTTATTTATTTACCTTAGCATTGTAGCCTGTACTCTAGACGTTTTTCCTTTTTTGACAATTTGGTGAGCGCGTGAGTGAAGTGAGCGCGCGAAAGCGAGCGTGGAGGTCGAGAACGAGCGCCACCCCATCGCGCTTGCGGTCAATAAATCTTCCGCGGTTTCTATTTTCATATGCGCACTCGACAAAATAGGGGGTGTGTTAATAGGCTATGCATTTGTGGAAAAAAACAAACGGAAGAGCGTGAGATTTTAAGTGAGTGGTGACTGCAAAATACGGCCATTCTCCACTATCTGAACGTCGCGAACAGGCTATTCAGGCTATTTTATTAAGTCTCAATCATGATAATTTTTTGCTTTAGTTACGAAACTTTGACACTTCAATTAAAAAGGAACAAGAGGCGGTGAAATCATTGAAACAGTTACAAGAAAGGTAAGGATACATTAGTTGATGCTCTGTAAGTTTTGGACAGGGTATATCAGCAGTCAGCAGCTCTATATAACTAATTTTATCGCCTGCGTGTTATGCGCGGGGTGTTTTTTTTTTTGCTTTATGGCTGTGTGGCCGACTGTATTATACCTACTGGTAATCAATTTGCCCCCCTCCCCCCCACCCCCACCAAAAAAAAGAAAATTCCAAGACAAAAATTTTACAGCTCGATAACAGAAGCCAACTGATTTGCAGCCTCCTTTCGATTATGAGGTTGCAAAATTGCTTCGAAGATGGAGGGGGCGGGTAGCCCCCATAATCGTACTTCCTTATCCTCGCGCGGATCTTGCGTTACTGGAGGTGGTGTTCATGGACAATTATGTAATAGTGACTTTTGCCCATAACGTGTTTGAACGTTGCAGATCGTTGACTTGCACCTGTTTTCGGTTTTATTGAGCTTAATGCCCAGTTTCCTTTTTCATCGATGTACTGTGCGTCAAAATTATCTCTGAAATGTGTTTTTTATTATGATCCAAAAGGGCAATGTTGCCTATAAGGCAAATGCGCAGTGTCTTTTGACTTGGCCTCTGTCATTGGTTCCAGATACTTGTCCCAAAAACCCGAAGAAAGCAGCGTCCAAACCAAACACAATTTTCAAGCTTAAAATTATTCTGCCAAGCTAATCCATGTCATCTGTAGTACCAGCAGGGAGCAAAAGCTAGTTGGTCTTGATGCCTAACACAAAATGTCTTGCCCAGGAAACATGTACCCCGGAGTTCCTCCGCGAAACTCCACCAACGCGTTACAGTAGACAGCGAATAGTTATTTTGTTGAAGAGATCTGTTAACGAAATGAGAAAAAACTAAATACTTCATATTGGGGTTTTACCGGTTGCTTCACTTTTTTAGTTACTTACAAAATCCGTCCTATGGAAATGCTGGAGAAGTTGAACAAGATTTACTGAGGCAAAGAAACGATCTTAGAGTGAAAGAATGGTTTTGCTGTGTCGCTAAAGACCAGGTAGGCAGGAAAGAAGCTCTTTTTGTTTTCTGGGCTCAAACTCATTTGTTTGGTTCCTACTTTAGCAAAGTTTTGCGTTTATTTTGATGATTTTTTAGGAGTGAAATAAGTAATTTTACTGTCTCGCGAATTTTTGCCCTATTTTTGAGGGCCTTTTGAAAAGGTTTTTTGCATCATCTTCAAACAAAAAAAAGCTAAAGAAGCGGTTCCTAAACTGTGAATTTACGAAGTTGGTAATCTTGACATGTAGTGACAAACTATACAGCCGGTATAAAGGAAAGTTTAGAATGGTGGAGATAAACCTGGATTACAAACGACAAAGGTGAAAAATTACAACCGTTTGTTCTCTGAAGGAGTATACACTGCATGAAGGGAGAGATTGTACTTACTAACGTTGGTTTTTGAACTTGGACGTTATCAGCTATCTTAAGATTTTTCGGAGATGTTGCTTTTGTTATGACACTTTTATGTTTGTTGTAGACTAAATTGTTTACTGGAGATGTGCTTAACAGACTACACGTTACAGAGGATGATCTTCAAGATGAAACAATCAGTGATGATGATAGTTCTGTAACAGGCACAGTTGACAAAAGACAGAGCGTTCATGTCAAGGGAAAGAAAATAAGGAAAGCTGGACAGCATGAGTTCGAGGACCACACTTTTAAGAAACCGAAATTCTGCTTCTACTGCAAAGGTCTTATAAAAGGTAAGTAAATCAGCGGTCAATTTAATAAAACTTTTACAAGTGTAGTTTACAAGTCAGTCATTGTTATAGAGTCTGAAAACAACAGCTACACTTGTAAATTGCACTTGTAAAAGTTTTATTTAAGAGAGAATAAAAGAACTAATTAAACGGAAGTGTACTTCCTGGGACGGTTATCATTAGATCCCATCGACCATAGTCCCTTTGGACACCTCGTCTTATTTACGCAACGTAGTTTTCCCCTTTATTACTTAGGGCTAAGCACTGCCTTTTACAGATTAGGGTTAAGTACTGCCTTTACTGTTTCGAAACTGGTTAGTTCTTTTTTTGGGTTGGGGTTGATCAGGGTTAGGGTTAGGGTTAGGGTTAGTTAGGCATCAAAATTTTTTCTTTTAAATTGAAGAGACTTGCACTTTCATGAACATTTCCAGCTTGAAATATCATCTAAGTGTGATATAATAGCAGAAAACAGTTCTACCTGGTGTAAATTTCATAAGGGGAGAAAGGGGCTATGGCCGATGGGATCTAATGCTGATCGTAGACGTTCGCAAACTTTAATGGCTGTGAAACGTCATCAAGTCCAAGCGCGACAGATTCAAAGCAAAAAATGCATAATATTGTAATGGCGACTGTTGAATTCTCTCTTGACAACACTGAAAAAAAGTTTGCGTACCTCTCCGGAAACCAACTTCCGATTAATTCAAGCGTTTAATCGGTCTACAAATAACTTTGGTGAAATTCACGTATCCCAAAGGCTAGACTGGGCGTTTCTCTCTCATTTTTTCCCTCTTATTTTATTAATTGATCACAGGTACATAAATGGTTTTAGCACCAAAGTCTCTAACATACTTTAGAGTGATTTTGCTTGAACCGTGAAACAGATACTAACAAATAGTGTAAAATAACGAGAGGTAAACAAAAGAAGACAATAGAATTAGTGCATAATAGTGCGTAGTATTCACGGTTCAAGTAACATCACTCTATTGTTCTTCACAGTCCACCCAGGCTAATCTCGTACCGAGATATCACTTTCGTCAACAAAAGATCCGGGTACGAAATTGCAACCAGGTTTCTCCACTCTAACGGACGCTCCAACGCTAATGACAATCTTATGTCTTTAAAACTAACGCTCAGAACAAAGAATTATTTAACAAATAATAAAAAAAAAAACTATTTCTACACACCCGCTAAAATTTTGCAGATTGGTGGGCTGATGTGGCAGGTATTATGAAGAAATTATTCAGTCGGCAAGAAAACGTGGAACCTATATCGATATGTGGTGGGTCTGAACCCGTCGACATATTTTTGTTTCACTAACAGGGTTAAGACGGCAAGGTGTTCGGTGCAAAGCCTGTAAAATGAGTGTACATCATAAGTGTAGGGATAATGTACCTTACTGCCGCGGCGAAGTAGTAAGTATTCCTTGTACAGGTGTAATGTCATAAATAAAGTATAGAAGCGATGACGTCGCAAAACTGAAATTTAAGAAGTTATTGGATTTGGGTGGAGTAATCGAAAAGAACAAGATGAAAACTGCTTATTTGCCAAAATTCAACTGGTTAGAGCAAATTGGCGCTGAGATATAACCAACGCGAACGACTTCTTTTTTTTTTTCAGCTAACAGCCTCCGCTTTAGGGTCTTGAAAGGGGAAAGAGGAATAAAAAAGCAATATTGGGAAGAATCGCCTAAGGAAGTCCTGACTAAATACCATAATATTCTCAAATTGACGCTTGGATAGAGCCTCATGTAGACTTGACGCTCTTTGCACGAACTGCACGTGCAATAGCTGGTTTTGAAAAACAGGATTCAGAGTACGTATAGAAGGCTTACACTAGAACCTGTAGCGTTATCTGTGATTAATTAAAGAGACCTTCCAACTCACTTCTCTCGTTGCTGAACTCCTGAACGTATAAAAACACAAAAGCAGTAAAGTATACTTTGGCCAACGTTGAGCGTTTGCGCGCAATTACGCTTCAGTATGCAAATTTTCGGTCAACTGACCCGCGTTGCACATGCAAATCATGCACAAAAGGTAATGCAAAAGTAAGGTTTACATGACGCACTACCCAAACGACAATTTTGAGAATATTATGGTACTTTTCGCAAGGGCCTATTCAGCCAATCACAGTTAAAAAATAAGCTATTAAATGTTATTTCTCTTAGCCAGTTGGAAAGGGCCAGTCACTTAGAATACAACGAACTGATGAGGATGACTCCGACGATCACGCTTATAGTGATGTTGAAGATGTTCCAACCCCACCCCCTCACAGGAGAGCTTTGGGTCCAACAGCATCATTACCTACTTTCAGGACCAATGATTTTTATGGTGAGAGCAAAAAAAAAATTACTTGCTTGTTCTTCATCGAGGGAGTGGAGTGGCGTGTAACAGAATTCAGAGTAATTACTTTGACCAATCACGATACGCGTCGAGGTTCACATGAACCAATCAGGACTCGGCTGACGCCAAGCACGGGAAACGCCAGAGAACAAATCGAAATTTGTTGTGGTTGTAATTCTGATTGGTTAAGAAAGTGTCGCGAGGTTTTTTAGCCAATCAGAAAGCTGAAGAATATAAAACCAAAGTTACCAGTAGCGTGGGTCATGTGCTGTTCTAAAGGAAATTTGTGTTTTTTCTTTTCATAAATTATGCGCACTTGTTAACTCAAGCCCATTTTCTGATTATACGATTAGGTATCATGTGTTTCATAATCCATAGAGCGATAAAAAAAAACCTCACAGTGATCAAGTCGTGTACCTCGAAACCGCAGGAAATCTATGTGCCAGTCGCGCTAAGCAAAAAATGTTTTATGTTTATTCGTTTTGTTTTTGTGTTGGAAGGTATAACAAAACGCAAGCTAAAAGGACTATGGGAAACTGCTGTTTATTCTACTGCTATGTAGCTTTCTGGGACCGAGTGTTCAAAGCTCGACGTTAAGCTGAGAAGAAATGTTTTTCGACGAAATTTCCTTTGTTGCGTTCTTGTAAACTATTAAGGTCTGTCATGTGTTCTTTTAAAAAGTTTCCAACTTTTTTCTGTGTGTCTTTAGATACAGCGGAGTCCATCATGGTTTCTTCTACAGCAAATGTAAGTTCATTGCTTGTGAGGCTCGGAACGGGTAGTGAATCATGTAAGCTTCCCACAAAATGTCCTCAACTTTATCGCTTGAAATGCCGATGTCAGCTAAGAACAGTTGATACTCGTGTTTTTTGTAAACGAATGTGTTCTTTTGATATCTCTTTGATTTGAAACCAATAAGCAAGTAGGTGTTATATTTTTGCTTTTTAGAATTACTGTGTTGCTCTTTATGATTTTGGTGGAGAGAATGACGGAGATCTTAAACTGTGGTAAGCAAAGTTTGTATTTGATGGTTTGTCTTTCAATTTTGAAGAGCCAACCGGCCCGGACAGTAATCCAATATACCTTCGAGAGGAGAGCCAATCGAATTCATCAATTCTGGCCCGTTACTGTAATTTTCCAGATGCTATTCAAAGAGGACTTGTATTGACTCTCTATTTGAAGGGTTTATCAACACAGTACCTGAGTTTATTTCCACACATGCACCTTCGATTTGACACTGGGTGATACTTAGTGTTGTCCAGTCAGTCTTCTTCAAATTGTTGGTACGTCTTTGGTTAAAATTCAAAATGCATTTAAGTAGTTTCATGTACTTTCAGCAGCCGCTCGGCTGGGGTAAGCCCGGTGTTAAGGACGGCAATGAAAACGAAACAGCTTTTTGGGTTCGGTAATTACCGGGACTTTCCAGCAACGGGCGCCTGGTGGGTGACCTCATGGTCTTAAAATAACTGAGGAAAAAGTTTTTACTTTTGTCCTGTAGACGGGTATATCTTCACTGTGGAGATTGAGAACATGCCAACCCCCTAACGTATCTATTTCTTGGTCGGATTCTTGGCAAATGTCCAGCCGGCCCCGGGCTATCGAACAACACTTTTGTCGCGCCCTGAGATGACCTCGAAAAATGACCATCCCAATTCCTCTCATGTCCTCCTTTGCGCCAGGGGTCAGGGGTCCCTTGGGAACATCACGTGGTCTGAATTGGGAAAACAAAAATACAAGCGAAAAGGTCTATTTAACAATCATTCCACTTGTGCGCGTTGGATATGAGATGGTACGCGCCTCGTTGGCTATAATCATCTCATATCGAACAATCGCGAGTGGAATAATTGTTTTACTAAAAACGCCCACAAAATATCGAGAATTCTTCCCGACTTTCATTTGTAAAAGCAACCGATTTTTAGCTGGTTTTCAATTTTGAGCAGACGTGTATAGTTACCAGTTGGAGAGCATGGTATAATGGCTCATGATGGCTAAGCCAATCAGAACTCTAGAATTGCATTATCCAATGATTCAGTTTTTAATAATGGCATTTATGGCACATAGGAAGCAGTATGATATATAGGGCTATATACATTGACCGGTGTTAAATGAAAGCTTTATTTTTCCTCTTTAGTGCTGGAGAAAAAGTAAAAGTTATCAATAGTGCTGATGAACACTGGTGGGAGGTATGCGTGTTTTTTTATTTTTCTTTCTTTCTTTTTTTTTCGAATCGAGCGCGCGAGCGGTTAACAAAATCCTCCGCGGTTTATAGTTTCACACACGCGCGCGCTCGACGATCTAGAGGGCCGGGTTTGTGAACAGGCAAGGTGCACGTTTTCTTCCCGGAGGGAGGGGGGTACTCCTGGGATTTCATGGTGGGGGTGTCATTTTCTACACCCGTTTTCAGACCTGGGCTCTAAAATCCATACCCGTTTTCAGACCTAGCGTTGGCAGAAATTATGTTATCATTTCTTAGATGAGAACGGCAACAAAACGATTTCTTTAAATCGATTTCGAGCTCGCATATTACCCTTTCTTTCTTATTCATTTGGAATGAAAACGACAAAAACGTCCATGCACTCCCAAATTTCCTCGAAAACCATACGCGAATTCAGACCAAAATAGGTTTTCAGACCAAAACGGTGCAAAACCCATACCCTTTGGGGCGGCACATGCCTATATAACGGAGTACCCCCCATGGCTTTCTCTTGACAAAATAACTTGGGAAGACCAGAAATTTAAAGAAAATGGTCCGCATCATTGGCTGTTAGCCTTCTAATCTCGTTCCTTTGCTTGTGGTTTGTTAGTAGAGGTGAACTAATCGAAAAGGGTGAAGCAGCTTTTATTAACATTTTTGAATTTAAAACCAAAGTTGTCTGTTTTTTCTTATTTTTATAGGGCAGCAGTAAAGGAAAGACGGGATTCTTTCCAGCTTCGTATGTACAGGTATTACGTCAATAGCTAATAACAGTAGTTACAAAAGAAATAATACTGATCCGTCTATGCAGAGCTGCAAATAACGGTTGGTCATCGGACGGAATCTCCAACTAAGGCCTCGTCCACACCTATTCGGATTTTTTTAAAAATGGACATTTTAAAAACGTGTTCTCCGTTTTCAGAAAAATATGCGGCCGCACGTAGCGTATTTGAATCGTTTTCGCCCGTCCATACGAAAACGCTAGAACGATGGAAATACACTAGCATTCCATGCGCTTTATGATCGAAAACATCCGTTTTCGTCCGTCCATTCGTAAAAGAGAAGCTGGCGTTTTCAACAATCTCCACTCTGAGGGCCGTTTTCGAAAACCTGCGTTTTTGGTGCTCGAAAAGGACCTTTACGAGTGTACGGGAGGATAATACAGAAAAATAATCTCCGTTTTCAAGAATATCCGGATACGTGTGGACGCGGTGAGCTAAAATTTGCCCGTGTCCGCGGAAATGTTACCTGCTGTCAGACTTCTAGTGATAACCAGACAGTTCAGGACGCCCCACTGGTTTCCCTGCGAAATGACTTCTGAGAAACCGCAACAAACGACTTCAGAAATTCCATACTGTTGACGCCAATGACTTGTCACTACTAAGATCTGGGTAGTGCTTCTGATTGGTTGAAACAAATTTCTCTCGCGACACGACCAATCAGAAGAACTACCCAGATCTGTAACACGCCATCAGTATGGAATTGCTGCACTCGTTTTTCAGACGTCATTTCGCGGGGAAACCAGTGGTGGCGTCTTGAAATGTCGGCTGTTTTCTCACGCTACTCAACGTCACGTGGTCTCCTGAGCTCTCGGAAAAAAAATCTCCAGTTCATTTTTGCCTGAGTTGTGGTCTTGTGATCTTCTATTGTCGTAGAATCTGGTTCAATGTCAGTATTGTTCATCCTCTTCACGCCCTTTCTCTCAGGTCATCTCACCAGACGATGTCATTCTTCGGTGTCTGTTCGATTTCGCTGGGCAAGAAGGAGATGAACTTACGATTCAAGCTAACCAGGTCAGTACTTTCTTTTTGCAAGAGGAATGATCATCTTTTCCAGTTAAACCATGTAATAGTATTTGTTCCCGCGTGCATACGTTCTCGTATGAAGCTAAAACAAGTTGGCGGATTGTGCTGGGCAACTTTTTAGCAACATTTGGCGTTTGGAGCAACTTTTTGCGGTTCTAGCAACCAAGAACAAGTTTTGCTTTTTTGCGTAATTTTTGAGCAAAATATAGGTTTAGAGTCCATATCAAGCACGAAAAAATCAACGATTTCATAGAAAACTTCACTGTATGCAATTTTCTTGAATATATTAATTATAAACGGTCGAGATACCGATTGGTGTGAGATATTACATGGTTTATGTGTTCCCATTAATGTCTTAGTTTTTGTTTTTCCCTTGAATTTGGTGTCATTTTTCAGGTCTGGGCCTTAAATAGGGCATCCTTAAACGGGACCAGCGTTTCCGACCCTGGGTGGGGCAAACATACCCGAAATTTTTGGGAGCACTTCTTCCGATCCCCCAAAAAGGCCGCCTTGCACAATTCGGTATTGGGGTGCGATCTGTGGATCGCGAAAAGTATTACCAAAATCAAGCTACTTTAGCTCAAGCCCCGAGAAAACAGACTAATTATTATTGTTTTTTTGACATTACGTTTGTTGTGTTTTGCTGTTTCAGATCATCGTTCAGGTCAGAAATGAAGGCAATGGTTGGATCGTCGGCCAAACAGGTTCCGTGGAGGGAGCCTTCCCAGCGTCATACGTCGAAGTACTTAGCAATAATGGTCCAGATTAGCTAGAGGGTAACAAATAATCATCCAGAAAGGTGCAAGGTGTGCCGATAATGGGGACACTTGAAATACAGATGATAGCCTGCGTTGCTGGGAGTTATTTTTGGCGAGCCCACAAATGAGGGCAAATTCGCGAAAGTGAGCGCGAACGGACGGCGGAGCAGCTAGCACCCGCATTGTCGTCGCGGCTTCGCTGCTCGTTCCCGCTCTCCTCCCTTTCCCCTCTCGAGCAAAACTGCCGGCTACGCAGGCAAGACAGGTAAGGACCAAAACAATGCCCTTGACCCCAATACAGTGGAACCTCGATTTAACGAACCTCTATATAACAAAGTTCTCGGTATAACGAACGATTTTCTTCAGCCCGGCCAAAATTACAGTAAAATGTATGGAACAGAACCTCGATTTAACGAAATCCTCGTTATAACGAACACAATCCACAAGCCCAAACGTAAAATTTGCCTCGACATAACGAATAAATGTCACCATGTGATAAAAGATAAATGCCAAACAGACCAACAAGGATAAAATTTATGTGTACAGTAGTTTTAGGCAATTTTGTTCGCCTGTTCTTGAGTTTCTAGTGCCGTAGCTATGTATAGCTCGGTACTGAAGTGTTATTACAGTAATTTTTCAGATCCGGAAATGATGCGTTTTGTTAATTAATTATTAACTATACCTCGATTTGACGGACATTTGGTAGTTTTCCCGAAAATTCGTTAAATGGAGGTGTTCGATATAACGAACCCTCGATTTAACGAGCAAACTTCCCCAGTCCCTTGGCACTTCGTGAAATCGAGGTTCCATTGTGTAACACTGAGGTGCAGCTTATAGAGACTATCATTAATACTGAGAGGTGTGTAAAAGGTGTAGCTCACTCAATATATCTCCCTTAAATAATGAAATAACGTTTTGGGAATTATTTTTTCACGGGCCAAAGAACTAGTTTCACAACATGAAAACCCTGTGTATCAAAGATAAATCACAAGCCTAAGCAAGCCCTTGAGACTAAACACTTAATCGAGAAGCACATTCCTTTGGTTGTTTTGGTCTAAATTTGGTCTCGTGGTAGGCGAAGCCAAGGGGCTCTCGGAACGACAATGGTGCGTGTCAAAGTGTGTAAGAGTTGTGAGGGTGTATGTTGTGGTTTAATTTTGGCCTAGGTTTAAATTTTATTTTTATTTGTTTCAAATTCATTCTTATAGAGTACCATACCCAAAGCGAAAGAAAATATGCATTAAACCAAGGATAAAATTGAACCACAACATGTACAATTTACTTATATATATACTTTTGAAATCGATTTTGTGGGAAAAACATATACATGTACGTTTCTGGTTATTCAAGAAATGTTCAGATACAGCCTGCTATCTTTACTCAAAACTTTTGAGACTTCAGTTTTTTAACACCCCGTGCGGTCGTCCTTGTTTCCTTAAAGCCACGTGCAGCGAGCAAAAAGTGAAATTATGCAAATTATTGGAAAAATCTCTTTTTTGTGACTCAAAACTGCTCGCAGTCTAGTGTCTTGAAAATAGTTATTCACATGACAAGCTGTTGAAATAGTTCGTTTCTTTAATTTTGGTCTCAAGGGGAAGAAATGGCGGAATTTTAATTGTATTTTAAATGCAAAAAAAGATGTAAGGTAATAAATAAATTTTGAAACATGTTTGCCTTTCAGCTTTTCTCTTTGCAAAGCTTGACTAAGCAGTGATAGCCATTCCAGGGGTGCTACACGCACTTATTGCGCTCACAATGGATAGCCTGTGTGTGTAAAGACCCCCCCTCCCCTCACTCTTACGAAATAACCCTCCATTGTTAGCCTGCATTTTTACATTCCTGGACTTGCGTTACCTAGTCCCTGCACTTACTTTAATATATAGATTTAGCCAGGGCTAAAAGCGAAACTCTCGATAAGATTTATAGTTTGTTTAAACAACATATAAAATCGTGTAATGCTAAGCGAAGAAGGCAACGCCGGAGAACGTTGAAAAACAACAATGGGTCTAATTAGCAAAAAAGAACCTTTGCACGTGCAGCACACCTTTTTTTGGACATTTCTTTGCCGTTGTTTTGCACGGTTACAACGTGAAACTTCCAGAAACGTTTTTATGGAGGAAATGTCGTACGTGTTCTCGTTCACTATTTTTTACTAGCGCTCAATTTCTCCTTACATTTGTGGCCGCTAGCATTTCTCATTTTATCACAGCCGCTGTAAAATTTCGCTATACCTTTTGAGTTACCATACCTATTAATAGAGTTATTTTACATTGGTATGCATGTGGTACGGACGGATGGTCGGGCGTACTGTCACGTGATCACCAAATTTTCTCGGATGGGTAGATTTTTCTTACCCATAGGGCTCCGCAGCTCTCTCCGCGCGAGAGCTCCGCTAAAGAGTAGGAACTACCGAAAAAGTGGTATATTGGGCAACAGGGTTATTTACCTCTAAGATCCTCTAAGCGTTTCTATGGATGTATTTAAATGAAAATGCCAGAATAGATTTGTCGCTTACAAGACTTTAAACTGCAAAACAGTCCGTGTTTTTGCGTATTCAAGTACGCGCGAGTAGTCAAACAATAGATCTTGAACGAAACGAGGCTGAAGACAGAGAGCAAGACTGGGGAGAGACTCTCGCCTCACACGCCCGCGCGCAAGACTCTTACGCCACGCTTTACCGATTTGTTTACTGATTTTGAGAAAAAGCCGACTGTTTTGCAGTCCAACAAGACTTACAACTGACTGGCAGGTATTAATCTAGTAGTGTTGCACCGCACTAATCAGAGACTCCATTTGCCAGTGTACGGATGTTCTCAATTGAACAATGAGATTTGGCAGCCTCTCCTTCTTTTGCACTAAGGCCTACTTCAAGGGCGGGAGCCTATTACAGGCTCCTTTTTCTACTCCTCCCAAAGATGGCGGCCACGACAGGGTTTACCTCGGTGTAAGAACCTGTGAACTTTTTCTCGCCCCCACCCTCCCCGCAAAAAAAAAAGAGAGAGAAATACGCCTGCGATGCATCCCCCGCCCCAAAAGTCATTTGGGAAAACTTGAATCATGCTAGCCTGCGTAGCATGGCGGTTTTGGTTGGGCGCGCGAGAACGAGCGGCGAAGCCGCGAGAAAAATGAAAACCAAGCTGCTTCCGCCCCAATCTCCTCTCGGTTTCTCTGCCCCCGCCCGCCTTTGTTACTTAACGCGCCCAACCAAAACCGCCATGCTACGCAGGCTAGAATCATGCTGTGTTCGCGAACGGTATTGGCTCGTCCCCAGTCTCCTCATCTTTTTCCTAAAGCGCTTGAGAAATTGTCTTGCTAGTTCCCCCCGACATTGGCCGCCCCCCTGCCCTTCCCTCTGGTACACATTGAGAGAGACGGCCGGGATCGAGCCAGCTTTAAGCAAACATAGTGTCATAAGTCGACACAAATAGCGCGATGACCTTGCTTAGTTTTTTACAACGCAAGAAACATAAGGAAACCTTTCGTGTAGAATACATTTTACTATGTATTTATAACACAAAGATTCCAGTCCAGCTGTTTACGACAAAATAAGACAAACGTTTTATTTTAATTTTATTTTACTAACAACACCCTGCTCTGCTAAAACCAGACGCATGTCTCCCTCTCAAGAAAACATTTCACCCTGTAACTCGATCCATACTCTTGAGAGAGAGAAGCTATGAACCCCAGAGGGGGTACTCTACATTTCGATTTCAACTGACAGGGATGATCGAAGGATTTTTTGGGTTTTAAATTCTCGATTTGAGGATTTTTTTTGGGTAGGGAAATTTTGGCAAGTTTTTTTGGGGGGTAACTTGGTTTAGTAGGGAATTTTTGGAGGTATTCAAAACAATCTTTAGATCGTGATAGTTCCCGCGTAAGCCCAGTAAAACCAAACTTGTTCTGCTTTCTGGAAATTTTTATGGCTCGGAAATTCGCCATGGGATTTTTTTAATTTTGTTTGAAACCCCATTCGATCATCCCTGTCACTTGGAATCCGGAGTACCCCCGCTGGGCTATGAACATAAGGTAAAAAGTCAGTTTCACTCTGAGATTCAAACGTTTGAGATGCACAACTAATAAATAAAAAACAAAGGGAAAATGTCTCAATCAAAACAAAGATACTTGAACTATAAATATGATACATGTTATATACAGTCGACTCCCGATAACTCGAACCTTCAAGGGAAATCGAAAAACGTTCGAGTTATCGGGAGTTTATCGGAGAGTTCGAAGGAAAATGGCCGGAAGTAAGGTAAAAAACAGTTTTTACTGTACAGTGAACATTTTAATCACATTTTACTGCAGAAATGTTGAGTGGGAATTGAAAGATACTTTTAGATTATAAACCAGAACGTAACGTAAGAAAACATTGCCTATTGTAAATAGAATATGCGTTTTACTGTTTTGAGAAGTAAAGTTGTTTCACGCTAGATTTGTGACAAACATTTGTGACCCTACATTTTAAACACTCAAACCATGGTTCGAGTTATGGAGGGTAAAATTACAGTAAATGTATGAAGGAAATCTAGAGGAGGTTCAAGTTAGCGAGGGTTCGAGTCATCGGGAGTCAACTGTATGATTCAAACATAAATCAATAGGTGAGGTCTGGAAAATAAATAAGTACATTTCCCGTGGCTGCCTACGGAAGGGAATTGCGATTAAAAAAGATTGACTTCATAGCGGGTAGACTGTCCAGAGCCCCCCATTTTCCCATAAAATCCTCGGGATCAAGCACCTACCCTTTACAGGTGGCCATCTTGGTTTCAGATGTACTGAGGATGCGAATCAAAGCTACTTAGGGGGAAGGGGAAGGTTTAAGAGGAGGCTAGAAAATGTCTTTTTTTTCACCTCCCTCTTCACAGCACTACAAGCTTCTGGGCATGTACTTGATCTTGATGATCTTATGGAGAGGAACACTACTGATGACCCAGTACTATACTACATTGTGGCTTGCAAAAGGGACAGAAAATAAAACAGAGAGAAAACAAGTGAGAATCTCAGCAGATTGGAGGCAAAGCATTACGCTATTTACAAGGATGTCAGAGGAACTTAACTCAGGGCTAGCCTCCCACGTGAAAGTGACGGGGGTGCTATTTGTCTCGCTTAGGGGTAGAAAGTGCAGATTTTGGTCTTTCTTGCAGTTTTCAGGATGGAGAGCCAATCCTATAATCCATAAAGATATCATTCAGGTTTGTGCATAAAGAAATATGCCACCATATGGAAGTTCCCATCCTGCGGAGGGGAGCGGGGTTGGATTGCTACTAAAAACAACTCCTGCTTGTGGTCTGAGGGAGATTTGTAACCGGAGCGACAGAGTTGAAATCCAGCGCCTGGCGTAAGTCACTTGGCCATGCTGCCCCGGGGGTGGGAGTACTCCCATATGAATGGGGCAGGGATGCTTGTCATCTTGCTTAGGGATGTAAATTTTGAGTAAATTGTGGTCTTACTTAGGGCGTTCTGGGCAAAACGCCATTAATGATTATATTTGGCCAAAAAGGTATCTCTTTTAGGGTTGCACACGAAGAAATATAAAAAATTATATATTTTCAATTAATTTTATTTACTCGATTCATGTAATCAAAGCATTTATAGGGGTCAAAAACGGTTGGACCACGCCCAAATTGGTCTCCTTTAGAGGTATAATTCAAAATTTCCGACGAGCATCCCTGCCCCTTTCACATGGGAGTTCCCCCTGGGCATACTGCATCCATACACAAAGGACTGTAGCCAAGCAGATGTATTGTGCATGGCAGCCATGGAGACTTGGAATAACTGTAACTCCTGCAAGTCATTGTCTTGTGGTCACTCCAGAATTTCAAAGCTTAGGGCAAGCATAGGAGATAGTGGTGGATGGATTTCATCTGTTATCCTTCACAAAAATAATACTCTGACTGTCTGTTGTTCTGTTGTTTTTCACTAAGAAAATCTTTCAACTACCTGCATTTTTGTGCCCAAAAATGCTGTTTATGTGTCAAAAGAAGGCTAAAACAGTGAAACAGACTCTGTTTTCAAAAATATCTAGATACACGTTCACAGGGCCTAAAATTATTTTACCAATGTTAAGACTGTCCCTATTAATGGCTTGGTCAACCAAAGTTGATCTCGTTTACACTTGGTCTTGACCTGAAAAAAAAAAGGCATTATATTTTATGTTTTCCTTCCACATTTTAAGACAATAATAGTTTCAACGTCACATAGGTGCGATGCAAAACTCATGTAATGATTAATAATCATAATGGTGTTTTAGAATGGGCATGTTTTTACCAATATTTGTTTGCTTGCGATTTTACATCAAGTGCATCGCCATGGCTTCAACAACTTCAAAGAAATCCTCGCGAAGTTCTTCAGATTCCTCCAAAGCTTTGTCCTTATTGGCCACAACCACTTCAATCTGAGCAGTGGTTTTCAAGCACACTGTGATAACATGAGGAAGTCTACGAAAAAAAAAAAAATTTACGAGTGCTATACCTGGGGTACCTAGTGTCCAAGCAGCAAAGAATTATTATTTGGCTGGGCGAGTTGCTTTGTCTCTATCTACACTGTACATGTAGGATTATGAAACAGACAGAGGGTTGTGATGAGACAAAAATGATTTCAGAAGGAGAGGATGATGGGTTTAGGGGGAGAGGGAGGGAAAGAGAGGGCAAAATACACCTGAATGCAGCAATAAAATAATTATTGTTTGTTTGTTGAACCCATACAGTGGATGGATGGGACTCACTGCACCACAGCTTACTTCAACATGTATAAACCACCGCCTCAATTGGATAAGTGCCAATCTGCCGAGCAGGTGGCTGCTTACAAGTTCAAACTCTGGCCGGACCAACACTTAGGGTCTTAAAATAACTGGGGAGAAAGTGCTGCCTTTGTAAACACAACTGCAAATGGTTAGTTTTTCGAGCCTTCTTGGATAAGGAAAATAAACCAGAGGCCCTATCTCACAACCCTTGCACCTATGCTGAATTCTGTGGGACATTAAAGAACCCATGCACTGTTTGTAAAGAGTAGGGGACATAGTTCCCGGTGTGGTGGTCTCTTTCTCATGGGGGAGGGACTGTTACGGGCCGCATTTAATTGGCACCAAAGGCTGATATGGTGACCCTGACAAGACTTGGTGAAACTGAGTAAATAAAATGTACCTCATGAGACGAGTTGCAGCATTGATGCTGAGTTTTCCCTGTTTGTCACAATATTTGTTGTAAAAATCCTCTTCTTTCTTGTTTTTGGGTGGAGGTCGTTTCAAGACATTTTTATTTCTGGCAACAGTGGTCACCCAAAAAGAGCTGAGAGCCTGCAGAGCTTGTGATTCATCACTGCTTACTTCATCTGAAAAACATTAGCAACTTCATATGTACTAACAACATTATTTTCTTTTTTAGTCCAAAACTAATAATGGGTTACAATTTTGACAGCAGTGATATGCAAATACAAAACTAAAATACCGACGAGGGTATGGCTTCCCCCTCGATATGTGAAAGAACACGTTTTTAAATTGAGGCAGGGGACATACATACATGTACCCCCCACCCCCTCCCCCCCAAAAGGGCCTCAATAATCAACTCCCCACTCTCAGAGCATAACCAAGGATAAATACTGGCTATTTTTCAAGTTACCAATGGAAAGTTGTCGATGTCTGGACATCATAAACAGCAACTCGCTTGGTGGGCAACTTCTGTTTGACGCAATAAGTTTGAAAGCATTAATTTTCTTTTAACTTACTACTGTAGTATGATTGTGCACTTATCAGAAATAATTTAATAGTAAATTCTGAAGGGTAGAGCTGAGAACAACTGCTAACACTAATACTGACCTCCAAGAAAGTCAAAGGCAAATAGGTTTTTCTTGGGTTTCACTAAAAAAGAATTAATGAAACAATCATGATCATGTTAACAACTGAAGTTATACCAAACAATCACCATAGATCATGTACACGTAGACCTGTTTAATTGCTGGGAAAGGAGGGGCATACAAGGTAATGCTGCTTTGTTAATGCTGTTCCTTCATAGTGGCCAAAAGGCATACAGCTGTAGCTGTTATGCATGCAGAGAACTTGAACATTTCATTATGACTCAGAAGTTGGTTAGAAAACAAGGGAGTAAATTAATATACATGGTGCTTTGCGAAGACTTCATAAAATTTGACGTTTCAACCAATCAAAAGTGTAGTATAGAGCCCTCAATACTTTCCTTCTTGTTTGAATCATTACTTAACGTACTTGAAAAGAATACAGACAATGCATGGGGATGGAGATAACTGGAACTGGTTGGGTCAAAGTATTAAAGACATCTGTATCTTAAGATATCTGTAATACTGAACCAAGAGGAACTGGTGCAGAAGTAATTTTTTAATTGGGTCCTTACAACAAACAAGCAGTCATAACAAAATACTATTCACTGTAAACATGCATAAATCATTTATTTACCATTTTTGCCACTTGAAAGGATGTTCATCTTGTCTGCAACTGAAGACACAGGCTTTGCCTCTGAGATGAAATAAGATGAGAATTCTCAGATAAATAATCTTAGATGTAGACAGGTTAGACAAGCAGCCTGCTGGATCTCTTCATCTGCACAGTCAAGCCATCTGATATTATGCGATGGTGCGATTTCGCACAATTTGAGGAAAATCGCATAATTCGTAAAAAAATACTAAATTCAAGTAAAGTAAACAATGAATTCTAACTTTAATTGAACATTTTCCTAACCTTAATGTTATTTAAGGTGATTTACCACTAAAGAAAGCCTTGCAAGACATCTGAAACCTTCGATCGCTGTATCTGGGCAGCCATTTTGATTTCAGAGACAAGCAGTGTGGTCAGCGGTGTAATGGCATCATGTAATAATTATTAAAAAAGTGTCCTTTTTCTTTCTTTCTAATAATTGTTTTCTTTTCTGGATCAAGATAATTGGACAAATTTAACTACTTTGTTTTAAAATAGATGTTTTATTATTCTTTTACATTCAAATTGCCTGTTAGACAATTCAATTAAAGTGGTTTTTCCCCTTTTGAAACCTGGTAAAACAATGTAAATTAGCACTGACAAAATTAAAATCACATAACTTATCGCATAATAGTCCTATCTTATCGTGCAATCTACCCTGAAAATGCCGCAGAATTTCTGATTTTTCATCACACCCTATAAGAAGGCCTGCACATGCAGTATGTTTATATATTTTTCATACATTCATGCAGTGTTTTCCAAAGTTATCTCCATGCATTCATGTTCATTTCAAGTCCATATTGCATTTTGTACATGCAAGTTGCAGCTATCACACTCCTTTTATTTTTCTCCAAGAATTTACGTTATTATCTCAATGCACTTATGTAATCTGAAGCTATGTGTATATCAAAACCTAATATTAAAATTCAAATTCTGATCTGTTGTCCCCGTATGTTTTCAATAGAAGTAGTGGGGAGACTTTCTTGAAGTATCAGGATGTTCTGTGATCATGTATCCAATTCTCAAGAGCACTCAATTTTGTAAAACATTGAAAGTCCAAGGAGAAATCTCATGCTGATCTCTCTCCAGGGCTGTGCACTACCAGAGCCCAGTGGCCCCTGGCACCTTAAACTTTTGCTCTTGGGCGACTAGAAAATCACATTTTTTTATACAGTCATATATATGCTGGGAACCCTAGATTTTACAGTTTCACAGCACTAGGCTCCCTTCAATTTTCCTTAGAGCACAGCCTTGCTCTTACAGCTTTAACTTGAGTTAAAACCTGGAATAAATGAAAAATATAAAGATGCAGTACTGCTCAGCTTTTATGGCCAAATAATTAAGTACCTTAAAACTCAGGTACAATTAATACACTGTACTTTTAATAATTATTTACAATAGTTGTTTCTTTTATGTTTTAAGTGATGTTATATATAGAGCGGTTTTCACTTGACTGTCGTAAAACCAAAACCAAAGTAAATACACTAGCCAACCAAAGGGCGTAGTAAAACCAAAACCAAAACCAAAACCAATCCCTTTCGACAGTCAAGTGAAAACCGCTCTATAATATAAATTACTAATACTAGTACCTGATTTAGTTTTCTCTATGTTAATATGTTGTTCTTGTTGTTCCTTTGATGTTAATGATTCAGTCTTATTTATCTCTTTAAAACTGGATGATGTAATGTCCTACAAATAGAGTATAAATTAATGTGTTAGTGCAGTAATCAAGACTGACATTATGTTGATAATACCATTTTGTGGTTAATGTGCAGCCACATGTATTTTAATAGACACTAGGTGTGGTTACATGGGACACTATTACTGTGGTAAATGAACCTTTTACCAAGGGGAAATTGTATTAATGTGTGTGACCAGAATTTTTCCAGGTAAATTTCCTGTTTTAAATATCGATGGATACATATAAAACAACAAAGAAAGTGCCCAGGACTTTAATGTGCTAATTAGCAAGTTTGTTTTGCTGCCCACGGTAAGACAACCAATCACAAAGCTCCAATTGACAAAGAATCTTGTTTATCATCAAGGGTCTAATTAGCACTTTTATTTCCAACAACACCAGAAGAATAACATGTTGCAATTTGTTGTTATGGCTGGTTTTTGCACTATTTGATAAGCTACCTTTCAAAATTGTCTTCAGAGAAACATTTGAAATCATTCGCTTAGTCACACCAGATAATGTCAGCAAACATTTGTATTTTTTTGTAGGGCAAATTCGAATTTGGATTCACTCGCTCGTTCACTTGATTCTGAAACTTCAGAAATTAAGCTTGGACCATCTGGGTTATGTTTTTTGTTATCCTGAATATCAACAGTTTTTAAAACCGTTTTTAAAAATCCCACTTGCTCTAAAAGTCCTTCAAGTGCTTCTCAGGAAAATAATTGTGTGAAAACAGAAATCAACTGTGGTAAAGTTTACCCGAGTAAAAAACCGCGGCAAATTTACCACAGGAAAGAACTTTTATCATGGTGTGTGTAACCGCATCTCCTCTTCTGAAGAAAAGCAAAAAGCCTTAAAACCAAGATCACAAGGTAAATATGGGATTTTTATAATAATGGGGTTTTATTCATGGGGTTTTACTGTAAACAAGCTGCCCAGAAGTGGCTAATTCAACAGGGCCAAAGTGGACAAATAAAATATTACCAAAAAATTATTATTATTGATAATTTGTCCACATGGCCCTGTTGAATAAGCCACTTCTGGACAGCTTGTTTACAGTAAAACCCCATGACTAAGAACCTGGGTTTCATGAAACTGTTAGGCGAAAATTTGCCAGTTAAGCCACCTCTATATAACAAACTGTTTAGCCTAAAATATTGAAACAACTTCTTATTTTCTAAAATCTTTTGAAAAAATTCTGTTCATTTGGGCAAATATTACGATAAGTCAACATTCAGAATCCTTTTGGAGAGTACAGCCATAGGACTTCAAATTCTTGAGGTCAATGCTTTAGTTCTTCTTTTCTTGCACTTTTTTTTCTTCAGAAAATAAAATATTACCTATTCAAGATTAAGAAGCAGTCAGCAGAAAATGCAGACTGCAAACTGCTTCTTCACCATGCACATGGAATGTGATAACAACAGTCCCATTGTTTTCTAACCCTGAAAACAATGGTCTGGAGTCAGCATTTTGTACTGTGCACTCAAATGGCTTTTTGTAGATCTTTATACATGTCATATGTTCTTTAAATTATTCTGTACATACTTAGATATTCATAAACTTACATGTAGTAATTCTTGTTCATGCTGTACCTATCATAGCATTTACAGACTGATCAGTACACACTGCTGCAGACCATTGTTTTCACCATGCAAATGAGAGTGTATGTGACAACAAATGTGAAAAGAAATGTCTGAGGTCAGTCTACAGTCTTCATTTTGTACCGTCCAATTTAAGAACCTCTATAGCCTAAACTTGTGCTTACTGTCATTTATACAAGAACCTGTATGTTCAGGCTAAAACCATCTGGGTCAGAATACACAATGACATGCAATATGTACATGAACATGCAGCAATCAGTCAGCTTCACAAATAAACACATAATACTACATGTATACATGTCCGACATATTACCTTTGGATTATCATTGCCTGTACTAGCTGCCTCTTCTTTTTTTGACATGTCTTCAGGGTCAGAATTTCCATCAACTGCCATTTTGTCTTCATTTTCTGATGTAGGAGGACTGCTTCTCTCTTTTAGCTTTTTTCCTTGATGAGGGTTTTTCTTAATATGGACTTGTATGCTTTGGCCTTGCTCCTCCTCATTAGCACTACTACTACTAACATCATCTTTCTGTGTACAAATAAATCCTGGGTTGTCAGAAAATTTTGAATTGCATGGGCACCTCTTTTGTGGACATGGGTTATATAAAATAAAATAGTAAAACCTTTGAGGAAACTAGTAACTAAAAGAAAGAACAAAAAGTTACCTGTGGGCTGTGCTTCCGCTTGACAAAATTTCCCTTTCGCATAATGTGAAAATGCTAATAAGAAACAAAATTATACACATCAGAATACAACTACTACTGCTACTAATAAAGTATAAGTAGGGTATTGGTGCTTTTGACTGGTGATTTTCTTTGAAAAACCCAAGTAGGGCTTGCTAAGATCTCCTGTAAGTGCAAAGCAACGAATTCTAACTAGCAGTCAGATATATATTTACATGTATGTATTGTCATAGGCAAAATAAAATCAGTCAATCAATCATTACAGTTACAGCTGTAGGTTGGTACACACCAGGTGACAAGTTGCAGGAACAAGTTGCAGGAACACGTCGCAACACCTCACAGCGACGAATCACTTCCTGATTAGAGAATTTTTGCGAAAATAAATGTGTCTCTGCAAAAGAATTTTGCTGCAGCAACATGTTGCAAAAAAAGGAAATCAGACAGAATTTATGTGACTTGTTGTGGGACAAAATACTGTTGCAGCAGACAAATAATTATTTAAAAAAAAATTCTCCAGTACAAAAGAAGCGATTTGTTGCTATGATGTGTTGCTGCAACTAGTCGCCTGACCTGAACACACAGAGTTATCCGTAGCTGCAACTTGTACAGATGTAGTGTAGTGCGTTCGGATCTAATTGAGCAGTCTAACTAATGGATGCTGGTGCCATCCATAGTGGCCTACTTTAAACACCAGCCACCAGTAGTTCAAAATATGGAAAGGGCTACCCACTGGATAATTAAGTCACTATCCATAGGATAGGGCGTATTGTATTTCCTAGTGGTTAATCTGGTGGATAGGTCTTGAACAACAAGGGGTAATTCCAGCTATTGTTTTGTAACTCTGAAACAATGGGCACACATGTAAAAGTTTGCTTAAATTGGCCCCAAGCCAGCATTGTCAAAACATATTGTAGGCGATAGGTGGGAGACCAAATGCATAGCTGTGTTAGATAGCTAGAAAAGAATTTCAGCTTACACCTGAGGTCATAACCTTTCACTCCCAAAAGGAGCCAAAGTAAAAATTCGGCAAAAATATAAAAAAATATATGAAAGAACTGTCAAAGAGGTTTTATTTGAATGGCTGCACGATTAAGGATTTTGTCCAAAGCCCCAAAATTTAAAACTGCCTTACGTGACTCCATCATATCTTACTACTGGAGGGGAAAGGTTATTTTTGACACTGAGAGGGCAAAAAAATATTTACCACAATGCGACAGCATCCTTCCTCAGATCCAATAACACTATTATTATTGTCTTTTATTCAGAACTTAAATATTATTTCTAACTCCAACAAGACATGATAACCTCAATCTAAAGCTGTAAGTGCAGTTCCCATTTTTATACTACTACATGAGAAATTTCTGGAATTTGACTGGCTTAGAGCAGTGGTGTTTCAGCTTAATTTGGAATGACTACAATGTCATGTGAAAATTACAAAGCTTTTGTGGGTAGTAGTATTTTATAAGCAAATAATAGCATGATTTGTACATGATAATTGGCATAAATACCACTTGTGATATTTCAAATTTGTTTCAAATTGAAATTACGTATAACAATAATATCTCGAAATATCACTTTTGGCATTTACGCCAAATATACCACTACAACTCATGCTATTACCTATACTAATTGCAAGCCTGGTCTTGGGCAGTTTGAGGCACAATACAGTACAGTACAGTTTAATCCTCCAATCAGAAATCATGTTACCACCGAGTTGCATCGGTGACTACACGGTCAACCAATGCAGCGAAACCACTCTCATCTTGCATAGAGCTCTTTGCTTGGTCAATAGAGAAAAACAGAAGAGCTGTCATTAAAATTTCAAGTTGTCGGGCTAATGATACAAGTAGGAAGGGAATCCAACAGCAGGGGATTTTGTTTGGTTCTATTTTTTCTATTTTCCAACAAAAGTAGGCAAGGGGACACCTTAATAACAAATGCCATCTGGTGAGCTTTGCTATGTTTTTAGGCAGTACATAGCAGGGATGTCACTAAGAGCCAGGGGCCGGGGATTTTCCCCAGCTACTATGAGCAGGAGCACTGGCTTCTTGTACAGGAAACAAAGGAAAATAAAACCAAAAGAACATCCTCGCTGCACAATTCCCCTCCTACTAATCGCATTCCCCTGGCAACTTGAAATGTTAGTGACAGCGCTGGTACATTGGGCCACTCCATTTTTAAACTGCATTCCCCTATTGAAGGGCTGGTTTTTCTTGAGGGGGAGGGGGCAGACCAAGTAAGAAGATGTTAAAGGGAGTTCAGAGCAGCAGCAAAGGGACTGAATTAAATCGTCAAGTGTATTTTGATCTATTTTGAATGTACCTCCAATACATATAATATGGTAAAGAAAGCAAGCCACATTCATCTCACGTGAAATCTGACAGACTGTGGCTATCACACCCGGTGAGCCAAAAGCACTAAATCGTGTGACAAAACCAATTACACTCAAAAAGGCAGACAAAGGAACCAAATCCCTTATGATGAGCAGAGAAAATAAGATCAAAGAGGGTTAAGCTTTGCTACTGTAAATGAGAGAAATAATATTATCAACCCCTCACTCAACCTACATGTATATGGTTGAAATCACAACCAGAAAAGTTAAACAGCTAATTAAGTTGCGGCTGCAGGAAGGCCACGTTGATGATATAGCAGCAAAATGGCTATCCCTTCAACTAATCCTTTGGGTATCCCTGTTTTCCACACACGTACAAAGATTCTCCCCGTAGACCTACATAATATCAGGGTGCGATGGCCCCACGGAGCAGATATCTGCGTTTGTAGATCGACTCATTCAGCCAGTAGTACGGAAAAAAGTCTCGTATTTAAAGGATACGACAGACAGACTTCTTGAATTTTATTAAGAGTATAAAATTGCCTAAAAATATAGTCCTAGTCTCTATAGACCATACTAGCCTCTACACCATATGCTGAATTTGTGACTAGGGTGATAATGAAACGGTGTCTCCCAAACATTATTATTCCCGAAGGGGTTTTAAAACAGTTTACTTTTTCTAGCGGGAGGGGGATGCATTTTCGCCAAAATCCTCTGGGATGGTCATTTTGGAAAATGCTTCCAAGGGGTGTTCAGTATGACCCCTCATTTGAGGGCTACGGACAAAAATGGAATGGCCCACAGGATATTTCACCTTGGCTTAATGGTGAAATCCTTCCACCATTTTCTTAACCCTTAAGCCCCAATAACCACATCTCAGCAAGATCAGTCGGGGTTTTCTTCATCTTCTTGTTATAAGGAAAGCATACACTAGTCGATGTTTCCGTCCCTTTGCGTCAAATTTAGCAGCTGCAGCTGTACGTAGCTGTACGGAATTGATAAGAATTTAACCTCGATCGTCGTTTTTTATTACATTACGCTTACCCTGTAAGCTTATATGCTTCATTTCAGCGCCAGTTAAAGGGTAGCGTATTCTGGTGTTAGCATCTCCGACTCGACAATTAGCGACTAATAGCGTAACATACATAAACGAAGCAAATAAACACTTACGTCCAAAGGTCGCAAGTTCACAGGCTGAGAAGAAGCTATCTCATCAAATTGTGAGCGCTGAACATCAATGAGAACTCTATCATAAGGACCTCAGTTTTGAAAATTTGCTAGAACAATAATCGGTCCCCTAAAACAGCAAATTGCAACCGCAATTTCACCGCGGCTCTCTGCTCAGTTCGTGCTTTTTCAAGGAATCAGAGGATCCGCAGCTTGGAAATCACATGCACAACTCGAATGTTTTGGCCGAACGGCACGGGAAGAGATATATATACGTCACGGAAATAGCGTTTTCTGATTGGCTACAGCTGTAGACAATTCTTTCTCAGACGTGCTGTTTTGCAGTCACAAACGTTCACATCTAACCTTTGTTTTTTGTCTTGTTTTCTATTTTAAATTCACTCAATTATTTTGCCAATCATATCTTTCTTACAGTAGTTTAAGATTGCAAAACATTTCTAGAAGCAGGAAGATCTCAGTTTTTTTAATAAGATCGCCAGTGGCGGATCTAGGGCCCGGGGGGGGGTACTGCCATATATGGGCTCTATAGGTATGTGCCGCTGTGAAGGGTATACATAAATCAGAGCGTTTGGGTCTAGAATAGGGTATGATTTTTCAGGAAACTGATCAGTTAGTTGAAGATTTTATCTAGACTAGGGATTGTGGTTTAGGGTTTTGTTTTGGCTAGGCTGTGCTGCTGACCTCAGTAGTTCTGGAAAACAGCTACTCTAGGATAGGGGGGGAATTTGGGTAGTTTACTCTAGTATAGGGTAGCAAAATTCAGCTGAACTAGCTCTGGTATAGGTTAAGGGTTCCAGGCTCGCAGCGGCACATCCCCACCCAGAAATTAGCACCCCCCCCCCGCCCGGGGTCTGAGACTGAAATTCTTACATCAACAGGGTCGTATATCACTTCTTAACCGCCTGATTGTTTAATGAAACGCGCCGTTGCGTTTTGCCACTAAACTAAATTCCAGGGCTATTGAAAAATGTGCTACCCTCCTATGATCTTCTCGCCTCTGCTCGCAACAACAACAACAACAACAACATTTATTGGCATTTCCATGAATGGGTCATGAAGAGATTGGCATTGCGGATTACAATATTGATTATATTAAGGTAAAGCTTAAGGAAAAAAAAGGAACCAACATTGATTATTTTAAATAATATTAATAATAATAAAGGCTATAATTACACGGAAAATTGTAACTAAATTGCGGTCATGTCCATAAATGTTCCACTTTCACGTTTTTCGAAGGCCAGAAAAATAAAATGCATGGCCAAGTTTCTCGCAGACAAAGGGATCTAAACATTATCAAAGAGAAAGAGTATCACATCGTTTGCACTCAGTGAGTGAAAATTAGGATATTTGTGACTGATAGAAATAAGGACATAGTGTTTTTTCAAAGACAACAACATGATCTGCTCGCACTACTGCTCGCAAAGCAGGAACGAGGTTGGCAAAGCCGTACTTCCCGCGCCAGCGGCGACCGGCGTTCTCAGCTGGTCGAGTAGGGAGTAGAGCGGCCAAGGAAATGACGTCACGGGAAACTTTTTTTTTTTCAACATCGTGCGCGGTTTTGAAAATGTTTGTGAGATTATTTCGTATTAAGCAATTGAAAGCCTCGTAAAAAGTTTAGCAGGAGCGATTTACATAGAAGAAAATGGAGAAACGGAGACAAAAGAGTTCTTGACTTTAGAATGCCCAAACTGCAAGAAATCTTCACAACAGTTGCCATCGTGTGTCATCGCTAGGAGAGATTCGCAGTTTTGCAAAATTTTTCGCTATTATTCTTCTTTTAGCAAGAGAAGGCGTTGAAAAACGTTCCGGAGAAACTGTATACAAGAAAGATAAAGAAGAAAAGAAGAAGTAGAGACGTGAAAATAGGGTTTGTGATTAGGAAAACACCTAAACCACAGGACGCCCAGAATCACAACAGCCTATACTGAAAGCTAAATTATAAGGAAATTTATCTTAAGATCGATAAATTGGTTAAAATGTACAAAAACAGCTATAAAAGTATACATAACTCATAAAGAGTTGAATCTTTGTTGTTTTTTACTGTTTCCTGCCCTATAAACGCTATTTTAGCAAGTTTTAATGTTTTGGTCTCTCAACCATTAAGTATTTTTCTTAATAGACTATAAGGCTTTAACAGCTTTAAAACTATCCTGTTTAAATAACGATTATGTATGTACAGTATGTATTTTCCTTTCCCGTGCCTTTCCTCATATATTGAGAAAGCAGTCAAAGCAAACCGGTTCCAATAAAACCCATTAAATGGCTATAAATCGACTCGGAAACCACACAGGAAAGACGAAATACACAACTTGAGCGAGGTTAGCTGATTTTTATCCAAATCCTTTCAAATTCGTAGGCTATAGAAACAATTGTTTTTTCCTCCCATACGAATCCTTATATTATGAACGTTGCGCAACAGTGCCGATGGTCCGTCTAGAGCTTTGGTCACCTGTGATCTTCCCATTTATTTGCAAAACTTCATCCAATTTCAGTCCTTGTTAGCCTTAGCCACAAGCTGCTCCAAAATGTCTAAAAAGTTACTCCAAAATTCTTCAAAATACAGTCATTTTGGCCTTTTTTCTTAAGACAGGTGCCGCTGGTGAAGCCGGTGTAATGCAATTTCAAACTACTGTCTTTTGCTTTCTTTATTATTCTATTGCAGGTGACGTTCAAATTTACAACAGCTGTGTTACGTCATTTGTTTTCCTACAAAATCAAAGTAAATAACATTTCACACAGATAAATATTGACAAAAGGAAGTGAACAACATAAGTCTTCCTTATAACCAGATAACGGTGTATTTTTCATAATCTTCCTCTTGATGTTATAAACCGGAACTTTTTTCACTTTTGTTTGAGCAGACCCTAAATCGACTAAATCGAATCAGTCAGTGTCATTAATGTAAACAGGACGTTTACAGGCAAAACCCCTTTCAGAGGCGAGATGTTTTTTCTCGTTGGTTTTCATTGTAGCGCAGCATTACAGTCTTTACACAGGTGTTTCAACGGTTTCCTCAAGTGTATTCTCCTGTTCTTAAAGAGACGTTTTTATTCGAGGAAGAAAAGCCGAGATGGAAATTTGTTCCTTTGAAATATCTGAAATTTCGATGTTTGTCCCATGGTTTAGTTCGCGAACTACGGACCAAAATATAGGCACGTTTAACGTGCATGAGCTATTTTGAATGCTTTAGTTTAACCGTATCAACAATCTACTGTTTCAGTCCTAAATTAAGATCATGTTTTGTTCGAAATTGGGTATTGTTGTAAATTAATGAAAACGTGAACCGCTGCGCACAGCTGGGTCGATCCTCATACCGTAGATAGATTCACATTTCTTTGTCTTTCCTTGCAAAATAAACAAATTGTTAAAGTCCTCTCAATGGATATCAACTCACCAAACGTTACTTTGAGGGAAGATTCGAAGGTTTCAAGGTTTCTTCATGGTTTCTTAAGATAACGAATTGAAGCTCGTCGAAGACCAAATAGCTAAGAAATGCCACGATTTTCATCACTGTTGTAGTTGGTTGCATCATCATTATTCACGAGGTTGTAACATGCGATTCTACTTAATGAAACAGTCTTTAACTCTGACGACTTGATTCTAAAAGTGTTATAAGTTATTGATTCTTAAAAGAAAATAGCCTTCACTTAAGCCCCGCTCTAGATTTAAAACTATAACTTCTTCATACCTTCAAGTTACTATTATTACTGTGAAAAGCCAGTCTGCATGAGATATACAGTCTCAGTTTGCACTTAAAAGTGTTGGACTTTGCCCCTTTCGTGGTTCGTACTTGAAGGAGTTCGAGTTATCACACAGCAATCCAGTAAACAGGGCCGAGTTGTTCAAAGCCGGGTTAAGATAGCCCAGAGTTAGTGCGAGATTTGAATTCAGATTTGAAAGTTTAAAAAGAATTTCAGTTTTAATTCTGTTTCCCTACAAGTTGATGATTGAAAGCTATAAATACAACAGAGACAAGACGCTACGGAGCGTACACTTCGGCGTCCTGGTTGTGGAACTGATTAATTGTAAATGCGGAGGAATAGTAAGAAATGAAATATGGTAAGAGTAAGGTGTTAATTTGTGAAATTGTGGGATTTGTCAGGATATTCTGAAAAGAGCAACATCCAAGAGGCCTACTTGCCAAAAACTAGCATTTCGGGACTAATTGTCTCTGAGATATTAGCCCAGTTATGCTCTGATGACTCCATACAAATCCCTCTAAATTTGACTTGGGTCTAAACGTTTAGACCTAAGTCAAATATGAGGTTACTGGCGGTGAATAACAAGTCTAACAAAACAAACAGTGAAAAAAGAATTCTCTATTTTTCTTAGTCACATCAGGCTTCAAAAACAGCATAGCAGTCTCATGTACTGATTAAAGATATGTAAGGCATGGGTAAGGAGTCAATTACGTTGAGCATGGAATTGGTTAAAACTCAATGTTACGAGTTCGAATGTTTTGAGGATAATTATTCACTGACTATCAGCACGCAGGGATGTCGGATTAACACAAGGAAGTTTAATGCCATAGGAACATAGCCTTTACAGAGCTTTAAAACACAGCATACGCCAACACAAACAAGACTTGAACCTAAGTAAAACTAAACAGCCTCTGCCAATAATAACAAACTCTCACTTGAACTTCAGATATCTTACGGCTTCCGCCAACTTGTAAACACAGAACCTGAAAATCGACCTTCGTCACAATTGACTAAACACAGCGTCCAGCTCGTGGGAAAAAACTTAGTTTGTTAAAAGAACTCACTTGGAACTTGTATACCGTTTGACATAAGGTTCTAGAAAATACTAAACAGGCGAATAGTAGTAGCTTTGGGACATATTTTATGATTTCAGTAACTGATGCAAATCTACTGACTCATGCTGAAATGTAAACATGCCCTAACTAATTATTCATGAATAATCCAAAAACATGGAGAACGTTCGAGAAAGTCACGCAACGCTTGAAAGCAATTTTACTACGTAACACTCAACAAAGACAAAATGTCTTTGTGCAGCATCTTGTAACTTAAAATTCATCATAAAACAGTTCGAAAGGAGGGCTCACTCGTGAAACGTTTTTCAACACTTGAAAGAGAAATTTTGTGTCTCTGCGCGGCCACCCAATATATCCTCTCCTTATTCCCCGAGTAAATTTAAGACTAAACAAGATATCACGAAGTAGTCCGGTCTCATTTCGTGAAATAGCCGAAACAAGCCGAAGTCTCCAACTTGCACGCCCAATCTTGTCCCGAAACTAGTGAACTACCTTGGGTCGCAGTAGCGCAATAGGCTAATCCCCCAACTTAGAGTCTCCTCTGATCTAACGGGTCACACAGGTGAGTCGGTTCAAACCCCGGGAAAGCCAAAATTAGTAAAATAATAATTCTTTCTTCCTCGATGGAAAAAGTTAAAGAATAGATCAAAGAAATCGAAGTGATCTCGAGATATCTCGAACTAATTCGGCTCTCACTTTGTCAAATAGCCGAATAAAACCGAAAACCTGCAGACTTTGCGTGCCCAATCTTGTCAAAAAAAGTCAACTTTGATACATTCCTGAGCGTCCCGAATCCTTTACTTCGCGCTTCGCCGAAGTAAAAATTATCCGAGAAAATGCTTTTGAACACAAGAAGGAGAAACCCGGGTTAATTTTAATCCCGGGTTAAGCGCTAACCGGCCTTCGAACAACTGGGTCCAGGATTATAAAAAAAAAACTTATTCACACAATTTGCACGTGAAGGTGTTGGAATTTGTCTCTTTACAATTCGTACGTAAAATAACGTAAATTGTTTACTAGAAAATTTGCTCAAACGATTTTAAGAAATCACCTCCGCTTTACTATATCTCAGGGGCACCCAACAAGAACATAGTTCAACACTACTTAAACATAGCATTGTTAAACGTATTTTAGCCTGATTTAACGGTAGATATAGGCATATTTTTATCCCTTAAAAATTTTTCATCTGTTCGGATTTCCTAGCTGAAAGACTAGTGATCCGAAAATTATAGGTATCAAAACTTACCTTTTCGAAAATTTCAGCCAGAAAAAAGGCTCCCGAAAATTCTAGGCGACCTTTTTAGGGTAAAAATCCGTTAAAAATGGGCAATTATACCATTTTTTAGATGTTCGAAAATCCTAGGAGAGGCAGACAAGCAAGAAAGTTTGCAGCAAATGTTCCGAAAATTCTAGATCTCAAACCGTCTTCCGAACAGATATATTCCGAAAATTGACGTTGGGTGCTCGCCCCTACAAACTTACGACCAGGATAAATGGTCATAATTTGAATACAACATCTCTAGGGGGGTATTGAAATTCTTTCTCAATAGGATAATCAATAGGGGACAGCCTTAAGAAATTCCAGATTTACTAAGGGGAACATGAAGAAAAAAAAAACGTCAACATCAAAGAAAGAATAACTGATTTAACTTCTCACCCATCTCCCCACCCACCCATAGATAACAAGCCGTCCCTTCTCTTCTTCACGGACTGCATTCAAAAACGCCATTTCAAACAGTTGTTTTTAACTAGCCTTTATTACTTTTTGTTTAAAGATACACATTTTTTTTTTTAATTTCTAAAATGCCCAGTGTTGAGCGCTGACCTGTCTTGTAAATATATAAATAAACTTTCGTCGCACCTCGGCAGTACATACTTCCCGAGGGTTACTCAAAAACGTTCTGCACCGGAAGACTTCCCCCACCCAACCGTCCTTACCCAGTGAGAGGTAGTCCAAACCCATGCCAATTTACACGCGAGCAATTTAGTTTTCAAGCCCTTAAACTTATAAAACGCAAGGCTGATTTAAAGTGCTTTGTTTTCCTGTCATGCAATCTACCTTTAGTTTTACCTATGTAGAAATCCTTGTAATCCCAACAACTAGCCTTATAAACAACCCTGGACATTTGAGCACGGGTGACAAACAGTAGGAACCTTGATAGTATGACCACATGTATTTCGAAAGGCGCTGTTCTTCTTCTTCTGTAGAACCACAGTTGAGCTAAACTTTGTGGGAGTCGTTTGAACTTGCATTTTATAAAAACTAAATATGAGGTACAATAAAACGTGACGAGACTATCCCTGTCTAACAAACAAATTGAGCGTCAAAATACACCGGCGATTCGGTCTAAAAGCACGTTTATATCTCCATTTCGGTCAACGTTTCGTGATAGAGGCATTAAAGCGATTTCTTCTCTTCTTGCTCTACTAGCCATGCTAGAGCCTTGAATAGCTCCTAAATTAAAGCAGACTGTCTATAACCCTCTTCTTAAGAGATCTTGAGAATGGTCTGTCAGCAGTCACTGTGAAGTGCGTATATTTTCAGTTTGAGTTAGTTTTACCGAGAGATTAGATTTTAAAGAAACCATCTCCAATCCTAATCTATGGAGTAGTCATTTTCTGCTTGATGTTCCCGTAGGTCTCTGTGAGGTAAAATGTCTTTGTCTCTCCGAGTCCCTGAAAAACGTGGGAAGAACTACATTAGTATCACAAACATCTTATAGGTTAGTAAATTAAAAAGATAGCCAGTTATTTCAGTTCTGTTGGCTATCAGTACTCAAATCTCGCATATGTAACGTTTATCTTGTCATATTTTTCTTTTTTAGCCCCAAATCATTGAAGGTTTGTGTTGCAAACGGAAATTTGCCATTGATTTTTGTTTTCTTTCCTTACATTTTTTCTCTCGCCGCTCTTCTTGCCGTATCAGTTGATTGTTTTGTACTTAGGAGGTTTTCCTTCAATAGAGAGGTAACAATTACAAAGATTATGTGAACATTTTTCTGGGAACAAATTTTGTGTCCCTTGAATTAAGATGTCCTTTGAAAAGGAGAGGTTCCACTAAAAGGAAGACCAAACTAGCAAGTATTTTACTTCTCAACAATGAGCAAGGAACTGAAATGTTTTCCTTCGAAACTGGTTCCATTAGAGCAGTTGACCGAGAGGATCTCTTGTTGTTCTTAGCCTGCAATGGCTTGAAGAGGAAATATGAAAATCAAACAGGCTGATCCTTTTCGAGTGACTTCAAACATTTCCTGCTGTTTGGACACACCAACACAGCTTCGCGTGTAATGTGTCTGCACCTTGTCTTTGAGAAAATGTTACACGGAAATGCTCTGCTAAGCAAATAATAAGATTTTATCGTTCTGTTATTTCGGGCAATAACAGTTTCGTTTCCTGATAGAGATAATTAATGAGCTGTATCTCCGAGCACGTGCTGCTGATTTTGATTAGAGAATTATTGCTTTGGCGTCAGTAATCTAAGCCCAATGTTTGTTAACACTGCATGTGGATTATACTGGAGTACATGTGAAATACATATAATTGCTGGGTAGTCACGTGGTACTGAAAATTGCCAAGCTGGAGAGCAAGAAATATACTGGGACAAGACAAACAAAAGAAAGCACTATCGTAAATGATAAAACTCTTTTCGGTCGCGCCCAGGTGGGTGGGTCTCGTGCTTTCCAGATGGCTGTTTTGTACCACGTTACGACCAGCCGTATGAGGCCAATTTCTTTTGCTTTATACTGTGCACGTAAGAAAATTTGTAACAAGCAACTGTCGTCTCACCTTAATCTTTACCAGGCCTCTCTCCTCTAAATGAAAGCTGCCCAAGTCATCCAGAATCAACTTACAAGAAGAACTAACATGAATTCGCTGAGCTAAAGAAACGATACAACCTTCACTCAATTCTTAAAGAAATCTATTAAAACACTAGAATATAAGTTGTGGTGGTACGAATTAGGAAATATAGCTGAGGAGGTATTGTTCTTTCCATGATAAGAGGAAGGGAACTTAGCGAATAATTTCTACTTAGAACTCTATTTAGGCCACATTCTAGTTTCATATATCTGTTAGTGATGCTGCTCACTATTTTTGCTCACAAGTTAAAGGAATTTCTTATTTCCCTTGTCACGGGCTAATTGTGTATGCTGTGAGAATAGTTAATATACCTAATCTCGTTCCTAGAGCTCCTTCCACAAAGGAAAAAGGAGATCTCACACTGGCCCTGTCCACACGTACCCGTATACCTTTTTTTCTCTATTTTCAAAAAATTCGCGTCCACTTGTAGCGTTTTCGCATCGTTTTCGCCCATCCTTACCTAAACGAGGAATCGATTTGAAAACGATAACTTACTCAACAGCGCATGCTTGACGCATACTTCGTCGCTATTATGAGCCCGCAAAATAATAAATTGGCGCCACCTTTGAATTTCTTTGGAGTGGGTGTATATTGTTGTGACGTTATTCAAAGTCGCAGAAGCAGTTTAAAATGTCAAACTAAAGGGAGATCCAACCTTCCGCCATCGGCCTTCCGCCTTCCACCGGTAGCGAAAGTAACCTGATAGTCCTGTGCCGCCTCCTGGAATAATCAGCTTGAAGAATTAACAAAGCTAAATTTGCTTGAAAACCAGCAACTAGGTTAAAAATAAGCTCAAGCATAAAAGACATGAAAGGGAAGCGCCCGTTCGCCATCTTGAATAAGTTTCTAATATATCGCGGAGTGGATTGGAACTGATAGTGTGTCCTCAACGTTTTCGAAAAGTTCCGTTTTCGTCTGTCCACGCGTACAAGCGAAAAAAGCGTTCTCAAAAAGTTCAACTCTGGAGAGCGTTTTCGAAAAGCTCCGTTTTAATTGATCTTTTTCATCGGATACATGTGGACGTAAGCTATATCCGTAAAGCAAAAGTTGCGTTTTCAAACAAAAACGGATTCGTGTGGACGGGCCTAAGTTCTCCTTTTTTACCGTGAAACAGAGCGAGATCTGGGTATGAGATTATAACCTACCAGCACAGGATTCCTCTAACTGTTTGGCAATGTTCACTATTTCTCCAAATATCTCATAACGAGGCTTTTTCAAACCTACCACACCCGCCACACAGGGACCTGGGAATAAAACAAGCTTCGTCATCCGCGCCTTCGAGGATTGCTAATAGTGAGCCTAAGCAAAGACGTTTTTGAGCTACGATCTACAACGGAAGTGTACTTTTTCCGTTCTATGGCAGTGGTTTTACCCACATTTTCAAGCACCTCTACAAGAGTAAAGGAAGACAGCAATGCAAATTTGGCGGCGTCAAGGCATATTAAAAGGGAGAACTCTCTATTTCCGGTTGACTTGCATCATTAAGCTCCCTAGTAACTTTTATTCCAATTCATTATAGTTCCAGCTGATAACGTTAAGTGTTTTGAATAGCTTTTTCAGTTCTATTAAAGAGTTAAGCGGTTTTTTTAAAAATTAAGCCCTATCAGAAATATAAGCTTCTGGCCATGGTCATATTCAATGGTCAGTAAATTAGGGTCTTTTTCATACGGAAAAACTGAGGCATAATTTAGGCTATATAAAAGCAAGACAGCAGATAAAAACAGCGATGTCTCGCTCTCTTTTGGAGCTAGCGCTCATCAGGGCACCGTAGCGAGAAAATGCAACGAAAATTATTGAGAAATCGCCTGTCCCTTGAATGAGAATGAAATAGCATATTTAGCCTTCGCCAGGCTATAGCATGAACGTCGCGAAAACAAGGTCAAGGGGGAAAAAAGTGGGTTTTCAGTCCCCGCCTGGTGCGATTTTCGATAGTTTTCACGATCTCTGAACATTAGCAGAGACCTTTAGTTTCGTGGACGAGAAAGACTACAAGTACGAGATTTGATTATTTTTTTAAGTTTTCTCACGTATTCCCAAATAATTGAAACCCGAAAATCTTCTTTGTACTTTTTTTTTCACCAAAAAAGTTATCTTTACTTAAGGAGGTCTAAGCTCTCTCCCGATGGCAAAATGATAAAACTTCTAACAATTGATAATTTATTTGACAACTTAAATTCTCTCTGAAAACCGTAGTAGAATGACAACGGCTATCAGCCTAGTCCCTAAGCGTTCTTCGCACGGACAACGGGTCAAGAAAGAACGCCTAGTGACTAGGCCGAGCGGCTGTCACTTTTCCCGTCAAAATGACGCTGGCTCACGCGCGCGCACTACGTAACGATGACGGCGACGGCAACAAAAACGGCAAAAAGGCAAAAGATTAGATTAGCAAAACAACAACTTTGCACCTGCGTCACGCTATTTTGTACATTTCCTTGCCGTCACTGCAATGCACGACTACGACGTGAAAGTGCCTAATTTCACGTTTTGTCGAGGACGGGAACACAACACAACAGCTTTGTTTTTCTTTTCCTCAACTTGACAGTCCTTCAGAACTCAATTCCAAAATAAGCGCGATAAAGTTCGAGGCAGCGCGAATTCACTATTTAACTGACGTTTTCGTAACCGTCGCTGTCGTTGTTGCTTAATCTCCCTATTATCTCGTACTCGTAGTCGTACTCGTCTGAGAACTTCGGTCTCTACTCTTGATCTCGGAGACAAGTGTGGTACAAGCTCTTTTGTATATGATGATACGTTCTCACCTGAATGGATACCAATTCTAAACTGTAGAGTTCTTCCTGGTAGATGGCTAATTTTAAATTCCTTAAGATATGTTACCAAACGCAAAGACATCCTGGCTATGTGTCCAGCGTGTTTATTTCCATTCCTCTCTGGAAGACCAGACACAACCAAACACGAATCGCTGCTTGTTTCAACCTTAAAAATTCACAGAAAAAAATAAATACGGTTAAGAACTCTCTCTGACTCTCTCGAAGGTAGGAAACTGGAAATTATGATCAGAAACGATAATCAGAAGGAAACTGCATGGAAATTAGGTCAAAATTAAGTTACTTTAAAAAGTACTTTATTGAGATATTTACGCCGAATTTGCATCAGACTGCTACAGTTTCTCTCAGTTATAGCAAGAGCCACTGAAAAAATTGGGGATAACCTCAGAGATTTTACTGGCTGCGTCAGTGGTTAGAATACTGAACCTCCTCTTTTTCTTAAGTTAATTCTACGTGGCTTCTCTTGAAAAAAGACAACGCTGAAAGGCGAGAAAAGTTGAAGCGCAATTATGCCTGCAACACATTTTTTGATATATAGTGAAAACTATCCTGTGTACAACCACCTCCTCCCTCGGAAAAAAATTCAAAAGACGTAAAAACTACTTTGCGTAAGGATTTTCTCGGGCTAGCCCGAGTGGCAGAAGAAAAAAAGAGGAGGGAAAGAGGTGGGGGAGGGGGGGTGGAGCGAAAGGGAAAAGAGAGATCTTCCCTCTCTCCCTACCCCCTTCATATTTCCATTCCTTTCTTCATATTTCTATTCCCTTCCGGGGTTCTATCTGGGGGTTCCATGACGCGTACAACATATGCGCAGTAGGTAGGTTGAAAGCAGAATGGAACCACGTCATAAAACATATGTTAAACCAGTGGAAGTTAAAGTGCTACTACGACGAAAATTTTTGTTTTTGTTTCCGAGTTTTTTTAACATAAATGTTTTGTATATGTTCAAAATTATACAAATAGCAAAAAATTGGAACGATACTTGCGTAGGGGGGCTGGAAATTTCCCACTGAAAAGTGCGTAAATACCGTCCGCCATTACAAAGTTCGCAAAGCAATAGCCCGCGAGATCTCCGCAAAGCGGTCGTGCGTTTGACCACGTGATTTATGCACTGTGACGTAGAAACATCAACCAAAAGATTCGTATTTGGGAAAAGTTTGTGAGTTTAGAGCCTTTTAACAAGACGTTTAAGATGTTATCTCCGTCGGATTCCTCTTCCTGCACATCTGAAAGTGATCTAGAAAGTTTTACAGTTGACGAAGTGATTGGGGAATTGTCTGAATTTGCGCCGTACGACGACAGTTGCGAACCCCTTGCTACCGAGGAAGAAGCCGCGGACTACAAAGAAAGAGTTCATCGCCAAGAAGAAGAGGAACAACAGTTCCAACGAAGATATTCGGGAGAGGTGCCAGCGAATGAATGGTATGGTATTATCATGGAATGTAGATTTATATTTTTATTTTCCAATTTCAACATACCCGTCGTTCAATCGTGCGCGTGGCGAACGCGACTGTGTGTTTTGTTTAAGTTTACAATTTCGTTGCTATTTGATTAGCGGTAGTCCTGATTTTATGCGATAGTTTTATTGAAGAGGTCAGACAATTAATAATTTTATACAGACGTATTTTTCTTGTGTTTGACGAATTCTTCACATTATTTTGCAGGTGTTCGTGCTCGAACTGCTCTGTCAGGCTTGTTACAAAAGCGCAGGAGTGCATTTGCTGCAAAGAGATCGATCGTTGCGAAGAGGTCATGGAAGAAGCCATTGGAGACCGGACCGTATGCATAACCCTCCATCCAGGGTTTGAAAGCGTCTGCTTAAACCGCCACGTATTAGACGTGGCTGCACTGGGCCTAAAAACGCGAGCTGGAAAGTCGCACACAACTGTTCGTGGGCAAAGCAACAAAAGTGATAATGAGTAAGGTTGGGTTTTGTTGACTTTGCATCGGAACGATCGAACCTTACATAGCATTGAATAATTGATACATCTAAGCTTATCGCCGTGGACTGATCTCATAGAATCACATTTTTTATTTTCTAAATGGCTTTATTGCCCCAACTGCTTATTTTTAAAAGGAGTATTTATTTATCTCCATCCAATCCCTCTTTGAATTAACAGTGATCTCATTTCTCTAACTAGATTCCTGAGGTCTGTGGCCTATCGCCAATTTACAAGACTGCTGTGGAGTTATATTGGTTGTTCCAGGCGATACCCCTTGCCCTGTTGTGCCTACAATAAAATCAGGAAACAATTTCCGAGTCAAAATGGCCATTATCATGGATTCGAAGATGAAGAAAATGAATAGTAAATGCACTGTTTGTTCTTGAAGAGTGTCATGTATGCCATTGGGGCCAAGAAGGACCTACAGTAGTTGCTTTAATACTTGTCCGTAAGCACTTAATTTTATGGGCCAAACTTCAGAATTCTCAGCCACTTACTCGCTTTTTGTTGAATGACAAACTTGCCCACTGGGTGAAGCCCTGTTCTTCTGGCATTCAGTTAAACTCAAGTTTAGTGGCTGGGAATTCTGATGTTGCGCCAATTTTCATGTACACAAGTAATAAAAATTAAATCGAATTCAGCCTGAATTTAATTACAGTTTTAATGTATCCTTTCTTTCTTTTCACTCGGCTCACAGAGCACTGCAAAACTTAATAGCAGGTTACCTGCTGGAAACTTCCCTAGCAGGTCTGGTTGACTCTTCCAGACTTTTGTCTGGCTACAGTTTCTGCAGAAACTTTCTACGGTTAACAAGGTACCTGTCTGTGATACAGAAAGTTTGGGTTTTGAAAAGAAGCACAAGTGGCAGAACTGAAACAAAAGAAGAAGTTTGGAAAGGAAAACAATTCCCTTCGGTTCCTCTCGAATGTTTTTTCCTTGTAGATCCAACCTGTAAAAAATGATTGAAAGGAAATACTCATTTCATCATAGCATCTGAAATAATAAAATAACAATAAAAAAATGATTATCATTTTTATTGTTTTTCTCAGGGTGTTGCAAGTTTTTCAACTTGTTGTAAACCTGGCTAATTGTGGGTTGGGATTTTATTCTCACATACATCCTGAAAAATGCTTTTTTATAATAAATCTGTTGGTTGCACACATGACAACTTTGAGCCCTTAAGCTATCTAGCCCACCCCAATGATGCATAATTTATTACAAGTGGTTGAGTGGACAAACCAAACATTTTTAGGCCTGGGACTTCCAGTCTATGGGCTGGCTATGCCTCTTCTTTTTTTTTTTTTGTGCAATTCTTATCTGAGTAAATTAAAAAACAAATTTCATGTACTCTTGTTTCTGAATAGATCCTCTCATAATGGAAGTTAGTTTTAGGCCTAAATAACTTCCCAGAGGATACTTAGAGCTAAGATGTTAAAATGCAATAAATTTTACATCTTTGTACCTTGGGTTCTGATGAGTCTTCACCGAGTCATCATCTTCCTTTAGTTTTTATATGCATCTTCGATTTCTTCAGGACTCCATGTAGGGTCTTCATCACACTCAAACTCCTTATACGCGCGTCGTCCTGCATTTCCTGCTCATCTTCTGATTCATCCTCTAGCCCTAACTCTGTCTCATTTGTTACTGGCCATGGATCAGTTGGAATAGCTTAAACAAATGGAATTAAAAAAATTCTATCACCATTAAAATTTTAATTATTATTAAATAATCAAATATTGATAAAATGTAATAAAAATATAAAGATAGGCAGTTATGCCTATATGACTCATCAACATCAATCATTGTTGACTCACCAGCATTCACCATCAGCAACTGCTTTGGCTCTTGTATGCTCTTAAAGGTTTCAACCCACTGATCTTGATTGGAGATTAACTTACTCTTCAGTCTTGTGACTTTGCCCCTTAACTGAGTCACCTCACTCCTCAGGGTTTTGCATGTTGTGCAATTCCCAGCATGTCCAGTTGGAGTATCCTACAAAAAACAAACTTTCAACATTAATACAGGCTGTAATAACACGACTTCAGAATTTTTGAGTATTAGTATTGTTGTAAAATAACTGCACATGTAGTTTTCCATTGTTATGATAATACAATGATGCAAATAAACATTAATTAGAGTTATGCACCTACCATAGAAACCTGTTCAAGTTCAGGAATCGTTAATGATTCATCAATCTGCATAACTTCATCCATATTCTGCACTTTTTCGATTCCCTAAGCCTCCAGGATCTGCATGGTCTCAGTAACCTCATCAGTGCCTGAAATCCCTTGGCTCTCGAGAGCTGTCTTATCACCAGTAGTACCTAGGACCTCTGAAGCCATCTCAGCATCAACACTTATCTCACCCGTCTCAGTCTCAGGGATGCAACCCTCCTTTTCAGGATTTACCTCAAGCAAAGAACCCTGACTTGTATTCAGAACACCCTCGACTTCTGGAGACTCCTCAGGGTTGAGATTGGGAGCCCCCATAGTGTCAGCACTCTCCTCAGGTGCAGAACCTCCTTTCAAAGAGATCACCTCTTCTTCAGGATTGTCTTCTTCCTCTGTATCCTCATTAGTAGTTTGACCAGCCAGAATTTCATTTAGTAGCTAAAAATGAAAATAGGTACGACCATTTTATATATCTCCCCTTCAAAACAAGTTTAAATGTGAGCTTTATGTCGATGTTTTCAAAACTAGAAATGGAAGCAAGGTTAACCACATCTTCGCCTTAAAATGTATGCATCATTTGCAGACAGTGAAAAGAGAATTAAAATACAAACGAAAAAAAACCCGCAAACAGTAACTGAACTTATAGAATGTACAAATCAGACTAAGTCCATTTTTGGTCGTTTTAAAAGACTCGCGTGTAACTCTTAATTTCCTGTAAGATTTCTTGGAGGGAAGTTTGGAGTACTGTCAAATCTCAAAGTAACAGCAAGATAATCTCTCAAAAAATAGAGAGCCGGATTTCTATGTAGCTTCACTTTTTCTAAATTTTACGCTTGAGTGGAAAGGTCTGGGAATAGGGGAATTGACTTCACGTCCACTCAGCGCAAATGCCCGTTTTACTATAACTATGAGAAGAAAGCAGAAAAGTATGAAAACACATGCAACAATATGGGAAGTCCAAATAGTCAGAGCATTCATTACACGAATATTGAACAACGATGCCAGAAAAAATCATGTCACAGGTAAATGTGGAAATAAATATAATGGTGATAAGCACAGCGCAAATACATTGTAATTTCACTCACCGATCGTCGACTCCGCTTTGATAGTGTTTGAGAGGATTTTTTCCAAATGGTTGGAAACGTACCCTTCTTCAAATTCCTTTTCATGTCTTTCATCGGAAAAGCAAGCGTAAAACAATCCCTTGTAAAATGCTCCGATCACACAGCAAATTTTCCCACTGGGTTGAAATTCTTCCGATGAATGGACACGAATCTTTTCCACTTTTTAATCTTACGCCGCCCGAATCAGGAGAATTATGAATAGAAATCCCCAATTCATCGTTCTTTACGTTTCCACAGTCCTGAACAACACAACATCTACCAGGCATACTTTCGCTTTAAGTCAAAAAAGCGAAGAAAGAACCTCCAAAAGCTTCCAAAAATATCTCGTCCTGCATGCGAAATTAGCCACGTTTGTTTGCGTTGTTTTGTCGCGTTGATGTTTCTACGTCACATCTCGCCCCAACTCCTTCAAATACTACTCCCGGTCATTTTTTGAATCGAGTAATGGCGGCAAGACATTTACGAAAATTGCCGTGCAAATAAACACACTTCCAGATCATATTTGGACTCCAAACTTGGCACGGTAAGTCACTTTTACATACATTTTCGAAATATGTAATCAAAAACAAATTCCCAAATTTGATCGTAGTAGCACTTTAAGCAGCTCCACCGTCCGGGAATAATCTACTCGGCAGCACATTAAAGGCCAATGAGGGCTGGTTCAAACTCCTAATTTATTTTTTATTTGATTTTCACCTAAATAGACGTGCGTATAAAAATAAGCTATGATGTTGTTTTTGTTTTGAACAAGGAAAATGTAAACATTTCCAACAAAATGAATCAAGACTTTGATTTTACCTTGTAAACATCATATCTCGTCATCACAGTGTCATATAATGAGTGGAGATCGTTAAGCAGCGTTATAACCTGTGAAGTTTTCAAACAATACGCCCTACTGATCAACCAATGAAATCACTTAGCTAACACATAGCAAATATCTAATCAGCAAGCCGGTGAACCATTTATGCGACTGAAAATTAACCAAAATAAAGGGAATTGGGGAACCTCCAGAGGTAAAAAGCAAACTCTTATACCCGAATATAACAATCATTTACAGAGAGAATTGGAGCCAAGTTTACATGCGCACCACTTGACCTAGTTTTCCTTTTACTTGCTGTTTGTTGTTCATTACTTGTACAAAAAATTAGTAGTTTCACGGCGTTAACGTGGCTCTAAAACTGTCTTTTCTTTGAATCATCCAGTCCATCAGTTTTTAGGTCAGCTAGTCAATCAGTCAATTGGCCCTTAAGAAGGGTTGGAGGCGCAGATTTTATAGTTCCGGCTTCATCAAACTTCATCAACTCTACTCTGATAGTTACTTTTTTGAATTCTCCACGGTGACTCAACACGGTGGCAGGAGATGAAACAGCACTAACGTCCCAATTGATATCAACCCCTTCATTACCCACCCAGCCCATGAAAGGTTGTACCACACCACCGGGGTCTACGCCTCCTACTATTTACAAACAGCAAAGTGAGTTCTTTTACGTCCCACAAGAATCAGAACAATGAAAGAGCTGTGAGACGGGCCTACGGATTTTCGTCCTTATCCGAGAGGACTAGAATGTCTAACCATTTGTAGATGTCACAACAACAGTCAAACAGTAAGTCAGTCAGTTAGTCTGTCAGTCAAGTCAGTCCGTCCATCAATCAGTCAGCCAATAAGTCAGTCAAGCAGTTGGTAAGACAGTTTCTCAGCCTGTCAGCCAGCCAGTCATAAAGCCATTCGGTCAGCCGGTCAGTCAGTCTTTTTAAATGTGTCATAAAGCTAGGTACTGAGTCTGTCAGATAGTTATCCAGGCCGAATCAGTGGAGAACTCAGTCAGTCTTACCGTATGTCAATCATTATAAAAGATGTTCCCAAGCTGTATGGATTATAGACGGTTGAGGGTTATCATACCTGAATTCACTTAGAAAATCATTGTCAATTGCTAAGTTTGTCTCATCTCGAAGGGAAGTTTTTCTAACCTGAATTGGAGAGCTGGCCGACGTTATGTTGGAGAATTCGTCGATGTCACTGTAAAATATTGTAACGTTATCATATTGTTCTGCCTTCACTTCAAGTCCCGCTTTGAGTTGTTCGGCGATACTCCTGAGTCAGATTGAAACAGCAGAGGTAAACATACTTCATAGGAAGAACGCGACATGGCATGATTCGGCGGGTGTGTGTTCAGTGGTAGGACTTTAAACATACTGTACTGGGACTGTGTTTTTTTAGCAGAACTTGTTGTTATGCCGTTCTGATCATGACAAGCCACAAAAATGGCAAAACAGTGGTTAATCAAAGGCTTAAGCCCCACTTTGTTGAGGCTCTATCAGTGTGGTGTTTATGTCTCACAACCGGTCTTACGCTAAATCTTAAAATTGCCAAATGTTCCAAATGAACTTACAACTTCGTTCCCATGGTTTGTCTAAGGGAATAACCCCAGGGAACAAGGTTGACGACCTTTCTTCATTTCCGCTTGATAATACCACTGAAACTAGTAGACTCTTGTGTCGTAAAGGCGAATCTTGAATTTTGATTGCATTGGTGGTTTACCTCTCAGTTTAGGTCAATCTGCAAAAGGGGCAAGTTTAATTGGACAAAGAGAGAGACGAGAAGCATGAGTACCCAAGAGGGGGACCCCTCGGGATTCCACCTGGCTTGCAATAGTCTGTTTACCTTGGTAACATCTTGTGAAGAAGTTCGTCTGTTTTGGTTTTCTCGCATTGCAGTTGCTTTGTTCGTTCATTTACGAGGGACTCCAGATTGTTGGTGTATTTTTCCATCATCAACAGCATGTTGTCTATAACTGAGATTGTCCTGAAATTTAATTTATAAAATGAGGATGTTTCTTCTAATGAAAGAAATGAAACTGAGTTCAAGTTCGAAATGTTGTTCAGTGTTAGGGAGAGAAATTGCACAGAGCTGTGTACTGCTTAAAAATTAAGATAAAGAATTCTTATGTAAGGGAGGGACCCCTTGACACTTTGCACTTTATTGCACGATGTCAGTGATCTCTAAAGTGTTTTTTTTTCGGTGATCTGAAAAGAGACATTAGTGTCAGTTCTAAGCTCTCCGATAAAAGTATACAAAAAAAGAAAAGATAAATGGTGATCTCTTCATATTTCACGTAAATAGGACAGTGGTGCACTCAAGTGTTGCACTCTCATCCGCCACAATACATTAACGGCCGGGGGCTCCCATATGAAACGGGCGGGGATGCTCGTCGTCTCGCTTAGGGTTGCAAATTTCTGATTTTGGTCTCATGACTTAGGGTGTTCTGGGCAAAACGCCAATATATTTAGCCGCAAAGGTCTCTTTTAGGGTTGTACGCGGATGCAATATAAATTATATATTTTCAATTCATTTTATTTACTCGATTCATGTAATCAAAGTTTTTTAGGGGTCAAAAAAGCTTGGGTCTCCTTTAGGGTATAATTCAAAATTTCCGACGAGCCTACCGGCCCCTTTCATATAGAAGTCCCCCCTGGCATTAACGGCCCTTAAACCTTAAAACCTTAAAGGGTTTATTAGCGCTTTCCTTACTTTCCGTTGTTGATCTTTTTCAGAATCTTAAGAATCCCGCTGAATGTAGGTCTTCTCTCAGGGCTTTCATCCCAGCAAATCTTCATGAGATCGATATATGGTCTCGGAGCGCTGTCCGGGGGAACCTGGGGCCTACAGTGCGGTTGGATGCTTTTGCGCACGTGATAAAGAATTTCTGACAAAATGAAATGATAAAGTATTAAAAAGGAGAGAGTTAAACACACAAACTGCAACAACATTTTGTTTATATCCTAACTTTTCTGACATTTCTAAATTCTACTCTCTTTGTTTTCGGAGGGCTCCATAGTCTCAAACCATATTAGCAAAGTACCTCTTCAAAATGCGTTTGATGTATTATGATCTAGATCTGCAAGAATGTATTTTGATGAGCTCGCGCAAGTGGTTTTGAATTACTGCAATAATAAAGACAAAGTTTTCTCTCTGTAATTTTTCACTGTTGAGCCTATTCCAGATCTACGACAACACGCAGTGATGTCTTAAAGGAAAAATACCCCATGTCTCTCCCTAACACCTTCAAGCAAAAGGTGGTGACGGAACGGCTGATTAGTCGTGCTTGCTTTACGAGCAGCGAGACTCTAAAACATGCAAGCGTTTCTTTTCTTTCTTTTTTTTTCGTGTGTGTGCGCCAAAAGGGTAATCCGTATAGTCCCAGGCCTTCCTTGCGGAGACCGTGGAAACAGGCGACCGACAACATATTAGAGCGCCATGCTAGACTGCAAAACAGTCCGTATTTTTGCGTATTCAAGTACGCGCGAGCAGTCAAACAAAAGGTCTGGAATGAGGCTGAAAACAGAGAGCGAGACTGGGGAGAGACGCTAAAAATACGGACTGTCCGTTTTGCATACGTTATATTCGTTCGAATTACCCGCTTCTCCCAGCCACGGGCAATTCCCATTGGCTACATTTTGATGCAAGCTGTCACCAAGCTGTCAAGTAATGTTTTCAACATGTCATTCACGTTGTTCCATACCGTGATGAATTGCTAAAGCTTTCGCTGTAAAAATGACAGATCTTGATCGCCTGGATTTGCTCGCAAGAATTGGGATTTGTTTTAAAATCGGAGCAGAGGAAAGCTTTGGAGTTGCTACTCAGGGGATAGGATGTTTTCTGTGTTCTACCAACAGGATTTGACAAAAGCCTTATTTATCGGATGTTTGTTCATGCAAAGAGTTCTTCAAGTCCCGTGCAACGGCCGACCGTCATTGTTATCTCGCCTGGCTAAAAAAACGGGATCGGTAGGAAACACACGACTTTTACCTCATGCAAACATGCCGCTTGTTCCAATGAATTGTTTTCTCTGTCGAGTAGATTATGCTTTGGAGGAAAACCTTTTGACTGAGCAAATGTGAATTTTGGCCGCTTATTAAATATATTTCATACTGAGAGGTCGTGACACGCATATTGATTTTCTCTGGTAGGCATGATTTGCCCTCTGACGCAAGAGCATTGGCCCATTTCGAAATGTAAAGTTTTTCATTGCGGCTGATTAAGGGTCTTAGGTTGTTTTATCTCTCCAAAGTGCCTCCTGGATTTGAATAATTTTAAGCGATTTTCTTTGTGTCCGTGAATGTGACTTTATCCTGCAATGTTTTGTCACGCTTGCCCAGCTCGTTAGCGTTTTTGGCAGGATTTTAAATTCTCACAGATAGTAATTTACAGAGCTAAATCACCAAGACGTGGTTTGGAATGAGGGGATTTACTCATTCTTTTCAATCGCAATAATTGTTCATTGTCTGTTGGCGTGTTCAGTTCTTCTCTAATTTCGAAAGCATCGCCGTGCAGTTTCCCGGGGCAGTTTCTAACCGTTGTTCCGCACGGAGAGCAAACTGCTCTTGTGGAGAAAGATTCTCCTTCCTCGAGGACAACGAAAAGTTCGTTTTTCAGTAGGTCGGCCTACTTTGGTAACGTTTCTCCTTTTCTGGTAGGCGCAACAAACGCATTTTCCGAGCTTATCCATCAATTCGTAAAATTGCCGAACTTTGTTTTGAAACAACAGCCGCACATTCTACAATTTGTCCAAAGCCCTCGGCTCTTTAGGCTTTCTCCCTCTTCGAGGAGCAGGCACAGGCTTTGTTATCGTACTGCCACTTTCACTCATTTTTGATCCTCCACTATATATACTACATTTCACTATATACACTACATTTCACTGGGAAGCAACGCTAAAAACTGCTTTAGGATTACTGGATTACAGCGTCAATAATAGCACGCGAGTCTATCAAACTCACAAGGAGGGCGGAGTTGCGAACAGATTTTTGACAACTCGACGACATTTTTGAACCCCCTGGTCGGAACGAACTCATTGTATGGAAAACGAACAGTCGGTTTTTTTTCTCTCGCCTCACACGCCCTTAGGGCGTGTGAGGCTCGCGCGCTTCGCGCGCGTAAGACTCTTACGCCACGCTTTACCGATTTCTTTACTGATTTTGAGAAAAAAACGGACTGTTTTGCAGTCTAGCGCCATGCATGTTTTGCGAGGAAGGCTGAGGAAATATTGATGCGAAAGATGTCGAGCTTTTCCGGAACAGGTCCGTCCACGAATTCTATCGCTTGAAATCGTTGATTACTTTGGAACAAATGAATATTTCGGTGGTCGAAAAAAGGACAATTCAGTTAATGAGAAAAACTCCGAAGGTGAGGCTAACTGGTCCGGTGTTGTAAATTTTCATTGCATGCAAATTGAGTCTTGTGATAAGCATTCGGTTTATTTTTGACGATGACTGAGATGACGCGCCATGTTCATTACGTTTTTGCATTTTGGCAATGATGTAATTTCTCCCGAATCGAGGCCCTTGATTTTCGCTTATTTATACATGCGTACTCAATCAATTCAGAAACAAATCGTCGAATACGATATAAATGTAAATATCCTGAAGAATACTCGACCATCGATAAAGTAGAGCGTCTCGGGCAGAATTAATCACTCCTCATCTCTTATCTAATCTCCAAGCCAGATCGTCTTAACGCTATAAAAACGTTATTTTTGTGTTGCATGGGAACTTTAACTTGCTAAATTACTCTTAATAATCCATATATAGAGCCTTTTACCTTTTGTACAAAGGAGTGAGGTAGAGAAAGGCTTTTCTCTTAGTGCGATCTCTTGTAGCATGATCCCATAACTGTAAACGTCTCCCGGCTGCGACTTTCCAATGTCAGCGGTACTTCGTAAATGCTCAGGCGCAGTCCAAAACAAAGCTGTTAAAGTAGAATTAACGATTAGGAGAAGCAGGGAAAGGGTGATTTAGAGTAGTGACCGATGATCAAGGTAAATTTTAAGTATTACTGACGTTAAACTTGGTCACGAAGAAAATGTGCTTATACCTTAGCCAAGAACTATTTACGGCGAATTCAGCGTTAGAAAAGCTGCTGCTGAATTTTTTAGAGTAAAATACCTCTAAAAATCTAGAATACATTATCTCTTCAAAGTTTTAGAAAAGTACTTTAAGACAACCCGCTAACATCCGAAGCCTGTGAGTGACTTCCTGGATAGTTATCTCATCTGGATAGTGCCTTTTATCATGAATACTCGTGTACAACTTATCTTTTCATATACGGCTATTGTTGGTTAAAAAATAGTCGGAAATGTAAGCCGTGTCCACACCCTAACTTGTGGGAGGAGGGGAGAGGGGGCGCCGGGGAGAAAAATCGAAATTCATGCCAAATGGATAAATTAGTGTGACGTCACCGGGTGACAGTCTAACTCTCGGAAATTCAGACGTCTCTCTCCCTCGCGACCCCACGGGTTAAGGGGTGGAGACGGCTGTCATTTCAGCCTAGTTAAAAAACAAATCAATGTACCAGATTGACATTGTAATCTCTCCTCTGTTATTAACTTATTTTCTCTAAAACTGTGGAGTCCGTGATCGGCCACCTTACAGATCCAATAACTGTCAACCAGCACATTGGTGGACTTCAAGTTACCATGGCAACCTATTGAGGTTTTATGGAGTTCTTCCATCCCCTTCAAAAACGAAAATCACAATCAAACAATTAGAAACAACAACAGAAAAAGAAGAGAAAGAAGACGGAAAAAAAGAGAACATTTGGAAAGTAAGAGTTTAAAAAATAAATCAGGAGCCTTGATAAAGGCGTGATGCTGCGCTAAATATAACTTGATAGCAAGATATTTCTAGTTTGCCTTACAAGAACAATAAAGATAAATGAAATAATAACAAAAATTAAGGAAAAGAACGAACGACGAACCAAAAAATGCATGTGAAAAAAGATGCTTCAGAAAGGGAAAGGGTAATGCTACCATTTTCCTAAGAAAAAAAAATCGTTTGATCATCTGTTATGCAGTGTACATGAGATTTGCAATTTGAATCTATTAATTATATTCTAATGATTAATTACCCAATGCTTGTGATAGAACTTTATCTGGTGGTATTCGCTCGAAACTGTCTATAGAATGAAATTTGGGAGGTTTGGCACTTTCCAGCTCCAGCTTTTTAAATCTAAAAATCAATCAATCAATCTGATTCTAATTAAGTTATACATATACGCATAGATGCACTTTACGGTGTCGAATTTTATAGCCCCACTTTCTTGTATATAATCTCAGTTTTTTTTACAGTGGCATTTTCCGTAGTTTCTTATCTTGATTAACAATGGCTGTATGGGATGGTAACGGTTCAAAGAAAAGCTCTCCCGTCCTTTATGCCACAGTCACACCTAGCCAAGACTATCGTCAACTGGAAGACTTACTCGAGCGATATCTGAAGCAAATGACATCCTGAAAGTCCAGTCCAGCTTAATAGTTTCATTTAATAAAATATCCTGCAATAAAAATGCGTAGAAGAGTGAAGAAAAAATTCCTAAAAACCACAAAGACTGGATAACTTTAATTTAGTTTACAGTCGATAAAAAGTTATGACTGGAATCAGTTTAATTTCACCCCGTGGATCAAGCACAAGAGAGAGTTTTTGTTCGGGTTTTCTAACACCAAAAGTGCATTACAGGAGAAAACAAAGGCATGGCTCATTTGATCGGGTACCTAAGAAAAGAGTCATCACCTGAAGGCTTCCTTTAGCACAGTACTCAGAAACGATCAAAACATCGGGAAACTCAGCACATATTCCTACATATGGGTTAAGGTTCACGTGCCGAATTTCACATGCCTGTAGCAGGAAGAACAAAAATAAAATCAGTCTATCGTATAAAACAACTCGAACGAAAACCTTAGGATCATTTGAAGACAAATTCTTTAAGAAAAGATTCTTGAAATTTGCTTCATTATATTCCTCACTAACTTCCTACATAATATATGCTCGTTTCATGGATTGCGAGGACGTTATATGCAGCTAGAGCAACTACGGAAATACGCGAGCGGATGTTGAAAATGGCCTTGTGCAACAAGAGTCAACACGCGGAAGGAAGCAAGAACCCTCTACACGCGAGAGATCACATGAGCTGTGACACGAGAGAGACAAGAGAGAGCTCTGATATACAGATAAAAAGAGAATCGATACAAAGATACAATCTGCTTCCACAGGGGGGAGGGGAAGGTAGCACTTACTAGTTCCTGCTTCTCATCAGTATTTAGGAAAATACTTAGTAGCATCACCTGGCGTATTTCAATCTTCATATTTTCTGTCAGGTGCGATATTCCTTCAGAAACTTTCTTCACTAAAACAGATTTTCCCTGATGAATGGGAGAAATAGAAACGTAATCACACTTTACAGTAATTTTGTCCTACTACATACAATCCTATTGCAAACTTTGGCCTCGGAGTTCATTTCTGCCGTAAGAGCTTTTGTTTTTAGTTTATGTGATTTTAAAACGGCATTTCTAAGGGCCTGTTTACATGGAGGTGGGGAACACCAGGTAGGTGAGGTAACCCGCTTAGCGGTGGGGTAAAAAAAAATAGTTCTCCTTTACATGCAATCTTACAACCCCGCCATCCTGGGGTCCACGTTCTCAAGATTATTGAATGGTCGCTAAGCTTGTAAACAAGAAAAATGCTGGCAAACCACATGTTTTGGCTTTGAATGCTCTTCTACACTCACTTGCTGCTCTCAGTCTGGCTGCAACCTTCAGCACTGTAGCATTCTATTTTTACTTTTAATAATGGTGCAAAGCCACTGCCAAAGTGAATTTTGCTTGAATTTGATGTATCACGAATCCGACCCCGACTATGTGGGTTACCCCACCTTGAAACGTTTACATGGCAAAATTTGACCTCGGCTGAGAGGGTTACACGGTCTGGCAGACCGGACTACCCGCCTTGGCGGATCACACCACCTATCATGTAAACGTGATCAAATTAAAATGAGAGGTTATATGGACAGGCCGGTTACCCCACCTCAGCAGGTTACCTCACCTACCTGGGGTCACCACCTCCATGTAAACAGCCCCTAAGTTTCAGTCACTGGCATGATGTCCAAATAGAACAGTCCCAATTATCTACTTGCCTCCATGATAAAGGTTAGCAGGCATAGTAAGGATTTTGCCATTGCACTTACTCGATAAATTCCCTTAGAAAGTCTTCTCTGGAGAAATCCACCATCACTCAAAAGCCTTGCAGAAGACGCAAATGGTAGAACATTGAACGCGGAGCCTTGGGTGCTACGCTGAAAGAGATATTGAGGTTTCGAAAAACAACAGCTGATGTTAATACGTTGAAATAAAACTAACCGCAGCCTCTATTTTAAAAACGTAAAACAAGGGGCACACATTCACCATCCCACGGCCTGGCCAATACCTCACGCATGCACACAGCCAGATCACCCAGGCAGTGGCAGTCGTGGACTGCTGTTTCGCCCTTACTTAGGGCTCATAAGCAAGGCATAGCCGTCGGGTCATTGACCGGGGGAACCCGCTTATAAAGCCTGAGAAAATGGCCGTCATTTCGCGACGCCACCAGTGAAAATACAGCTGAGCACTGGAGATTCACTCAGAGTGGAAATGGAAATAAATAGATTCATTTGGCTGTTCCATTAAATGGATTCTTTGATAGCGTACCGTTCGCAATATTAGCGAAACAAGGAGAACGTGGTAGCCTCATCGCCTTTGGAGGAAAACTACTTGTCGATGTTGAAAATACAGCTGAGCACTGGAGATTCACTCAGAGTAGAAATGGAAATAAATAGATTCATTTGGCTGTTCCATTAAATGGATTCTTTGATAGCGTGCCGCTCGCAATATTAGCGAAACAAGGAGAATGTGGTAGCCTCATCGCCTTTGGAGGAAAACTACTTGTCGATGTTTTTTCAGTTCGGATCTCTGTTCTCGTACAGTGGCGAAGGACCACTTTATTTTCCGCCTTTTTTGTTAATCAAAACATTTTACTTTTCATAAAGACCTGCTTTTGTCGTGCAGGCTTACGACAACATTAATTCAAATAGCTGTATACCAGAGAGAAAAGCATTACAAAAATCCAGACAAAAAGACCCAAACCAGGACCCAAACAAACAAAAGCAAAATAAATAATAATAATAATAATAAAAAAAAACAAGTATGTTGGCTCTACCAGGCCCTCTGATGAGTTCATGTGATGCAGGTTGCCAAGAACCATGGGATGGTCTTCAGTGTCATCTGCCGGTGCAATCTCGTTGCAGTTTATCATCCATTTTGTATGAATACTCTCTTTCCCTTTGGCGCGTCTTCTTACGCAGATCAGGAGAACAAAAATGATGAGAACTAGAAGACAAGCTCCAACTATGCCAAGAATAAGAACGAGAGTATCTGAAAATACCAGAAACAAAACTTGAGACTCATTTATTTTTAGTATGTCTTAAGATAAAATCCAGGGTGTGACTTCCATGCCATAGAAACGGGGATGCTTGTGGTAGTGATGAGCTCTTGTTGTCGTTATTCGGTTATTTACTGCGCATATGCATGGCCTATTGCGAGTCTTCTTTTATTTCCTTTTGAGCAGCGGTTAAGCTCAAGAGACTCTGGAATTAAGTATGTCTTCTTAAAATCTTCCAAGAGTCATAATGGGACTCTTGATTCTTCTTATATAACAGTACACCTCTGATTCTGGTTCTCAGCTGACTCTTCTTTCTTCTTGTGCCCCCACCACTGGACATGGAGAAAAGGGACTTAAGAAACGAGATTTGAACAGTCGAAACAAGAGGAAAAATGGCTAGAAAGGGGCCTTGTATAATAATTTCTCTAAATAACAAGAAACAATTATAGAGTGCAATAACCTTAAAATACTCTAGTCACCTTTGCTATCCTCATTGCATTTCTCTCCTGTAAAACCACACAAAGGCTCACTGAGGGGTGCATTACTTGACCCGCCAGGCCACGTGATTTTTGACTTGACAAAGAGGTGAAGTTGGTGGTAAATCGGTCCCGTACTATTACGAAATATTTTGGTTTTGTTTCCGATGAACTTGTACGAGCCTGCTCGAAGGTTACCAACCACAAACTGAGGAACTCGGGTGCCATTTTCCATAAAGATATGACCTGACTTTCCTGGTACAAATATAAAGAAATGAAATAAAGGAAGGATTATGTAAATTTAAATTCGAAGGTCTTAATTTTACCTCGTCGATAACTCATAACAGTACTCAATGGACTAGAGAATGTTAGTATTGACAGCGAGTGCGACTTCGACAAGGAGCGTTCTCGACCCCAGTGCTTTCGCTTTTGACTCCGCGCATAAGTGCATTGACCTCAATTCTAATCATTTGTGCTCAACTCGTTCTGCCAAGTCGCACTACACAAGTTTTCATCGAAGTGGCGGGAGCGAGGTTGTTAAAGGTAAAAAGGTTTTGAACGACATTTAAGTCATTCAATTTAAACAACTTACTGCAAAAGCGTCAAACAGTTTTAAAAGTGACAGGGAAATTGTTCTCGTCAATTATTTTGAGACTGACTTATGACTCAGCTGGGAATCGAACTCCGGCGTCAAAAAGGTAGTATAAACGCCAAGCCCCATTATCACTGTGCCATTCGTAGGTATTACCGTAGTTTAGATTGGAGTTACATTGAAGTTAAGTCAGATATACATCCATCCATGAACAAAAACTCCGCGTTTCAAGCGAGTCTATTTTCAATGCTATTCATCTAGGACACATTCAAAAATCTATACGTTAGGAAGAGTTTCTTTTAGCTTCAGCTTACTTACCGTAGAAATGTCTATTAAACATGCGTGTAATAATCTCAGTTGTATTCGTGACGTCATATCCGTGGGTTAAAGTGTCATTTACGGCCAGAGAATACAGGTAGACGGCATCATACAGAAACGAGGAATACCAAGAAACCTGTCGGCAAAAGTGATCTTAAATACAAGAAATTATTAAATGAATGCTTTCTATGAGATAATCGAGTCAATAGTTATCAGTTTATCAGACAGTCTATCAGTCAGTCAGTAAGTAAATCAGTTCGTCAGTCAATCAATCAGCCAATTAGTCAGCCAGTCAGTCACCCACCCGAGCAGTCAGTCAGTCCAACGGTCAGTCAGCCACTTAGTCAGGCATGAGTCAGTTAATGATCAGTCTGTTAGTCAGTTGTCAATCAGGCAAAAGTTAGTCGGCCAGTCAAACCGTCAGCCAGCCAATCAGTTGCTTTCGAGTCAATTGATCAATCAGACAGTCAGTCACGCAGTCAATCAGCCAGCTAGCCAGTCAGTAAGTCAGTCAGTCAGTCAGTTAGTCATTCATTCATTCATTCCTTCATTCATTCATTCATTCATTCGTTCGATCAGTCGATCAGTCAGTCAGTCAGTCATTCAGCCAGTCATTCAGTCAGTCATTTAGTTAGTCAGTTAGTCAATCAGTCAATTAGTTAATGGGTCAACCAGTCAGCTAGTACATATACAATCTGACAGCAGGCGCAACTAACATGCAAAGTAAAATTACAAAGCTAAAACTGTCTGGTTCTTACCTCGAGATATAATTTTGATCTGATGACAGGATCGAGAGTGTTTTTCATCGTTTCGTACTTCATTTTAAACTCTTCATAAATCTCCGGACGGTAGATGCTGAGGTCTATTATGCCGTTGAGCTCAATTGGTAATTTAGAGCCTTTCCCTTGGTTTCCAGACCATTGACCGTCTTTATAAAACACGTCCGTATTCAAATCAAGTGTTATAAAAGCATAATCTCCTTTAGTCATGCCCAACCGTTCAGCTGTTTTCATGATGTCAAGAACTTCATTTATGTAACAGAGGATAAGAAAAACTGGAAAAGAAATGAAGAAGGTCCGGTAAATATTCAAAAGCAAAAGACATAAGGCCCGCCATTGAGATTGAGAACTGCTTTGAATAAAAAGCCCGGATTTTTACTACAGCGGGTCCTTTGTCTCATCATTCTGCCTTCGTAACTGGAATATAACTCTTAATAAAGCTGTTTCTATTTTATTTTGAAATAATTATTGTATTGAAATCCACCCATCTAAACTCAAGAGGAAATGTTGTAGTAGCGTGAAGCAAGGGCATTTGTTTATTTATTTACTTAGGTTCGCCAGTTCTTGTCAGGGTCACCGCAATAGTGCGTGGCGCCACTACGCGGGCCCGTAACAGTCCCTTCCCACATGAGAGATAGATCACCACACCGCGGACTATGTCCCCTACTCTTTACGAACAGTGCGTGGGTTCTTTAACGACACAGAGAATTTATATGTACAAGGGTTGTGAGACGGGACGTGTCGCAGAAACACTTTCCCTCGTGTAACATTACCGCTGCTATGGAAGAACCTTCGAGGGGACAACATTTTCTCCCTGCAACATGTTCCATGAAATTTGACGAGTTGGAATTTGTGCGTCAGTGACTAGCTAGGAGGCAGAATTACCCAGATGTTCAATCTATCCAACAGGCACTCATGGGGACAATGATGTAGCCTCTTCCGGGCGTTCAGATAGTGAAGTAGCTCGAAATGGGGTGTCCTCTCGCTGTTTTTCCTCGGTTAGTACTCACTTTTCTTTATCTTTAGCCTCCCACGCAGACGTTCTTAGGATTGCGTGACGAGCCAAAATAACGCCTACGTTGGAGGGTACACCAATCGGTCGGAACGCCTGTAACAGGCTAGACATGATGCGGGAATACTGGCGGTATCCCTGCCCCTAAATATAAGTTATCAGATAATTGCAATACTTAGCTTTTCCAGCCCCTTATGAAGACTAGTTATGTCTAGTCGAAATATTGGGCAAATAAATTTATAAACCTTAGTCTTCCGATGAGACTTGCCTTCAATTTTAATTGCAATATACTTCGTGGTAACTGTCGTCTACTTTATCTTTATCATGAGACAAACAAGTCCTTTCAAATAATATGTATCTTCATAATTGCAATTTCTTAGTGGTAGCTTTAGCAGCGTTAGATGAATATTACGTAGGCACTAGAGCCCATAACCCAGGCGAAGCGAGCAACTTCCTTGTGCCCATTGCCTGCCCATACAACAGCATCTTCACAAACCAGTTTATTTTTAGATCAATTTTCCCGCGAATTTTAAATATCGAATAAGTCTTACAAATGAGTCATCGAAAATCGGAAACTAGACTAAAGTATTTCCAGTGTTTTGATAGCATTTACTTAATAATCGTACTATGGATGCGCACGCGTTCGGAACGGTGCTTTAATTTTCGTGGGGAAAATTGCTCAAAAATGATGCTAAAAATAACTTGATCTGTGAAAACACCGCTGCATAGGTAAAGTATGGGAGATGCGCAGGCACTTACCCCGTGACACGTCTTTTCCCTTCTGCAAGATTCTCTCAAACTGTGGGTATTTATTATCATAATTTTCAAACATCGAAACTTTTGCACTGGGCTCAATGGTGCTTCTAATTTTTTCAGCCATTGTTTTCCATTCCACTTCAGATGAACTTACGATGGCCAGAATATTCCAGTCGAACTCTTTAAGGATCTGAAGCACAAACTTTGGAGTATATTTCTCGCTTCTTCGAGCATAAGCAGTGATTGTACTTAGCGTGCTGTAAATATATTTATTGATGAATTTATTTGAGGATGCAGCATAAGTGACAATAGGCTTGTTCCATATTTTGGCTAGAAGTGCCGTTGGTTCCGCCACTACAGAGCACGCGGGCCCAATAAACAAGTCAGCTGTTTTAAACGCGACCATTCCGCGAAGACCTTTCTCGGGTTCACACGAGCTGTCTACTATGTTGTACGTAATATTATATCCTGGCAGCAGATTTGAGTCATTTGTGATGTCAAATATTGCCATGGGAACAGCTGCGGCTATTCTCGTTCCGATTGGCCAACGTCCTGTCATTGGTAACAAGACACAAAGGTGGATTTCTGGAAAAGAAAAATGATTATTTCTTTACGTTACTGTCCCACGTCAATTTTCTCGCTTCTTTCATTTGTTGTTTTTATTGATATGTGTTGTGCCTGCTGTCTTTTCATTTCTTAGTCAGTCTCCAGTTTTCAAAGTCGTAAAACTAGTGAAAAAATCCCACATCCAAAAACACACAACTCTGTTTTTCTTTCAAGTTTTTACTCCACTTTGTTTTTCGCTCGAGTCCTTACTAAAGCACGAAACAAGTTATTGTTTCCACTCAACCAACGATTGGGCTTGGTGACAAAATGAGCTAATAAGAATCAACAAGCTTCAAGAAACTGATGAAATCTTGGTGTTCTTAGGGTTAGTCTAAACGTCTTGTTGAAAGGCGAGTCATCAAGAATAACGCGCAAGCGAAAGTAGGAAATGTAACCAACAACAAACAATTTGCTCTAGTGTGCAAAATTTCATTGCACGTTCCAACAGCAGTTGTTTGTTTGCTGTTAGATATTAGATTCTTTTGTAAAATGCCCTGAAACAGTCGAGGTTAAAATAAAAGCGTTATACGTGCATTGGTTACCTGTCTGAAGATGTAAAAATTGATCAATAATAATAATAATAATAATAATTTATTCATTTATAGTGCGCTTTTTAACATGCTAGGTGATCAAAAGCGCATTACAACAATAAATAACCTAAAAACTATTAATACAAGTATAAGAAATATACAAATATATTTAATATCTAAGAGATATTAAAAGCTAATTTAAAAATATAAGTTTTAAGATTAGATTTAAAAGTAGAAATACATTTGATGCTGCGGAGGCTAACAGGAAGAGCGTTCCATAAAGTGGGTGCAGCCACACTGAAGGATCTGTCACCAAATGACTGTTTCATTTTTCCTGACGGATGCTTTAATAAAACACCTTAATTAGAGCGCAGAAAATAGCGCGTAGTAGTCTTATTATGAATTAAATCAATGATGTAGCTAGGTGCCATGCCATCGGGGGCTTTGAAGGTAAGTAATAAAATTTTAAAATTAATTCTATATCTTACTGGTAACCAGCGTAAATTTATCAAAACGGGCGTAATATGGTCATACTTTTTACATGACATAAGCAGCCTAGCTGCAGCGTTCTGTACTCTTTGCAACTTAGCTATTTCACAGTCCGGTAATCCATAGAGAAGTCCTTTACAATAATCAATTCTACTGTTTCTGGGAAACTGCCCACCTACCCTTCCCCTAAGCCAACATCAACACTAATTTCTCACTTTGGGCCAAATGTTGGCTTAGGGGAGGACTAGCTGGGCAGTTTCCCAGGAACGTAAATAGTTACCTTTGCGTTCTGATGAAGCAATGGCATTAAGACTGGAGATCAGCTAAAAATGTAAAATGATACAACCATTTCAGTAGTGTTGATGGCCCACTTGGCACACTCTAGGGGTATAGGGTATTGCTCAATTGCTTAGACCCCTAAATTATTCAAGATGACGTCATCAAAAATTCAAGATGGCGCCTCATTGTTAGGTCGTCTTCGGGTGATCTTCGGGTCATGCTCGGGTCATATTCGTAATCATAATATGTGGATGAAGGGTTCAGCTCACACTTGTAGGATGGTATCCCCCTGCGCAGTACGCATGCGCAAGGTACTACGCATACGCAGAAGTAAAACTTGTGCAAAAACATTTTTTAAGCTTTATAATAAACAATATTTTATTGTACTACCCTTCTATAAAGTCAATTACATTCTTAAACTAAATGCCTTGCAAAGCTCCTAGACTTCTTTACACTGTTCTGTAGGTAAATGTAAACTGCGTTTAAAAGTCTCTTGTAATTCCAGTAAAGCGTCTGGGTCGTCATACAAATTCCTGACACTCACAATAGCCGTTCGGGCTACCAGAGTCGGTAAAGCGTATTTTTTTTTGTCATTTGATTGCTTTACAAACGCAGAAAAAATAAAAAGATCTTTTCAACCACTACACAATCGAACCCGTCCCGAGCAATAAACATAAAAATGAACGAGCTGTCTTGGGCGAGAATCGAACTCGCGTCTCCTGTGTGACAGGCAGGGATACTTAACCACTATATTACCAAGACTGAGTATTGGTCATAACTTTTATTCAGGTGGTGGCTCCTAAAAGAGCCGTTTGTGATTGCTTGTTTGTTTCTTCAAGCTTTCTTCTGTAGCATCTGTCGGAACATTTCTCTTGACCGTTCCTTTTCTGCGTGGTATTCAGCAAACGCAGCATCTGCCCTTGCTTTGTACTCGGTAGTTTTTGTATAGGAATCATCAATCAGTAGAAAGACGGGTCTGCCTTGCTCGTGTCTTTTCGCGAAGTCTTCATCACTCGTTGCTCTGTAGTCAGAAAATCGATGAATGAAGCTATCCGCAACAAGATCTTGCACTTCATACTTCATTGCCATATTTCTGTTAAGATCTACTACACCTCCGCGACTATGAAGAGATACTCTGCCTGAATCTCTCTCGTCATATAGTATTGAAAAGAAGGGGACGGTGACTAACATTGTCCAAACAGTAGGACCAGGACAAGCGTGTGGTTTGGAGTCTTTCTGTCGCATCACTCGCTGAAAAGCTTTGCCTCGAGAAGAATGTAGTGCTAGAGACATGTTGAGAATACTCAAAGTGAAAACGTGTGGGGTTTTATAAGCCACCCGTTCCAGTCAATGGTTTCGTATGCTAATTTTCTTTAACTTGAAAAGACAAAGCGCATGCAAATTCGCTAAGTCAGCAAGCATGTGCGCTTTAATGTTCCTATAGCTATTCAAACTACCGCCCGCTTTAATAGCTATTCAAACTGCCTCAAAGTAAGTGCCGTGAGATTAAGCGCACGTAAAAGATCTTTTTATTTTTTCTGCGTTTGTAAAGCAATCAAATGACAAAAAAAAATACGCTTTACCGACTCTGGTAGCCCGAACGGCTTTTGTGGATGTCAGGAATTTGTATGACTACCCAGATGATTTACTGAAATTACAAGAGACTTTTAAACGCAGTTTACATTTACCTACAGAACAGTGTAAAGCAGTCTAGGAACTTTGCAAGGCATTTAGTTTAAGACTGTAATTGACTTTATAGAAGGGTAGTACAATAAAAACATTGTTTATTATAAAGCTTAAAAAATGTTTTTGCACAAGTTTTACCTCTACGCATGCGTACTGCACAGGGGGACACTATCCCTCAAGTGTGAGCTGAACCCTTCATCCACATATATAACTTCCGATTTCCGACGAATATGACCCGAGCATGACCCGAAGATCACCCGAAGACGACCCGACGATGAGGCGCCATCTTGAATTTTTGTTGACGTATCTAGAATAATTTAGGGGTCTAAGCAATTGAGCAATACCTTATACCCCCCTTCCCTAGAGTGTGTCAAGTGGGCCATCAATACTACTCATGTTAGTTTTGGTTTGCATAAAGTTAGAAAACAAACAGAGAAAAAAGTGAAACTTAATCACAGTTCTCCTTAAAAAGAGAACAGTTGCTGTGGTTTAGTTTCACTTTTAAACCAGATGTTTGTGGTCAAACTCGATATAACTGAAAAGAAAGAAGAAAGGAAACCACATTGCGGAACCTTGTAGGGGAACGATTCTGAAAAGTGGTTCCTGAACAAGAGAAGGAGAAAGGGGAGAGAAATCCCATTTTGCCGAACTAATATTTTCAGATCTTATTGCCCCACACGCCAAAAAAAAATTCTTTTCACCTTATGTGAGTCACACCTTCGAACATCCCTTATTAGGCTTTCTTAGAACAGTTTCGTCTGTGCTTAGCTAGGCGTATATGCATTATACAAATAAAATGAAGTTCCTTATTCAGATTATTTGATAAATGAAACTTGTACGAAGAATCTCTATTGACATGTATTAAAGGCAAAGCGACATTTGCTTCCAGCAATGGTGTGCTGTCACATTGTAATAATAGATAGCTTTAGATCCGGGGACAAGGACGACTACTAGAACGAGATGTTCTCATACTAGGTAGTGCGCGGGCGTGACCCATCGTCATTTTGGCGGGAAAACGTGATAGCCGCCGTCATTCTACAATGGGTTTTAGCGAGAATGTCGTAGTGGCGGGAACCAGCTACCAAATGTAAAAAGTTTTATCATTTTGCTATCGGTGGAGGGCTTAACCTTCTTCAGGATAAACAACTGTACTAACGTTTTTTGTGAAAAGAAGTTAAATGACGCTTTCCGGGGCGTCTATTTTTTGAGAACACGGGCAAAAACTTTAAGTTAAATCTCGTACTCGTACTCGTGCTCAAATCTAAAGCTCTCTAATTTCGTAACCAGAGAAAACAGCCGACATCTCTCGACGCCGCCACTGGTTTCCCCTCGAAATGACGTCTGAGAAACGACGATGACGCGTTTCACTACTCAAATTTGGGTAGTGCGTCTGATTGGCTGAAGCAAACTTCACACGTTGCACGACCAATCAGAAGCACTAACCAAATCTGGGTAGTGACGTATCATCAGCATGGAATTTCTGTGGGGAAGCCAGTGGTGGCTGATAATGTCGTGAAAATTACAGTAGATATATACAAGCCCGCAGCTTTTATTTTATGACCTATTACAAATTACGACAACGTGGTATTACAATTTACGATAGCTTGGTTGTTACAATTCTTGACAACTGTGATTCCATTTTACGACAATATTACAAAAATTCACGTAATTAACGGTATTTCTTTAAAAGCTGCCAACAGCAGCTCGCCTTGGGAAGATAAACAATAACTGAGAACTATGGAACATTGTATCCTTACCACGAAAATCGTGAACATATTCATTCTGGATGCTCCAATTTTTCTTCGTTGATTGTTTTTCACCTGTATGTGAAAAAATAACTGTATCAGATGGCCTTAAACCTCCTGTTATCTTGATCATGCGACAAATTAAACCTCTCGCAACTTTTATACAAAAGCAGGGGATGTGAGTTGGAGGGCGGGGGGGGGGGATGGCTGGGGGAAGGGGGGTT